TCTACCTCCCCGGACGAAACCTTGCCCTTCGGCAAAGCTTCGTCCAGGTTCCTCTCTGCTAACGCAGAGAGTTCGACAGACGTCGGAAGTCAGCTAAGAACTTCTCTGTCTTTCGGTCTTTTGACATGCCACAATTTAAAGTCTTTGTTCGCACACAAATTCATCTTCAAGGGGGGTGGTAGGTTTCCGACACAACAATATGTCCACAAGATGAGGACAATAGTCCGAATAATGTAAATAATGTACAATCATTGGTGTTTGGGTCCTGAAGAACAAGGATTCACGAAACTCTGAGTCGCCCTCCAATAAGTATAGTGAACCTTCATTACTTTTGATATTGCCCTCAATATCTATTATACACTTTTTTGGCAGAACTTCTGTTCACCTTGACATACGTTGAATTATATAATTTGATGTATATCAATATATACTCTTATTAAATGTATATATATATATGAATATGTGTGTGTAGAAAAAACATGTATCATTTGAAATTTCAATGCTCCTTGAACCACATGATATACCGCATTTAGGGCAGTCGGTTTCTTTTTAAGAGATGGCTGCCTAATGTCGAACGAATTTCAGCTTTAAGGCATCTTGAAAATAGTGTTCTCACGAGAAAAAAAAATTCATTTCATTTTTATTACTTTTCCTTTATAATTTATTTTAAAATTGGTACCAATTTCAAAGAAATAATTAAATATTTATGTATGTGTACAGTTCGTATATGTGCATACAGGCATGCACACGCAGGCGCAATTATATAATTGTGTCGTTTACGAATGTGCATATATATATATATATATATATATATATATATATATATTATAATGTTTTATACTACTTTATATATATTTGTGTTCGCACGCGAGCGTGTGCGTTCTCTGTAGATTGCAGCGACGTCTCCTCCAACGCATACAGTTGGATGAGAAAGAATGCTTCCAGGATGTAAACTAAAGCTTTATTCGAGTCTCTCAGTAATTATCACCTTTGAAAGGAAATCATTAATTTACATTTTTAAAAACATCTTATTTTTTTTTTTTTTTAAAGTCACCTGCAATGTAAATGCGATTCATTTTAAATGAATTCATTTAACGAATTATATAGAATTCCACCCAAATTTACTTTTCTATTTTATTTTTACCTACCCAATATAGGAATTTTGGAAATAAATTGTGTTTCTCTACTCCGGCATTTTGTGATCCTGCGCGCATTGAATCTGTTACCATTAGATTCTGAATTTAAATCTACTACTAAATCTCTTCGGTTCGGCTGGAAAGCTCAGTTTAAACTAGAAGTGAGGGCTTTATAAAGATTGATTGATTCATTAATTTTCTACGGCTTATCAATCCACTAGCAGGATAACCCGTCTTCGACCGGGTGTTTCATTACTGGGAAATTTTGACGTTCAGTTGGAGCAGTTTAAGTTTAAAGTCAGCCCACCCGAAAATCAATATTAGTAACAACAATTGGCTGTAACTGAGGCACATCGCCAAAAGGGGAGTTAACAATTTGAATGGGGACGCGTTCTCAATCTTGCAAAGAAGGAACCTCTTCCATGGAGCGTCATAATAATAATAATATACGATAATTTTTATTCATAATATAATTTTTTTTTATAATTCTAATAATATTTTGCGTTAGAATTCAACTCTCTAAATGGATTGTACGCTGTTTTTACAGACATTACATTTTGCCTTTGATTTTTTAGCAAAATGTCAGAAAATCATTTTTTTCGATTTTTCACCTTCAAGTTTGTCATTTTTTCCAGCCAATTTGGACTTAACGCCGGCACTGAAGAATTATCTATCAAACCAAATAAATTTCATCGAAATCGGATGAAAACTGTGGAAACGTATAAACAAGATCCAATCACACATACACACACACCCGCATTTTGAGAATTATAGATTACAGGTTATTTAAAGCCATAAAATATTTTTAGATTGTAAGAATTTCTTTTTAGATAATAAGGATTTAGTGATACAATTTTTACTAATTCACCCGTAGCCAAGGGGAGAAGAGACAGATTCATACCTTCTCCAAAGTTTGGTTTGGTTTATTTAACGACATACCAACTCCTTATGGCTCATTTAATGCCAAAATTTTATGTTCTTGTGAATTTTGGTAATTTCTTTTCTTTTTTTTTTCAAAATGTATCGCTGGTAATTTTTTATAATGTATTTTGATATTTTCATGCTTTGACTCGAGTATGGGTGTTCATTATTTTCCCATAGCTGGGACCCTAACAGGCGCTACCACCCTAGGTGAGGGTTGACCTGGCAACAACAGCAATTAAAAGGTGGTTCCAGGTTCCTCAAAACCTCTAGATCAGAGGCTTTGCTACCTGATGTAGTTTATTGCCATACCCAGGACGACCTTCTCCAAGAATATTTGCGCGTATATTCACTGAATACAACGAACTCCAACGGGAATGAAAACTCGGCTTTCCGATTAACAATTCCGAGCCGTTATCCATTACACCATTCGCACATCCAAGCTTACAGCACCTGTATTCCTAAGCGTTCACACATCTATGTACTAACCAGGCTTGGCGTTGCTTAACTTCAGTAATCGTATGGGAACCGGTATTTCAATGTAATTTTATCGTAATTCTGCTTTTTATAGAGACTTCTGAAACCGAATATATAAATAAATTTTGCTGTGATCTGAAACCGAATCGAGGAACCCTAAATTGGCATCAAATTTGACAACAATTTGCCAAAAGAAAGAAACGTAATCGATATAATAGTGAATTCGATTTTCACTGGTTGCCCCGTAATCTTGGCCTTGTGCCACATATAAGTTACGCTTAGGAAATCACCATAAATATTCGTATTTATTTATTTATCTTTGTTCTTGGGACACCAAGACGTGGATTAATGATTAGAGCGCTAATCTAGTTGACCGTTCATACTGAATAGTGAGTTCGATTCTCACTGGGTGTCCCATATTTGCGGCCTTGTGTTAAAACTAATCTATGCTTAGTAAACAAATAATAGTTTGTACATACGAATGTGCGTATTTTTCTGTATAATCGATTGGGTTTATGCGTATATGTATTTCAGCTTGTATGTATATAGTGTGTATGCTTGTATATGAGTGTATGTGTGCCTGTGTTAAGTAATGTTTGAGTGCGGGAACCATAGGCTTAGAAGGCGGGGATCCTTGGTGGAGACAGTAACCTCCCTAAAGCGTAAACGAATTGTAGAATTTTTTTTTCAGAGAGAAACTCCTACCCGCACTTCGTAAAATGTCCTCCCGTACAGGTCTCTGGTGGTAAAATTATAAACAAGATAGAACTCACTCAGATACAGAGTTGTTATGAAGACGAAAGAAATAGGAATGAAAAAAAAGGCGCGACTGATAAGTTGTGCCTTCGGCTCACCAATCAAAAACATCAAAAGACAAGCATTAGACAAAGGCGACTGAACAAAAAAAAAAAAAAAAAAAAAAAAAATCTATGTGACGCGTTTCATCTCGGGAAAGTACTTCCTCAGACAAAACAATGTTTTTGGGGGGGTTTTTGTTTGTTTGTTATTTTTTTTACTAATGGAATATATACGTGTCGTGGAGGGAACGAAAAATTAAAAATAAATGTCGGTTATAAACATTGCGATAAATACGGAAATTGTCGGCACACTTGAATTTAAATTTTAAAATCCTGGCGTCCGAAGCGCTACTTAGCCGACCTCATTCAGTTTCCTATCTCAACTTGTCCATATCTTTAAATGCTTTCAGTATCAAATGCCGACGTGCATATCAACAGCACACCACAAACATGTTAGGTACAACACGTGACTGAATATCCAGAGAGTCACGCGGACTCCACAAAAAAATCGTTCAGATATAAGCCCATCATTGGCCTAAATTGATAAATCGTATCATTCTACTTATGAAAATTGCCTTCTAGATTTTTTTTTATTAAATTAGTGCTGCATTGAGAAAAAGAAGAGGGTTAAGATGATCTTGTTATGCCAGACTTTTAAGTGGGAAGTGGTTTCTTGCGTTGAAAATTGGGATTAAAAATCATTGCTGGGCTTGAACATAGAACTGTGGAACTTGTGGAAAATGAGTAAATATTTCGGTCACATGGTAAAACCAATAGCCAGTCTTGCTCTTAATCTGAAACTATGAATCAAAAAAAGGTTGGTCATGAGTCACTAATATTAGCAATTCTTGAAAAAAAAAACATTTAATTCACAAATAAGCTTTTTCTATGCGCTTGTATTTTTCAAAAAGATAATTTCAAGTAAACGTTAAAAAGAAGCAAATAGAATGAATAAATATAAATAATAAAGAGCAACAAAGAGAAACATGGCTGAAGAGAATTGATATTTGATTAAAAAATACATAAATATTGGTGTAATTTTGTTATAGTGAAATAATAAGTAGGAGTAGCAAGAGTAACAAGTCAGTCGGCAGTGAGTTGCTCAGTCAGTCGATGTCGGATATTAAAGTATCAACTACCACAACTAGATTACTGCGTCATTACCTATTATATCAAGTTCCTAACGTTTTGTACGTCGAACCTATTTTAAGACCGACTTAGTACAAATACAAGCCTCCACTGTGAAACCACTACATAACAAATTTATACTGAAAAATGTTTGAAAATTAGGAGTAGAGACAGTAATTTAGATATGGACGACAAATTTAAGAAGCAATTTTATCTTATTTTGGAGGCCATACGGAATTATAGTGAATCTATTTTTCTCTCGTGTTTTTATTTTTTCGTTGTAGAGTAAAGCATGTCAGTGAGAGTATAAAACGAAATTAAGATAAGACAGGAAAGCTATCCAAGGTGGATATCCAATTGGACTTCTGAGCAAACAGGAATGACGACTATGATTTCACCTATTCGCAGATGATAGTTTCCCCATTTCATCAATTTATGCGCGGTTTTCTGTTCTGATTGCAGCCATTGACGCATGAAAAAGCCTATCATAATCGTTTAATTTCTTTGCCCCATTGCACCCATGAACAACTTTTTTCTTCTTATTCCTTCGGTTACATCAATGGGTGTTTATCCTGTTGGTTCAAAATGCAACTCTTTAGACTAGAAGTGAAAACTTTATAAAGATTGATTCATTCATTCATTTTCTACGGTTTATCAACCCGTTACAGGCTATTTAAAGCCAGAAAATATTTTTAGATTGTAAGAAGTTTTTTAAATAATAATGATTTAGTGATACAAATCTTACTAATTCACATTTTTTCTATGCTTCCCATTACACCAATAATTGCATGTTTTTCAATTATTTCCCATATTCACAAACCAGTTACGCTTGGTCAATTGTTCCTATTGCACAAATATGCGACTAAGTCCCTTTTTATTTTCCCATTTGAATCAACAAACGCTTCACCCTTTTCCAATTTTTTCCTACTGCAATAATAAAAAGTAATTCTTTCCATTGTATCAAAATAAATATGCAGCATTTTCTTAGCCACCTTTCTTTACTCAGTAATAAGCTACCCACTATTTCTACTCTGTTCCCATTGAGCCTATAAAACACTTTCTTTTCGGATAGCACTAATGACACTAAAAATCCCTTCTTTTCCGATTCATCTTCATCCAATTCGTAATCGTCTGCGAAAACCCTTTTTTTTTTCTTCCATCAGCATGGCTGATGCTAACTTCCAGGAGATTGACTCATTACGCCTTCTCGGACTAACGTTTTCCGCTGACATGAACTGGAAAAATTATATTGAATCAATTCCTAGGTCTGCTGTTAGAAAAGTTGGTTCACTGTATTGTGCGAGATAATTTTTCACGTCAGAATCTATCTTACATATTTACAAGTCTACCGTTCGTCCTTGCTTTGCATATTACTGGTACATGTGGTCTGGTGCTCCAGCTATATATTTAGAGATTCTTGAGAAAAATCCAAAGATTCTGCAGTATTATTGGTCCTGACATGGCATCTCGGCTTCAGTCACTTTCCTACCGCCGTAACGTAGCTTCCTTGTACATTTTCTATAAATACTTTCATGGTAATTGTTCTGATGAACTTTTCTCTATGGTATCTAGAGTTTACGAATTTAAGCGCAGTGCTAAATTGGCGGTAAGGTCTCATCATTTTGCACTTGAAATGGCTAGATGCAAGTTCTCTGCTAATAGATTCCTCTATCGCACTTCCCAACTTGTCCAACACTCAGTAACTCCCTTACGTCTTAGTGGCTTTATTGCCCTCTAGGTGTGAAATGATAAAACAAATTGATTCGAAAACATGATTCGAAAACATGACTTCCAAGTGAAGATTATTTGTAATTGCCCACGAGAAAGCGATGCTTTCAGCTTTATTTGATATTGTTTATAGCTTTAAGACTCTGCAAGGGAATAAAGCCATAAATGACCATTGGGTGATGAGGAGCGAGTTCTTGATTTGAGCAACTAACAAATAAGGTTGGGATAACTGGACAAATGAAAATCATATAATTCTAAGAAATATTATTAATCATGCCAATAAGAACTAATAACTGAACCTCGCCATTCTTAACTGTCGGGATCATCTGCCTGGGTAGGTAATAGGCAGTGGTTAGCTATCCATCAAATAGAGTACCTTGTCAGATACTGTGTTAAGTTATGTACTAATAGGATAGAACCCAGGGAAAATGGATTCATGCTTTTTTCAAGTGAACATGAACAGACTTAACTGAAATCGCCAAGTTAACTTTACGTTAATTACATTCGGACTAATATACTCGTATTTGTTGTTATTACCACAACGATTCTATCTTTATGCCCCCCCCCGGTCTTCTTCAGGTGCTTGACAATCCAGGTAACTTTAGGGAATTTTGAACTTTATTTAATCAATGGGAGTAATTTTTTTTTCGTTTCGCTGCCCATGTCTAAGAATATCTTGTCTTGTTCCGACTACTCTGTTATTCCTCCTACTGTTTCCATTGAGTATAAGTCTCTACTACTTGGGCCAGGGATTGAACTTACAATTACTTTGCCACCAAATTCGCAAACGTTTTAATTCACTAGGTTATTGCCTTCTTAAATTAAATAAAGGGTTTAGTTCAAATTCTTTGAAGGTTACCCAGATCGACAGACACCTGAAGAAGGCTTAGTGGACACAACGGCTGAAACGTTGTGATGACAACAACAACAAAGATGAGGACAATAGTCCGAATGTAAATAATAACTCTTCATCCTATAAATTCAAACAGAAATTGCTTCCTCACGCCAATGACTCCCCACACTGAAAAACCACTACACCAACATTATATCAAAACCACCACCGTCACTACCACCACCACCAGCACTAATAATAATAATAATAATAATGTCACTTGTAATGAGTTCTATAAACGAATAGGAACAGTAACAATTCTGGCAAACAACTAAGTTCAGATCATGTTACAATTCGAGCAAAGACGCTTGAAATTTGAGAAGACTAACTTGATTTGCAATGATGATGATCAACTAATTTCGTGTAAAGATACAAATGATGATGATCATCATTGAAATAACTTCATTGTCAATTAAGGCTGAAATTTTAATTAACAAAGAAAAAGTAATTATCGTCATTATCTTTTATTGCTAAAGGCAATGAAAATCGTTATCACAGCTGCACAGATGGCATTTGCTGTTATCAAAATGGTCTCTTTTGCGTTTTAGTAATGAAATTGACCCTCGGCTGGAGTTCAAGCTCCTAACGGCACGAACCTCCAGAGATGCCCTACTTATAGTAAATGTTAACATATAGTGATATCAAAATAACTTGAAAAAGAGTGGAAGACAACGAAGAAATGCAGTAAAAAAAAAATAAGGTATAGTTGAATATCAGTTTGTCTAAAAATGAACGTGCTGGTGTTTTCAGTCTATCTCTAGACGCCTGGTGTAAAGCGATAAAAAGCCAGATAATATCTTTTCCTACTGTAGTGAGATTGCGCCTGACTGGGTGTCCCACTATTGCACCTTAGTTCGATCTTTGTTAAGTCTTTCTCCACTGCGTTTTTTTGCGACAGAAGAAACTAGCCCTAGTGAGGCATTTAATTATCTAGTCATCAGTTCTTGACACAGCTACAAAACTAGTCTTGATGACCATTTCGTTTGCGAAGTGAGTTTCCCACTACGATGGTCATTTGCTGCACAGATGTAAACTTTATATACTAAATAAATTTATTTATCTCAAACTCTTCATTATCTATCTATCTATCTATCTATCTATCTATCTATCTATCTATCTATCTATCTATCTATCGTAAGAGAATTACTACTTGCCTTTTGAACAGTTCGACAAGAGAAAAATGTATTTTTCGTTTAAATTTAAGCAAAACATTAAATAATATTTTTACAGAAGCAAATTATCAAATCAGTTCTATCTATCTATCTATCTATCTATCTATCTTCTTAAATAATCTGTTTCTTCCTGATCTATCTATCTATATCTATCTATCTATCTATCTATCTATCTATCGTAAGAGAATTACTACTTGCTTTTTGAACAGTTCGACAAGTGAGAAAAATGTAATTTTCGTTTAAATTTAAGCAAAACATTAAATAATATTTTTACAAAATTAAATTAATTAATCTTTAAATTTACTATTTCTCTTCGAAAAAATGCCTGGGCAGATATTGTATTTTTAAGAGAATTTTAAAGAGTTTTAATTTTTCTTTTCTCTACGTCCATAGAATTCGCAAATTGAACCGAGGGAAATGATTTTGGTTTTAATTTGTCATTTAAAAATATTTAAAATACTTATTTGAATTCGTATTGTTTTTTAAAAAAATATTAACCTTAGTCTAATATCTTTAAAATAAAACCAAAATTTAACTTTAAAGAAGACATTCCAAATGCTTTTTTCAATTTTTTATAGTAAGCCTTGGCAATACCTAGTTAACAAATTAGTCTCTCAGAAAACTTGTTAATTGAGTGTTCTATCTTATAAAGTGCCTCGTTATGCTAGACTAAGCTAAGTTTATAAAAATCTCTCACCCTGCTCAGTCTTTATAATTAATCAGTATTTCAAATATTAGTAATCATATTTTTAGTAATGTTAGTACTCATATTTTTAATAATCTTATTTTTAGGAGTAATGAAAACCAAAGGTACTAATCGGTCGAGGTGAGACAGTTTGATATCGATAGTGCGCGCTGATTGAGAAGCGAATGCCTTGTTTAAGGGCCGCGAGACTCTTCAGTTGATGATTATTACAAACTGATGCCTGTTGAACATTCACTGATGATTATTATGTTGACGCATTACATCATGTTGGCGGTCGTGACTTTTGACGTATTTGAAAAACGTTTATCGGGTAAATGAAAAAAAAATAGGTCAAAAGTCAGACGCCAGTTTGATAAGCGGTAGTAAACTGGATGCGAAAATAAACAGATAAAATAAAACGGATCCTGTTCAAGTTTAGTTCTGGTTGCTGCTTATTGAAATGATGAATAATAAAAAAAAACTAAAGGAAAAAAAACCCCGAAAAACGCGTCGTCAATGGCTTGATTTGCACCTCAGACAATAATGTAGATTTAACAAATAATAGGTCCAGTGAATAATTCTTGCAAGAATTTGATTCTTGCAGTGAAGGTAAATTGAATTGCGAGGAGAGAGGTTTATGAATCAGCTCGATATCAAAGATTATTTAAAATGGAACATAGATTCCATTTTCCGGTTTCAGCAAGGTGGGAGTGCCACCAGCACGCAAGGGGTTACAGAGAGTGAGAGTAAGTGTAAGGAGGAGTGTTTGAGAAAAGAATAAAGAGAAGGACAGGGATCAAGGTCAAGGCATCAGAAGATGTCGCTTGAAATGACATTTGAATATTTGGAGATTATATCTATCAGAGAAGCAAGTGATAGGAAGGGAGTTCCATTGACGGCAGGTGCGAGATAAAAAGCTCTTGGAGTAGAAGAGATGGCTACATTTAGTCATTTCGACAGTGAAAGGTTGGGCCCGAAATGGCAACCTAGAAGCACGCTTAGACTCATGCAATTTGGGAACCAGTGAAAATAGCACGTCGGAGTAGTTGCCATGGAAGTACTTGTAGAAAAGTCAGAAGGAAGCCACAGCACGTCTGTGAGATAGCGACTGCACACGATTTGCCAGATCAAGACCAACGTTGCATATCAATCTCTGGATTTTGTCGAGGACCTCGAGATGAACAGCGGGAGTACCAGACCATATATGGCAGCAGTATTCCATGCAAAGTCGAATGGTTGACTTGTAGATTTGAAGGATGGACTCAAGCGAGAAAAACCTTCTGGCACGACACCAACTTTCCTTGCGATAGATGAAGCTATGGATTCAATGTAGTTGTTCCACTTCGAGTCAGTGGACAGCGTGAGATCAAGCAGGTGCAAAGAGGCAGTCGTGGAGTTGGGCATCAGCCATCTTGATGGGAGGCAGGGAGGGTTCTCTATGTTGGGTAATTGAGAGCAGTTTTGTTCAAGCGGCATTAAAGTTTACAGGCCATTTCTTGTTCCAGTCAAACACAGATTGGAGGTCCTTCTCGAGGCCTACGGCCAGGTTGGTTTTGTCAAAGATGCCGGATATAATTCTTTATGCCGTGTCCCTTCAGGATGTTGGCTATCATGACTCTCCACAATCTCATGTCATTTGTAGCTCAATAAATTTGGACATAGATTAATTGTTGATAAATTATGCATTATATTCATAATTTGATGACTACAAGACAGGGATGAAAAGATTTCGGCTCACTTCATCCCTACAAAATATTAATAAATAAATAAAAAATTAGATTTAGAGAAATGGACTGAGCTGAGAACTTTTCAGCATATCTTATTAATCAAATGACTTCGTTCGCATTAACAAATCTGAATCTTTAATTTCCAAGTTAAACATGTAGATATTTACATATAGATATTTACTACGCTAATCTTGGTCTGATGGGGATGGGGTAGAATCGATTGTATCTAGCTTTCAAGTATGATAAATAAACTTTCTTTGAAAATCAACATTCTAAATCTTAGAATTAACTGGCAATCGAACACTGTAACAGTGAGAAATATACAACCACAGTAGGTTTATGAACTAGATTAAAATTCGCACTCTGTGCGTACTTTTAAGCTATCTCCTGTGGAGGGCTAATTCAAATCACAAACTCCATGGAGCACCAATTGAGATGAGTTCTTGAAATCACAAACTACATCGAACTCAGATTGAGCTGAGTTCTTCAAAACACAAACTCCATGGAACTCCAATTGAGCGGAGTTCTTCAAAACACAAACTCCATGGAACTCCAATTGAGCGGAGTTCTTCAAAACACAAACTCCATGGAACTCCAATTGAGCTGAGTTCTTCAAATCACAAACTCTGTGGAACTTCAAAAGCTCATGTCACGAAACCTCTCACTTTAACTCTGATTCCTTGGCATTTTGAAGAAATAAAATTGATTTCCTCAATTCACAAAGTTATGGAAACCTTTTAAACTGAACTTAAAAGAAAAATTTTCAAATTCACAATGTTTTTGTGTTACTTTAAACTGAATATAAATTAACAACTTTTAAAATCCCTAATTTTTTTCAGTTATTTTAAAATTTGAATTTTTAACTCTTCCCTGCTCATCCGGACACAAACCCCAAATACTGGATGTTCAAGCACTAGATCAAGGGTAGATTTTCAATCCCGGGATCATACTGATTCCAAAAAGGTATAATATGTCTATATAAAGAAAGTGTGGACCGTTTAAGAAAAGTTTCATACAGAACTTGCCGTTTATTTATTTAGATGAGCTCCAGAATAGCGTAATTAAAAGGTAAGTAATAGACAGCGGATTGAAAACATCAGAGAGCTGAGTTCGAATTCCAGTCAAGTTCATTACATTCAATTACGTGCTTATACCCATGGACAAGGTATGAATGTAACCATTCTCCCACCAGCTATAGGTAAATAGTAAAACAGACTGAATTCTATAGCCTTGGGTGGCAACCGGTCTCGAAGAAACTGTATGTTGCTATGGTGAAGCACAGACAATGCAGCTAAAGAAAGGGTCGTCTGCATTGACTCGGTGATTCTGACTACGGCCGACATAATCATACTCAATGGGGTTTTAAAACATAAAAATCTATACCAAAATGAAACGTATTTACTCATCTGTTAATCAAGTACTGATTAGTTACACGTATGCTCTTCGGAGTTACGTTTATCTTTTCTATTTAAAACTCTTTAATGGACAAGGTCATTTGCTTTTCTTTTCGCAGATAATATCTGATGTTCCTGAAATTTATTACTTACACATCACTTCCGATATCCGGATGCGATTCGCCACAACGCAAGTGGTCAGTCGGATGGCCAATCACCAGAATTATTCAACCGAAGCAACTTTCCATGTCATTCTACCCAATGAAGCCTTCATCTCCAACTTTTCTGTGTAAGATAATTTTTATTTATTTATTTATTTCCAATACAAACATTGGATAATTATACTTAACAATTGATGTGCCTACAAAAGCGTAAAATATAAAGGCGTCAGTTTTTACCAAGAAATTCACTGACGGTGATTAAAATAAAAGAGAAAGAATAATGCTGCTAATTGTTTAAGAGAATTTTTTCTTCTTCTTCTTCTTCTTCTTCTTCTTCTTCTATGTACTGCGTCAGTTCAGGATGTAGGCGATCATGGCTCTCCACAATCTCCTGTTCTTTGTAGTTCTTAATAAATTTTGTCTTTTTGTTATCTCTCCTAAACCTTGTTCCGCCATCCATTTTTTTCAAGCTCATTCTTCTATGTGCCGTATCCCTTCATCTCTCCTAAACCTTGTTCCGTCATCCATTTACACAAGCCCATTCTTCTTCTGTGTGTCGTGTCCCGTTGAGACGCAGGCGATCATGGCTCTCTACAATTTCCTGTCCTTTGTAGCTCTTAATAAACCGTGTGTTTTTGTTATCTCTCCTAAACCTTGTTCCGCCATTCATTTACTCAACTTCACTAGGTAGGTTATACATTGTTTTCATCTGTCTCTCTTGCCTCTGTCTGTGTGTATCAAATGTTCCAGACCCTCCTTCATTATTATGTGTCCTAGAAATTTCAACTGTCTCTTCCTGGTGTTAAATATAAGTATGCTTTGCGTTTTCATTTTTTTTGTAAAACTTTGTTGTTGCTCACATGTTCAGTCTATTGTATTCTCATCATCCTTCTGTAGAACGATATTTCTGTTGTTTCATGTCTCTTCTTCATATGTGTGGAGATTGCCCAGCATTCACTGCCATATAGGAGGACTGGTATTACGTAACAGTTCAGTACTCTTTTTTTTTTGTTTTTAACCACAATTTCTTGTTTCTTAATACTTTGCTTAGCTTTCGGAATGCATATTTCATTATCCCAATACGTCTTCTGATTTCAGTGTCGAATGTTCCGTATTTTTTTAGAATACTTCCCAGATAGTTAAATTGTTGTAGTTGTCTGATTTTGGTACTTCCAATTTATAATTTACATTTTGGGTTGTTTTTTTTTGCTAATAACTACGTATTCCGCCTTCTTTCAATTGACGTTTAGTCTTTTCTTATCGCTTTCCTTCATAATCATTTGCAAACGTTCTTCTAGTTTCCTTACCGTGTCTCCTATCAACACTGTGTTTTAACGACTATAAAAAAAAACGTTTTAGATTTTATTTTGTCCTTAATTCACAATCTTCAGGATCGAGAATCTGTGTTGAAATAATGATTCTGAGAAAACTACTTATGGGACCTCACCACCAAAATTTACTTTTTATAGTTGGATAGTATCGTTCGGTCCATTTGCAATATTAGAGTCATTTTTTACGTTCATTTTTCTTAGTTACCAGTCGACCATCTGCAGTTATTAAGCATATCCTCTGCCGTCTTCATTTTTATTGTGGAAAGGGACAAAGACACAATGTTTAATCGGGCAAAAGGGGTTTATATTTTAGTGTGACACTATGATTGGAATACCCACATAGAGAGGGAAGGTTTTTAAATTTTATCTTAATCTCAAGTGTTTCGTGTTTTATGGCAGGCAGGTGGGGTCTTTGAAGTCGGGTTTTCTAAACAGCACCCACTTGATCGAAGAGAAACAAAAAAATAAATAAAAGGAGAGATTTTGAGGATAAGCGACAACAAAACGGACATTGAGAAATTCCGGTTGCTGATGTATATCAACGTTTGGGATGGAAGAAGTCAGTTCTGGTCTTCCTTTAGCGAGGATACTGTTCATAGGGTTGTTCCCATGCCGTCCGTTCGTGTTACTAGCCATGCGTCGTGATGTTGAGTTGAAGGGAAGAATTGATTTATTAGTCTCATTTGACAGGTTGTCCCAAGTGTCATCTACATATCTACCCAAGTGATTCCTTGTATAATCAGTATTCCTTATTTCTCGTCGTGGCATTATTTTCACCATTCTATTCCCTGCGAGCTTGCTGCGGGTCTTTGCCAATTGTTGGTGCACACCAACATGAACTAGGATGTAGATGCAATCTGGTGTAGTCATATACGGTTGGTGAAAACTTAGATGGGGCCCAGTTTTTTGGGCTGCATTGACAAAATAACACAAAAAGTTTATCATTTGAAAGTAGAGATTTTATCGGTGATCATATGAAAAAGAGATATACCATTTCAAAATATGAATTTGTAACTTGGCAAACAAAGACTTACTGTAAATGATTTCCTTGTTCATCTTCCTACAGTGAAATTGATGGCGTCGTGTACCCAGGAGAAGTAAAAGAGAAAGAACAGGCCAGAAAGGCATTCGAAAAGGCGAAAAGAAAAGGACAAAGTGCTGGTCATGTTTCTCAGAAGTAAGTACAATTTGGGCAAGTTATTGAACTTTCTTTTAACATTTTTTATTTTATTTCTTGTATGTTTTTCTATTGAATGCATCTCGTTTTTAATCATTCTGAGAATACACAGGCGGGCTTGTGGTAAGAAGCGATAGTTAAAACCCATTCATTTAAAGGAAACGTGTACGTTGAATAAAGGATAAAATAATCATTATTGTTGTGGCCTTTTTAAGGCCAGAAATAAAGACAAAGAGAGGAATTGAGTTAAACATATATATTAACAGAAACAATAATACAAACATATACAAACGAGAGTGTTACAAGAATGTTCGGTCCGACTGTCAGAGCTGACTGCTGGAAACTTCCCTCTCGAAAAGGCAGTACCTGCTCCTATTTATAGCTGGGACTATGCGTGCATAAGTAAATTACCATAAGAATTATGAACCATGAGGGAAATTATCAGAATTCTTCTCCATAGCAGGCGAAAGACGCATAAAGAAAAACAGAACAGAAAACACAAAAATTTAAAAATACATTCTATTTCCAATAATTGATAATACTATACCCGTTTAGCCGATCAAGGCCCTCTATAGATTCCTACTATCTGTTATCTGTGAATGGCCACCACTTCTTTAGGCGTGGCGTGTTTTCTCCACGATTTTGAGTTTTCTTTCTCCTAGACAGACTGCCATTCGAGACTTGACAGCCCAGTATATCCTGTTACTTAAGCCATAGCTGAAAATTAACATTACAAAGACACAGGTTTTAGGAATTATTACTCAATAATAGACTATAAAAACAATAGATATTGTGATAAAACGCAGACTCACGCACGCACACATATCCCCAAACAAACAAACGCCACAGAATCCATTTATTTAACTAGTTGTTGATTAAAAAGGCAATTGACTCGGTTGAACACGCGGCAATTTTTAATTTACTACTAGAGCAGGTATTAGCGTAAGACTATATAAGAGTAATTGAAAATATATAGAATAACAGCACAACAATAATTCGATTAAATAAAAAATTGTTAAAGGAGGGAGGTAAGATTTTCTCTAAACTGTTTACAAAATGTTTTGAAATTATATTTTGGAAAGTAAAGTGGGAATGAAATAGATATGGCGAAATATTTCAATCACTTACGACTTGCAAAAGTCAAACAAGTGATATGAAGATAAAACACATAAAAAACATATTTCCAAACAAACAAAAACAACAGTATTCCTTTGTTTAGTTTTAGCTGACTATGAAAAGTCAAACTATATTAGCATTATTGAAAATATATACAATGACAGCACAACAATAATTCAACTAATTTAGGTATGTCCAATACTTCGCTAAAAAAAGGCCGCAAACTCGATAAACAATTTTTATTGTCTAAATGTTTGTTATTATTAAGAAGAAAGACCAAAGTATTTTTGATTATGTAAAAAAAAAAAAATTTTATCCCTCCGAGCACGTCTGAAATTTTAGTCAAAAATCTTGTTTTTTTTTAGTCAGCAAAATTTACAAAAAATCGAACATGTCAGCCATTTTTGACAACTTTGTAAACAAAAGTAGAATTCTCCGTTTAAAAATCTTGTAAAATTTAATTATACTTTTTTGAAAAGTTATTTTAGGAAAATTAGAAAATTTAAAGTTTACTTAATGTAATTAGAAACAAACATTACTTAATATTTTAAAGAAAAAAATTAGTTGGAAATAAGAGAAGCATGTCTAATCGTGGTGATTGGTTTTGGAGGTGTGAATTGACGTTTACGTCAATGTATCGACAACTAACATCAGCGCAATTTATCGAACGGAAGGACAGAAGTGACAATATTTTCGAATTTTAAGTGAACCAGCTTATTTAACTATAAAGTAATTCTAAAAAATTAAATAATGTCAAAAGTCTAATATTTTATTGACTTCCTAGGTACTTTTTTTTAACGAAGATATGTCCAAAGCCTGCACTGTTTCCGTCCTTAAAATTGAACGTAAAAAAAAGAAAATTAATAATTGCAGTATATCTCTAACTGAAAAAGAAAAAATTGTTTATATTTTAAAAAAAGGAAAATAAAATGTTTACTAAAATATGAAAAAAAAGAAAATTAGAAATTTTGAAAATGCGACGATGATGGTCGGCCAGTCAGAGAATTTGATAGGTGCTAGACAGAAGGAAATCAACGCAATTTATGAAGCCGGGTCCTCGCTATCAGGAGAAACAACGTAACATTATTTCTGAATTGTGCCTCCATAGTTTTGCCGGAAAAGTTTTTAATACATTTTTGGCATATTAAAAAATTATTTTAAAAATACAAACGCTTTGCAGATTAAAATAAGCTTTCAAATTTAAGATCTGTAAAAATAGTTCTTTTTAATGTGATTTCCAAAGAGACACATATTCAAACTTAATTTTAAAATATTTAACAACTTTATCACATTTTGTATTTAAAATTGCAAAAAAAGGAAACAATTCTTGTAAAAATTCATTTTTCATCGGAAAAATATTTTGGCTTTAGATAATAATGTCCTTAATATATATTATTCATAAAATCCATTAAAAGCTTTCCTAATTAAATAATGTCTTAGTTTTATTGGGTTTTGTATTTTAAAATTCAGAGCTAAATTTTAAGTAGAATCGCTTCTCAATTTTCAAAAAATCGATGTTTTATATTCTTCAAAGTCTTTTGCATTTAATTAAAAAATCACAAATATACACACATATTTGAAATTTCGAGTTTTCATGAAATTAAGTGGGGGATAGCAGATATAAAAAACATTTTTACCATGACTTTCTAAAAAAATTTTTACCATGACTTTCTAAAAAAATAAACGTTTCTAAAATAATTTCATTTTTCTTTAATAAGTTCTAAAGTTTCATTAAAATGTGATAATTATTTGATTTTTGTAAGAATTTTCAAAGTAATGTGTTTTCAACTAAAAATACGCTAAAAAAACTAATGCTAAATATTACGTGACCACTGATGTAAAAAACAAGATTTTTAACCAAAATTTCAAACGTGCTGAAAAGGAATAAAAAATTTTATAAAATAATTTAAAAAATTTTGGTCTTTACTTTTAATAATAACATAAACATTTTGACGATAAAACTTTGTTTTTATTAAGTTTGGGGCCTTTTATCATCATTCTATGCTGTTTTTTGGCGAATTATTGAATATACCGAGACTAAATAAAAACAGATAATTTTAGGTGGGATTTTTTAAAAATCTAGCCGATTTCATTTATATTTTTTTTCTTTTGTTAGAAGATATCCCATACTGTGATAATAGAAAAAAAAATTAAAATTCCCAGCATCCCTCGTTCGTGCACATGTGTAGTTGCACCAACAAATTCAGTCCGATGAAGTCCTGAAGGACGAAACTCATCCCATGAAAACTTTTTCCACTTTGTCATACCTTAATATTATTCTTGATATATAAAAATACTAGCTTAAAAGCCGCCCTATCAAGCGGCATTTAAGCCAGCTAATATCAAGAGCTCTTGATTGGGCCTTCATCACAATAGGTAGTAAGGAGTAGATGCGATAGGCAACAATAAACTACAGAACTCAAAATTGATCGCTGCATTTAAGTATGGTATTAATATTTAAACTTACCTTTTAAAAGTGCAATGATAATTCTGCTGCCATTTAAAGACAATTTGATGCACATAGGTCCTTACTTTCTGTACAAACAATTATTTTTATTTCATGGATGACTTTCGCTGGATTTCGCAATTAATTTCGATTATTCACAAATTTATTTCCAAGTTATAAAAAATTGTTATCATACAAAAAAATTGTCGCCAAAAATCACGTAATAATCGTCGAAAACAATCGCAGTAATGAAAACTTGGGAATCCAAAATGTCAGGATTGCGGGTCTGGATCAGACCCGGAATGTTTTTAATTTGCTCAGGGAGTGGGTCTGATTCGAAAATGGTATAATATGTTGGGCTACGGCCTATAGAAGTAAAGTTGAAAAAGTGTGACACAGTGACATACTGATATTCGCATTTATATATATATATATATATATATATATATATATATATATATATATATATCGTTATCCCTTATATGTGTCTGTTTATAATCGAAGACGTTTACTTTTTTCATTCAGGCCACGAGACACGAATACTTTTAAAGTGAGTATCAACGTAGCAGCCCTGAGCAATGTGACATTTGAACTGCGCTACCAGGAGCTTCTTCGACGTCGCTTGGGGACCTATGAGCACGCGGTTTACGTGAACCCAGGACAACCAGTGAAAGATATGATGATTGAAATATTCCTTACCGAGTCTCAGAGGATTACTTACTTCCGCGTACCTCCACTTAGAACAGAAAATGCTGCAACAGGCATCGACAACGCAGGTAAATCCACTTTACAGAATATAATAAATGTCATTTCTCTGTATATAATTTATGTAGAGTCGCTATCCATGACCAAACCCTTTCATGTAGAAACTTTAAATTTAATATACATGCTTAGTGGAACCGGGGTGATATTTCAAATTAGTTTTTTTCTTTCTATTATGTTATGTGAATTTACCTTCAGTAGTAACAATTACTCTTTGTAACCGTTCGGAGATGTTTGCACGTCTCCGATCAGCAATTTCTAATCTTTCCTTCTCTTAATGGGTCATTTAGTTCCCACGTTCGAGTGAGCCTGTATCGATGCTTGGGCTCTACTTAGACATGACATCTCTGGCCTATAGAAAATTATGTTACCTGATTCCTGGGTAAACGTCATAGTTTCATCTCATGTGGTATGCCCGTAATTTATTCCCAAACCTGGACTGGTTGTCTCTCCATCAAGTTTACTAGAGATAAATGCTTCTCTGGGCTGGCATTTTCCGCCTGAGAGTCAGATATCCGTACTTTAGAGTGACTCTTAAACAGGTTATCTTATAAACATGTGCGGAATAATGAAGCTACTGTATTGCCATTTTGTGAATGGGATCTGAACCTTGCAGTAGTTTCTGGTGGGTCATCTCGATGCCACGATGAACTGTACAGTATCGGCTGTACTTTTCGGTAGTGAATTCCGTGTGTTTTTTCAACATATACCCCTTGGAGTTTTAGTATCTCGTTACCCCGACAACTCACCACTCTATACCAAAAAAAAAAAAAAAAATGAAGAAAGATAAAATATATAGAAGAATCAATCCCAGACAATCAATACAGAAACCCAATTTCTCCATCTCTTTAACTAATATAAGGAGTCTATGATCCGTCTAACCAGAGGTTGAACTACATCTTCAAGAAGTCAAGCCTGACATCCTAAACTTGACTTTAAGACTTCGCAATCCCGGGTTACTCAACACTAGTCACGAAAGAAGATCCTTTAAATCGAAACGACCATATTCTTGGGACCTATATCAGGGATTGTTTCCCCTGCAGCAGAGATACCCACCGCTCGCATAAAAAAAAGTTCTGTCATATACCGTAGCTATGAACAATAAATACGTTGGACATTATTGCAAGTAGTCCGCCACTAGCAGTGGTTTACCTACTTCACGCCGATGTAGAATAATGTATTTTGCTGATGTTATAAAGATTACCATTTCATTTCCAACCTCCGTTTTGGTTATTCCTCATTCAGTAAACTTTCCTAGGCTACAACAAAAACCGACCTCGTAGCTCTGACAGCTCATGGGGGCGGGGGAGGCTTGTATCATTCAATACTTCCAAAACAAAGCTGGTAACGTTTGATCACTACCGAGCAAAATCCAAAAGCACACACCAGACCTCAACTGGAACGTATATTCGTGTCGTAGATAAAAATAGTAGAAGAATGGTCAGTTCCTTGAGTCGATTCAGAAAATATCTAACCCCTGGTGCCATGCTCTATCGTTACAAGATTCAGATCAGACCAAGATTAGAGTATTGCTAACATATTTGGGCGGACGCTTCCCAGTCCTCACTGTCCAGCCTTACAGAAGCATTTACGCGACCTTGTGGGTGATGAATTATTTTCACCCCTGCAACCCCTTTCTCACAAATTAAACGTTGCTAGCCTCGTAACATTCTATCGCTATTACTATGGCACATGTTCTTACGAGCCCCCCCACCCATCTCAGCTAAGACCTTCACAGCCAGGACCCGTCATGACATGTTCACGGTGGTAAATCATTCTCATTCCTTTCATATTCATTGCTGCTCATTGTCCTCGTTGTTCATCCTTCACAGAGTTCAAAAGCATTTACGCGGCCTCTAGGGTGATGAATTATTTTATACCCTGCGACCACTTTCCCAAAGGCTAAAAGTTGCTAGCCTCTCGCTACTCTATCGCTATTGCTGTGGTAAATGTACAAAAGAGCTACATTCCTTAGTTCTACCTCGGATCCACCAGGCCTTCACAGCTAGGACCCATCAAGACACGTACAAAGCGTCAAATAATCCTCATTCCCTTCGTATTCCTTTGGTAAGGAGAAAGTCCACGCAGACAGCTTCTTCCCTAGAGCTGTCACTCTGTGGAACAGACTCCCGAGAGGGTGCTTCCATGTATTTACAATATTTACCTCTTCAAGTCCAGAGTCTTACATATCCACATAATATGCACTTTTTACTTCTCGCTTACTTACAACAATCTCACTCTGTAAGCCTCTACCTTGAGTGTCCCTTGGGTCTTGTATTGGGTTAACTAAAATAATAATAATAATAATATCGAGAAGAGAAAAATTATTTCCCAGATTTGTTTTATACTTTCCAGAGTAATTGAATAGATTTTTTTTTCTTTTTAAGCAATAAATATAACTAAAGAGGTCAGCCATATTTATGACCTGTGTCGCTGAAAATGAACTTTGTATCACGGGACTAATGAAAATAACAGATTTTTGAATGACATCAAAGTTTATAAAATAAATCTTTCACTTTTTAGTATTAAAAACAACGTGAGTTTATTTTGCAGTCTCTGGATATTCTTTATTTGTCAAGAGCGATGCAAGTGCTCATTTCTTACCTGGCGTAAACGGCTACTTTAGTTCATAATCGATAATCACTTTGATGTTGATTTTTTTGATCTTCGTTTTGGAATCAAATTTGATATGATTAGTTCAAACAGCTGATATTTATTCTGTAAACACATCGACTGATGAGAGAAACTGGCGGTGGGGTCACTGGTTTCATATTGGATTCTTAGCTAGATTGTTTATAGACTAAGCTAGACGTTTATTTCTCTCGCCAAAAGATCATCTCCATTAATCATATTCTTTCTCAACCACCGTAATACTTTCTGATAATTGTTAGAAAATTATCCATAATTTTTGAGAACTAAAGATAAAACGAAATTCCATGCGCAATATGTTCTTCTTTGCTATAACATTTTGCTTCACTCCATTACGTATAGCCGAAGTGTAGCGGTGATCTTTATGGAAAACAAATGTGGCAAACCGGGTTCGAATATCGGCTGAGTTCATTTTGCATTTCGGCTTTTAGAACAACCATGAGTTCATCTCTCCTTTTATATTATCAATTCCATCATCAAGTGCCATCAAGAAAGCCTTATTAACATGCTGTAATAGATGACATGCTATAATAGATGACATATTAATATGCTATAACAAATGACTATAATAGATGTCATAATAGATGATCATGACGTGTAATGTTATTTCAAAGGTCTTTCGTCGGCGCTTCCTAATTTGTAATCCACTTCGGCAAGGCCACATTTTACTTAAAATGGAAACGGCGCTAACGGATGCCTTGGAGATTATGAGGTTAACAAATTGACGATTATTTATTACTTATCGTAAAATTTTGGTCAAATACTAATTGTGGTGGCTGAGAAAGTTGTGTTTCGGTGTTGGTGATCAGTGTTCGATTCAAGGTAAAAATCAAGAAAAATTAAATGTTGATTTTCAAAACTTTTTGACTCTTCCTAGTTGGTAGATCGGTGCAACACATTCTTCCTATCTCTGTTTCTTTCCATTTGACCTTATGCGTTAATAAATTCAATTCATACCAAATATATTTTGTCGGAAGTTTTCAGCTAAATTCTTATTTATCGTTATTAGTTATTTTCTTTTTTTTCAGTCGAATTAGTAATAAATATAAAAGCGTAAACTTCACTTTTTTATATAAAGCATTTACCTCTATGGTAGACACATATTAGGTATCACATTTGTTCTGCAAAAAATAAGGCATCATTCTACAGGAACTTTCACATATCTTTAGAGAATATATCAATATTTATGTACACAGTAGGCATGAAGAAATATTTTAATAAACAGGGCGCTCAGTAAAAAAGTGGCAGATTTACTGTTTTATCTTTCAGGAACAATTGATCTTAAATAACCTTCAATAAATTTTTTAAATTTTCATGATCTTGAATAATCATTTAACTCTCGCGTAAATACTTAACTCTGATTGGTTCTTTTATGATTGATTATTTGCTGTTCGATCTTGTGACTCGTTATTTAAATGTTATTCTTCTCTTCTCGTATGGCTAAAAATCTCACTGATTGGGGTGTCAAATTATCGTACTTTTCAGAGAAGAACATCCGACGTGGGGATCGACGAAATGTGCAGAAATTCTTTCTGAATTTTTCAGTTACATCAGTAGTCACCATTTTTCAACGTGTGTCTCACGTCTTTCTGTATTTACTGCTTTTTTTTTTTTTTTTTTTACTGGGCACTCTGTGGTTTAGTTTTGGTGTACTGGTAAAATATGAAAGTGAATGTCAAGTAAAAGAATGGTGGTTTGTTTACCATTATTATCAGCGTTAGAAATTTTATTTGAACATGGAGCGTTGGTGAAAGGTACGAAATTACTTCATCCAGTTTAATCACGATTGTTTTATAGCAGTTGAATATTATAATTATTGGTTGACATTTTATTTCAAGTCTCTTAGGGACATGCAACAGAAATTATAAAGTTTTATAATTTTTGTCATATGAATAGCATAAAATGGGTCTTGATTATTTAAAGTCAAATCAGAAACGGTGTTTTCGTAACTCACCTCTTTCGAGGAGAATTACGCGACGGGAATGGAGACTATTTCGTTCATTTGTTTTTTTGTTTTTTTTTATTACGTGAATGCTGGCAATAAGCTGGATAAACAGTTAATATTTAATGTTACTATAATCTAAACCATTCCAGCAACCAATCCCGATGCAACATGGACGCGCCCAACTCCCAAAACCGCAAGTGTGGTTTATCGGCCCGCTGATGACACGCAGATTGTAAATGGCGCCTTTCTTGTGGAATATGAAGTTGACCGCCAGCCAGGAAGCGGAGAGATACTTGTAAGTAAAGTAGATCTATCTATCTATCTATCTATCTATGTCAGTATTTTCAATTTCTGTATATTTCAATATGTTTATATCTATTTTCGTCAGGGCACTTCGATGCTTGTCTTTAGATCAATTACGACTGAATAGTGAGGTCTATCCTCATTGGATGCCCGTTATTTTTGGCCTTGAAAACCACTATAACTTTGCTCGTATCTATCTATCTATCTATCTATCTATCTATCTATCTATCTATCTATCTATCTCAGTTTATATGTCTCAGATGAGGTATTGTAATTAGTTACATTGTTCGGACTGTTGCTCTCATCTTTGTTGTCATATTCACGTTTCGGCCGTTGTACGCTCCGGCCTTTTTCAGGAGATTGGAATTTCGAACCAAAACCTTTATTTCGTCCACCGGGGTAAATTGTTCTAGTTCTACATGCCGTGCCTCTTCCGTGTATCTCATTTTCAGTTCTTTACATTTAAACTCAACTCTCCAAGTTATTGTCACCTCTGTTGTGGCTAGGTATTGAACTCACAACTCACTATCTTTACAATTTATATTTCCATCTCAGTCTTATTTATTTGTCTGTCTCCACATCTATCTATCTATCTATCTATCTATCTATCTATCTATCTATCTATCTATCTATCGCGTGGTGCCAGTCTTAAGTGTTCAGGTCTATGTAAATGCTAGTCAAATAAGTTCTCATTCGGACGACGCCAATCTAGTAAGGAAAATTCATTTGTTGTTATCTTTATATATCTGATTTTTTTCTTCTTTTTTTTTATCTTTTTAGGCCGTCAACGGTTATTTTGTGCATTTTTTCGCTCCCCAAGGATTCGAGGCCCTTCCCAAAGATATTCTTTTCATCCTTGATAGTAGCGGTTCAATGGGCGGCACAAAAATCCACCAACTAAAGGCGGCCATGTTGAGGATTCTCAAGGACTTGAATGAGGGCGATCGCTTCAACATCATTCGCTTTAGTGGCGGGGTAACTTATTGGAAACCCCAAATGCAAATGTATAAGAAAAGCATTTTGCTTAATGCACTCAGTTGGGTCGATAATTTGGTAGCCAGTGGCGGTAAGTGTTTGATGAAATTTACACATTTTGTTTCTTATCGTTAAATGCTTTCATTAGAAATTATGCGTCAGAGTAATGTTTAATGCGCTGTTCTGCTGTACTTGATCCTCAATACCTGTTGTGCAACTGGAAAATCGTTAAGATGAAAAAGCAGTAAATATGAATTTGTCTGAATAAGATTTCCTCGATGAGTGTAGATTTTGACACCATAGCTCAAATGATTGTTACGGGTTGTGGGTTTATAACCCTTTTTCACGCCAGCTACATCCTATGATTTAACCACGTTTAGTGGTCCGATCATCAGGGTCTTGGGACGACGTTTTAACCACAGACGACTCTTGGAAAAAATTCTTCCATATAACTTGCGTTCAACAGCAAATCGTCACGGATAACGTTGTTAGCGACGATTTAGAAACAAGCTCTCGATATGGCGGGTGCTGTAATAATTGTTTTAATGACCTTTGAAAAGATTTTTTTTTAATTTTTCACCACAAGCAGGTCGAGAATGTCACTAGTACGCAGGGGCTTACAGAGTGTGAAATTAACAGAAAAGACGGGGGTGGGGGATTGAGGAAAAGACAAGAGATGAACAGAATTCATCAAGATGGCGACTGACGTTGCATTTACATTTTTGATGATTGTAGTCATTAGGGATGCAAGTAAACGGAAAGAAGTTACACAGGCGGGAAGCGCAAGAAAGAAAGAAACTGTTGCAATAGAAGTAGCCGTAGCATTTAGATATTTCAACATGAAACAAGTGGGACCTAGCTGCCAATCTACTACCACGCTTCAATTCAGGATCGATCACATTACAGATCCTTTGTTGGAGTTCGTCAAGTATATATCTTTCCAATGGATTCTGGCAGAAAATGGAAAGTATAACAACACTTGTGGGTGATGCAAAAAATTAAGTCGTTACTTACTTCCTGTTAAATTGTTGCAGTTATCTATTTCGAAGGCACATATATGTTGGTTTGATTAAGTGCACATAAAACAGTAATTTTTTTTTCACTTATATTACCCTTATTGAAAAATATATTTATACTTGCGTTTCAGTACCTTTTTTTAAGACAATAATGCCACTAAAACGCAAGGAAAGTACTGGGGGTGAAAGAGAATGAAAAGAATTTAGAAGGAATCGATAACTAAATGCAAAATAGGGATCAAGAGATAAACCTCTACTTTTGTTCCAAAGAGCGGGGAGGTGTGGGAACCGGGCTATAGGCGAACCTATCTGCTCCTATTGAGGAAAAAATAATTGTTAAATCAAGTTTCAACGTTCAAGCGGAGACTTTAGAAGGAACCGGAAACCCTATCCTAAACAGGAAACAAGGAATAAATCTGTTGCCATTAATTAGGCACCTTCCTGTCTCCTGCCTTTCAAGAACTTTTTTTTTCGGAAAAGAACTGATCTGTCGCATGCAGTTTTCCAAGGCGTTGGCGTTTTGTTCATTAAGAGAGTTTTGTAAAGACTGAAATAAACAGTAAAGTCGCCTTACCTGTCGAATACGAGTGAAAGCTTTCCAGGTAACTTGAAAGGAAAAAAAACTTTGCAATTCAACGTTATCTGCATTGAATACTGCGTCCTTTCTCTTCATTAATTCTGGTCACTTTTGTCTTCAATTCGCCTGATTCGGGGCGATATTTGACTGCATCGTTTGCTTCTTCAAAATTGACATAGTAAAAGATTCTCTTCAGCTTCTACCATGTACACTGCATCACTTAGTTTAACAGGGTACTAGCCATTGTTTTGTTATAGTTAGTAGTTGGTCATTTCACTTTCTCAATATTGCATTCTGCACAATTGTAAAGTATCCACTTTTCATCGCCCGTCACAATATTTAATATTAGTGAATTGAACAGAGAAATACTGTCAAGCAGGGACTCTCTTAATATACGTAAAATACACTCAATGTTTGTCCTATATTTAATTTCTGTTTTAAATATTAAAGTTTACAGTCACCTTCCCACCACCATAACGTAGCTTCCCTCTGCCTTATCTATAAATACTTTCATGGCAATTGTCCGGATGAACTTTACTTTATGGTACTTAGACTTCATGAATTTAAGAGCAGTACTAGATTGGCAGCAAGGTCTCATCATTTTACAGTTGAAATGGCCGCTAGATGTAACCTTAAGTTCTATTTTAATAGTTTCTTTTCTTGCACTTGATTGTGGAACTCTCTTCTGGCTTCTTACTTCGCAGTCAAAAAATGTAAATGCAACTTTAATCATTATCATTCTGTCTTAATTCTTGATCTTTTATTGTCTTCTCTCCTTAATTGTATTTTTTTTCATATTCTCTAACATTCAATAAACCATTGCGTCTTGATGGCTATATTGATTTACTTGGGCTTAAAAGATTAAAAAAATATGGGAAAAGCCAAATAAAAGTGTCTTTGATAAACGATGTGTTAGATTTGATGTTGAGAAAACGCTGACAGTTTCTAATGCAATCATTAATGTACTTGTGACAGTCATTATACGTCTCTGGGCGCATACAAAGTTTTTGCAGATCGAAGTTATAAAGGCATACACGCACCATTGAGGAGTCTTTGGGAAGTAAGGTAACCTAACTGAGTACAACCAATTTCTTTTGAAGTTAAATGTCAGAAACTTTTTTCATACTGCAGATATATAAATTAATACGTACAATCTTTTATCCGCTTGAACATTATTTTGATATAGGTACCAACATTAACTCTGCTTTGGTTTCGGGAATTGATATGCTGAAGAAGTCACAAAGTGATGAGTTTGGATCAAGAAGTGGCATTGTGGTGTTTCTGACCGATGGCGAGGCGACATCCGGAGTTACCAATAAAGATACTATTTTAAAAAATGTCAAAAAAGGAAATAAAGGCGAATTTCCTGTTTTTGGGCTGTCATTCGGTGCTGACGCTGACTTCAAACTCTTGCAGAAGATTTCTCTTCAAAATAATGCCGTTGCCCGAAGAATCTACGAAGGCTCTGATGCAGCTATTCAACTGAAAGGTTTCTATGATGAGATTTCAGCCGCTCTTATTGCCGACCTGTCATTCAGTTATCTGCCAACTGAGGTAAAGTTTTATTTATTTTGATATTTTCATGCTATCCATTTTTTGCTATTTATGATTGGTGTTCTCTCTCTCTCTCTCTCTCTCTCTCTCTCAATTTTCGGACATTCCAATTGCAGAATATGGTTCACACAAGGCAAGTAGGTCTTTCACTGAGATGTTTTTTCCAGATCACCCTCGTAATTTAAAAAAAAAACTAATGAATCAGTTTTCTTTTTTAAAAATGTCCCCTTTCAATCTTAGAGTATATACGAGGGCCGTTCAAAAATTTCGAAGCCTCCCCCAGAAGGATTTGGAGAAATAAGACAGTCATTTCCCTATTTTTCAATATACTCTCTCTGGACATTTTTAGAAAAAAATGGCGTTCTGACTTCTTTAGTCATATTTTAAAGTTTCCAAAAGGGTGATCGCTCTGGTCGGTTGAGTTTGAAAAACAGTCGGATATTTGGGTCTGGACAATGTAATTCAAAGCTAGTTAGCTGTATGTTAGTGGTAGTGGCGCGTTATCCTGGGAAGACCTTTACCTTCCCCAGTTATTAAACTAGTACTGTCCATTAATTTTTGCCTTGTTGATAAGCCCTTGAACGTTTTCAGGGTTGGAGAATAAAGTGTTTTCACTGTTTGCCTTTGGTTCATGTTCGAAGTGGTGAATCAGATTTCATCTCGGGTTACTAATCTTGGATGGAAATCCTCAGGCTCAACTTTGAAGCGAGTGAAAGGAAATGTCAACCCAGCTTCTGCTCTGTATCAGCATGCTTGGGATCCATCTTGCAGACAGCTTGCTCATTCTCAAGAGAGCTCAGGATGTTAAAACAGTATGGACCGAACTGAACGTTTCTATCTTCTCGACAGAAAGACGTCTGTCATCCAAACCATACGGTGAAATGCATCAACTTGTTCATCAATGGTTGAGATTTTTGGACGATTTGACCGAGGGTCATCTTTTGTGCCGAGATTCTTAATGACTTATTAACAGTTACAAGGAAGGGAAACCAAAGTACCATGTCCTCTAATTTCCTTGGGTGTCATGTATTACTTTTGGAGACACTTTATAAGTGTTCGGACGTCTGTTTTATCCATTTTTAGATTTGTCGCACACCACTCACCTCTGTATTGGCCTCACCTGCACAGAAAGAGAAAAATCTGAATTAACTAGTTTTATAAGAAGTGGTAGTGTGTTTCCACAATAAAAATGTTCAGTTATGGCTCTTCTTTCTGGGTGAGGCTTCGAACTTTTGAACGGCCCTGTCTAAGATTGAAAGGGGACATTTTTAGAAAAGAAAATATCTTTAGTCTTACTGGAAAACATCGCCTTATTTGGTCTACAAAAAATATGTTAGTTTGTATTAGAAAAATTTACCTTCCCCCAATTCCTAGGCCTTGTTGTTAATTTAGTTTGCCTTACAGGTAGCAGTCCGGCAAAAAGGCATCTGATATGAAAAGTGCATACGAAACTGGCGTTTCCTTGAGGAAAAATTCACCAATTAACATTCATCTGAGATTAATGAATATTTAAGGAAACCAAAGAGCTAATGCGAGCACAGCTAGTGCAGTGGTTAATGCGTTTTATCTATGGCAAGAGCTGTCAAATGAATGTTATTTTATCCAGCATTTTGTATTCGAAAACTTGCTCTATCCTAGGTGTTATTTTGTTCACTACTTTTGTTTTTAGTTTCTGTGGAAATAATTAGGCAGTAGAGCCTCCATTTTTTTTATCCAGCCGTTTCCAGCCAAACATGATATATAAAGGGTGTATCAAAAATACTTTTACACACTTTGGGGCAGGTTCCTCATGCTAAAACAAGGGCAAAGGTCCATACAAACATGTCTGCAAATCCTTCGTTTTTGAGTTAAGTTTAAAGTTTACGGTAGACGCTTTCAATGTACAATCCAAGATACAATTCAAAAATACTTTGGGGCGGATTCCTGGCACCAGAGTGAGGTAAAATGTCCGTATAAACATATGTCCAAAAGGCCATACCTCAACCTCAGCACAGCAACTCAACAAATGTTCAAAATGTCCTCTGTTTGCTTCTACACACGCATGAATCGGTGGTCAGGCGTACGAGTAGATTTTGATCTTCCTCGATCCATAATTTGTGATGCCACAAATCCTGTCTCAGCAACGCGGCGATAAACAGCAGCAAAGGTTGGATGACTCGGCTGGAAACGCAATCTGATACAGCCTCGCGTCCATTAGCATGCACGCGGCCGTATGTAAAAATCATATCTACCTGCTCACGATATGAACCTACTGCCATTGTTAAACGGAACACTTTTCAGTTAACGCACTACTACACACGTTAAACGTAGAAGACAGACTAGCCACAAATGTACACGAATGACAAATGTAACATAGTCTACACAGCGCCATCTACCGTAAACTTTCTTTTAACTTGATTAGTAAAAAATGAAGGATTTGTGGACAGATGTTTATGTGGACATTTATCCTTATTTTAAAGTATTTTTGAAATACACCTTCAATATATTATATATATATATATTTATATATATATATATATATATATATGGGTGCAAGTATTTTGAAATATGTCAGCAATGCTAAAAGCTTTTACTTTACGTTTATTTCAAGACTGTCTTACCTGGATATAAAATAATTCACATCTCTTAAATCGGTACCTCAGTAAGATCGTAAAGTGCTACTCTTTCGAAACGAACAATATAAATGAAGTTTACGGATTTTTGTATCACGTTTCATGAAGCTCTCAACATAAAAATCATTTTTGATCGAGTACTCGCTTTCTTTGTAGGTTGTAAACGATTCTTTGACTACCAATACATTCCGTCGATATTTTAACGGAACCGAAACTGTAGTAGCCGGAAAACTGGCCGAAGAAGACCTCTCCAGTCTTTCCATGTCCATTGGTGGAACTACCAGTTCCGGGTCTTTGGATCTGTCAGAAACAGTCAAGTCAGAATACAGTAATATTGCAGACCCAGGTGTTGGTCTACTTACGGATGAAGATATTCAGAATATGCCGGAAAAACTTTGGGCCTATTTGACGATCAAGCAATTGGACAATAAGCGACTCTCGACAGATAGTACCACTGAAAAAGAAGAATTAACCAAAAGAATGTTGGAATTGTCTCTGAAGGTAAGAAATTCAATGGTTTTTTTTTTACTTTGGCGTTATTTGTTTTATAATTATTCTTTGATCAATTCACTGTATTTCTGATCAAAGAGTTTTTACAAATATAAAATTTTCACAGATGCGTGCACACACACACACACACACAGACACACACACACACACACACACACACATATATATATATATATATATATATATATATATATATATATATATATATATATGTACGGTTTGATTGAGGTTGACATAGTTGCTGGCGTCAGGAAATAGGATTGATATTCAAGACAAGCAGGTTTTCTATTTCATTTGATGTGGCTCAATGGTTCAGACTGTTCATATCTAGCCCAGGCTATTCATATCTATCTATCTATCTATCTATCTATCTATCTATCTATCTATCTATCTATCTATCTATCTATCTAGCTAGCTCAGCTGATTCATATGTATATATCTATCTAGCTCAACCTGTTCATATCTATCTATCTAACTTGCTAGCGCAGTTGGAAGAGAAGTTGGTTGTACGAGGGAAGAAAATGTTAGCCTAGAAGTTACGGTTATATCTAGCCAATCCAACTGTAAATTGATGAGACCTTCTTGCCAATCTACTACAGTACTTAAATTCATAAAGTCTATATACCATTCATCAGAACAATTACCATGAAATTATTCATAGAAAATGCACAGGGAAGCTATATTACGGCGGTGGGAAAAGTGAATAAGGCCGAGATGTCCGGTTAGTACCAATAATATTGCTGATTCTTCTTTGGATATTATGAAGAACCTTTAAGTATACGGTGAGAGCACTGGACCATATGTGACAGCAATATTCAAAGCTTGGACAAATGATAGACATAAATATGTAAGATAGATTCTGGAGAGAAAAAATGTTTAGTACAACACAATAACCGGACTTTCTTGGCAATAGACCTAGCAGTTGATTCAATATAATCTTTCCACTTCATGTCAGCCGAGAATCTTAGCTCGAGAAGGTGCAACGAGTCGCTATCGTGAAGAAAGAAATGGTTGCTCAGATGATTAATAAATAAATGTTTCGTTTTGGAGAAGTTAAAATTACCAATACATTCTCTGCACTAGTTACCAGCAGATTGTAGGTTATTTTTGTGATCAGCTGCCAATTTGACCTTATCGAAATGGTTAGGCTTACTATTAAGACGGAAGTAAGCAGTTGTGCCATCGGCATATATACCAATTTGAGAACTTCATCAGGAAGGTCATTACTGAAGATTAAGAACAATGTAGATCCAAGGATAGAACCCTGGGAGGGACACAACCCTGGCACTTCTGTATGGGATCGGTGAAAGAAAAGCCTAATTCCTTTGGTCTTCGTTTTTAAAGTAGGTGGCACGTAATTAGTATTTTTTATCTCTTTACAAGCAGGACACTCACCTTACACAGAAAAAAAAAGATTAATATATATTTCGATTCTATTATTTTACTATAACTTTTCTTTATAATAATCAAAACTTTTAAAAGATATTTTAAGTCTTTTTTCATGATTTTTTAGATATTTTATTAATCATTTCAACCCAAGCAAAGCAATAAAGCCACTAAGACGCAAGGAGTTACTGAGTGTAAGAGAATATGAGAAAAAAAAATATATATATATATATATATATATATATATATATATATATATATATATATAATTCTCAGCGTCTCTCGTTCATGCGTAGTCGCATCAACGTAAATAAACCTTTTCCGATGAAGTAGGAAAAGGTTTATTTACGTTGATGCGACTAAATTCGTCACACAAAAACATTTCCACTTTGTCATACATCTTTCCTCCAATATATATATATATATATATATATATATATATGGGGGGAGAGAGAGAGAGAGAGAGAGTGATGGATTAAATAAACCAGTTAATGAAGTTTGAAGGATAAAAAGTAAAAAAAAAAAAAAAGATACCAATATTATCAATAAAATTGCGATTTATTACATACTAACTTCTAAAGTCGGAATTTTCAAACATCCTTAGGTTCTTTTGATGCGGGGAATAAACTAAAAAAGTGGGAGTTTCTGTTTCGAGGAATGCTGTCCCTGTTTAATCCCTTAATCATTATATATATATATATATATATATATATATATATATATATATATATATATATATATATATATTATGAAAGCAGAGACTTTAAAAACTCATGATAATATCTTATTTCGCCAAACCGATACTTCGGTTTCATCACATCATATCAAAATAAGGTAGGTATATGTTGTTTATTAAATCTAGAGTTACGTCGAGGAAGTCTACCCTTTTTAATTTAGTACAGACTGTTGTTTTTAAATTTAGATTTCTAAATTCACTATATAAAATCTTTCTAATTTTCTCTATTTTAAAATTAGTTGAACTCCTCACTACCATGAGCCCGTCATCTCTGTACAGCCCGATGTCCTTAATATCTAATTCACGGTGCGCGGTCAGGTTGTACATACACACCTTATAGAAAACCAAACACTAACCACTTGTATATACACCCTAAGTCAAACCACCCTCCATCCATAATTAAGCATATACCCGCATCAATAGAGAATAGAATCAGCATTAACTCCGCTAATAAAGAAATAATCCAACAACACAGTAATTTTTATAACGCAGCCCTAAAAATAGTGTATACAAAAATGCTAACATCAATTATAGAAACAATTGTACTAACCAGAAGAAAAATAGGAAAAGAAAAATCATTTGGTATACCCCTCCGTTCAACCAACTAGGACATAAATTCCCAGCTTTAATTGAAAAACACTTTCCTACAAATAGTAAACTTGGTAAAATATTTAATAAAAACACCCTAAAATTAAGTTACAGTTGCACTGAAAATCTAGAAAGTATAACAAAAAAACACAATAATAAAATCCTGAATAAACCCCCATGCCAGAATAGTATTAATAAAAACTCTACACTTAAATTAGACAAAAATAGTGAAAAATTATGTGATTGTAGAAACCTAGAAGACTGCCCACTGGAAAATATATGCCGCGTAAAATCTGTGGTATAGCAATGTACTATCTTATCCATTAAGAATCCTAATACTAATATAATATACATTGGGTCTACGAAGAATGAATTTAAAACCAGGTGGAGGCAGCATAAGTGCTCCTTCAACAATATTAATAAAAGAAATCAGACATCTCTATCTAAATATTTTGGCATTTGAAGGAAATGAATAAAACACCAAAAGTAAAATGGAAAATTATAAACAAAACTAGACCTTGTAAAACTTGGGATGACCCATGCCCTTTATGCCTACAGGAAAAAAATAAAAAATAAAAAAAATAAACATTATCAAGTTTCTAAATAATGAAAATTTGTTAAACAATAGACATGAGTTAACGCTTTTTTGCCGACATCATCAAATTTTCGCATTGAATAATTAGCATAAAAAACAAACAAACAATAAAATAATAAATACAAATTTTAAACTCCATAGTCTAAATAAAAAGTTTAAATGCCCTACCCAATAATAAAAAAAAACCCTTTATGAAGTCGTCAAAAAAACAAATGTTAGCGAATTATGACAGATTTTTATATACACAAAACCCTTTCAGGAAAAAAAATCAAATAAAAAAATCAATAAATCTCCATAGACACTTAACCAGACTAGACGATGTCATCTTCCGCTTTGAATTTAGACACCCCAATCTTACCCTGACTTGACCTCTTTGAATGTAACTGAGATATTGATACAAATTATTTAACCTTATATATATATATATATATATATATATATATATATATATATATATATATATATATATAAACCTATTCAACGTACATCTGACAATGTAATTCATTATTAGTTCATTAGGTAATTTCATTAGTATCTAGTTCTGTTCTTACTGTATACTTCACTTCTGTAACTTTGTGCCAGACTAGACTTAAGTTTAGTAAATATCCATAAGACAAAATAACTTAGGGTTTAACAATGACAACGACATTTGAAGCTCCATAAAGATCTCAATGTACCTGATTGAAATGTTTGAAATTTAAAATATACATTCTCGGGATTTTTTTTTTGTGTTTCAGTATAAGTTTGTGACACCTGTCACTTCAATGGTTGTAATTAAACCGGATGAGGAGGAACAGGAGGATTTTGGACATACCACAATGCCACCAACTACAACTACAACTACAAGACGTAAGTTTTGATTATGTTATATTATTTCTTTGTTTCTGACTGAGAACTGAAGGACTCGTTCGGTATCTAAAATTGTTTTATTCTTCCAATCGGCGTTTAGGATCGGCGTTCGATATTTTACACAAGGACGTATCTAACTATTATATTCTTATAATATCATAGCGGGTAGAGTTGTGTAATAAGCACTGCAACCAGAAATCATTTTTTTTTCTCAAAATTCTTTTCCATGTCGCTATAGATTGAAACGTCCAGTTCATAACAAAAAAAAAAAAAATTAAAAAATAATGAAATATTCTAAAACTTAAAAGGAGGTTCAGTTTGCTATGTAAATTCTTTGTAAATTGCTATTCCCACTGAAACCAAAAAAAATATGATCGTATCACGATTTCTTAAAGTATAAGATTATTTTTTTTTAAAAATGACGTTCGTAATCTATAGGGCTTAATCGATATTAATACTGAAAAAATACTCCCGATTACAAAATGACAATATATATATATAATAAAAAAGAGAGAAAGAGAGAAACTGCAAACGTTTTTAGTCTTGGTGTATTTGTTTTAATATATATATATATATATATTATTTTATTCTTCATATAATATATAAAGCAAATCCATATTATAACCAAAAACGTTTGCGCTTTCTCTCTTTAGATTGATATATATATATACACATAAATTCTCAAGAGAATAGAAGCCAGGTAGAACTCAATGTCCACGACAGAGTAAGAATATAATATAAAAGGGTCAAACACTAATATTCCATGGTTATGATTTATTACATTGGAATTGTAAACACGATCCAATTCATCAGACCTACAAATTCACAATTTTTGAATTTGTAGGTCTGATGAATTGGATTGTGATTACGATTCCAATGTAATAAATTATAACCATGGAATATTAGTGTTTGAGCCTTATATATATATATATATATATATATAAATAAATAAAGAAACAATGTCGTATGAACATTTTTTTTCATTGGGAAATCTGCTCGAAAAAATCATTGCTCTCACTCTATTTGGGCTAATTTTGGCCTGTAAAAATGTATTGCAAAATATCCAATTAACCTAAATGCAAATTGTATATGTGAATGAGTCAACACGTACAGAAAAAAAAAACTAATTTAGATTAACAGGAAATAAGAAAAGCTCCGAAAAGGCTGTTATTTTACCACTTCAAGACAATAATGTTAAATGTGTCTGGTATTTGTTTACACAATTTTCATCGTTGTCACTATATTGCCTTATTCACGAAGTTTCGGCCGTTGTACACTCCGGCCTTCTTCGGGATCTTTCTATATTTTTGAGATGAGGTATTGTTACTATTTACACTATTTACATCGTTCGGAGTGTTGTCATCATCTTTATTGCCATATTCCTGACGTTTCGGACCTTGTACACTCCGGCCTTCTTCAGAATCTTTATATATTTCTGAGCTGAGTTGTTGTAACTATTTATACTATTTACATCGTTCGACCTGTTGAGCATCATCTGTATTGCCATATTCATAACGTTTCGTCGGTTGTACGCTCTGATCATCTTCAGTTGATATATGTTGGAATTTCGAGCGAACCCTTTATTTAGTCCACGGGGGTAGATTGTTCTAATTCCATGTGTCATGCATTTGGGGGGGGGGATATCTCAGTTTCAGTTAATTTACTTTAGTAACTCAACTCTCCAAGTTTTTGTTCCCTCTACATGGCACGCGGAATTAGAACAATCTACTCCCGTGGACTAAATGAAGGTTTCGGTTCGAAATTCCAACGTATATCAGCTGGAGAAGACCGGAGCATATAACGGCCCGAACGTTGTGAATATGGCAATAAAGATGAAGACAACAGTCTGAACGATGTAAACAGTTACAATACCTCATCTCAGAAATATAGACAGGTGTCTATTATTTATTATAAAAAGAAGAAACTGTTTTTCACTCAGTTCAATGTTTAGTAAATTAATACGGTGATGACTCTTTCAAATATAACCCTTATTTCATTAGGTTTTTATTATTCTATTTTTTTTTATTTTTTTTTCTCTCTCTCTTTGGAAGAGATGCGTTATGAACAAAAACGTTTCTTTTGGGGTGTAAATTACGAATATATTTCCTTAAGAAAAGATTGCCGTCGACATTAGCGACTGTTTAACAATGGCCAGCGAAGCACTGTATATCTGTTATATGTACTTATACTAGTCGCTCCTTATCGTGGTGGAGGGGCTTGTGGGGTCCAATGATTCTTAGAGCGATGCTGTCGGGAGTTCTAACCTCCTGGTAAGGACGAAGACGACCCAGACTAAACGCGACCAACCCCAAAGACCCTAACAGTGGAATAATGGTGATTACAATAGATCTCAACAGTTAAACCAGTGGTTAAAGAGGGCTACAGACAGACATGTTACAGAAGGCACCATTCGAAATTATAACAGAAGTCAACGGCAATCCGTTGCAGTTTCCAAACTGGATTCTTCATGTTTTATTCCAGATGTACCGCAGATGTACATCTGGAATGAGGCGTTATATATTGATCCCTATCCGCGGAAAGATAGTAATATTTTTTCTAAAAAAATCAAAACAACATATTCTTTCATTTTTCAGCCATTCGCCGAACACAGGATTACAGTAGAAGGCGCGGTGGTGGTGGTGGCGGCGGCGGCGGCGGCGGTGGCGGCGGCGGCGGTGGAGGTGAGGTTTTCTTTCTCATTATTTAACGAATGCTTAAAATACCCAAGCGCGTACAAACACACGCACATATATACATACATATGAACAAATCGACATATAGAAAAAAATATATATACAAAAGTATGTACATAACAGCACCCACACCCACACACTCATTTCCAACCCTTTTTTCTATTGCCGCGGACAGTTGGTGTTCGTGCCCGCCCACATGCAAGATTTAAAATGCTGATTTTCAAGAGAGATACACTGTCACCTTTCGGGAGATTGGTGGATTACAATCTTCCTATTCTCATTTCCCTAGATTTGATAACATATCTTACTCACGTCAGCTTAGCAAAGAAACATACAATAATGTATGCACACACATGCATACACATATCTGTGCCCATATATGCTTACCCCAAACTATCTCTTGTTTATTCACACGAAAATACTATATATATATATATATATGTGTGTGTGTGTGTGTGTGTGTGTGTGTGTGTGTGTGTGTGTGTGTGTGTGTGTGTGTGTGTGTGCAGGTATGTAAAAAATAGGTAAGAACACGTTAGGTAAATAATCCAGGGTTCTTTAGTATTTTTGTTTTTATTTTTTAAAAACTGTGCTCCATACAGAAGTAGCGCTTAGATTATAATTATTTTTTAAAAACATATGATTCCTTCGCTACATAAGAGTTCTCATGTTTCAAAAACGAGAGCCGAAACCATCAATATAATTATTAAAATTAAACTGAATAAAAGTAACAAGCCCTGTATCATCCTCAATCGAAAATTCAGGAATAACCAATTTTGAAATTTACGTGTCGTTATAAGCGTGTTCATTCGTTACTATGGAAACGGCTGGGGCGACGATTTTTATCCACATATCAGTCACCTTCAGGGAGAGGTCAAGCTGAGGTAGGGTGGGGTGTCTATTTCAAAGCGAATGATGTCTTTCTTGTACGCACATCGTCTGTTCATTCACAGAGGAAGATAGATTTTGGCACCATCGTATGTTGTTAAGTGTCTGGATAATTTTGCTTATTTTATTTGTTTATTTATTTATTTTCAACGGGCTGTTTCATATATAAATGCGTCGCACTGAACTACAATTTGTTTTTTTGACGGCTTCATAAAGGGTTTTTCCCTTTAATGATTTGGTTAAACTTTTTAGCCCTTTATTAAATTATGAAATTTGAATTTTTTCTGCTAATTATTTAATGCAAAATTTTGTTGATGTCGGCGAAAAGCCGTTAACTCATATCTATGGTTTAATAAATTTTATTTAATGCGAAATTTTGTTGCTGTCGGCAAAAAACCGTTAACTCATGTCTATGGTTTAATAAATTTTCATTATTAAGAAACTTAATTATGTGTAGTTTTTCATGTAAGCATAAAGAGCATGGGTCATCCCAGGTTTTACAAGTTCAGTGAAAAATATAGTTCCATTTCATCCTCATGAAATGGAACTAATGTTTTTAATTTAATTACAAAATTAAATTCGAAGCATTTAGCTTCCATTTTTGAAACATGTTTAATACTGTGTAGCGAAAAAACATATTTTAAATCAGTTAATTTATAATATTAATGCTCTGTAAATTTACATTGAGCACTATTTTATAAAAATATCAATAAGAACACCGGATTATATATCTTGCTGTTCTTTCTTCTCATATATATATATATATATATACATATATATATATATATATATATATATATATATATATATATATATATATATATATTCTGTTATATATATATATATATATATATATATATTGTTATATATACATATATATATATATTCTGTTATATATATATATATATATTGTTATATACATATATATATATTCTATTATATATATATATTCTGTTGTATATATATATTCTGTTATATATATATATATATATATATATATATATTCTATTATATATATATATATATATTCTGTTATATATATATATATATATTCTGTTATATATATATATATATATATATATATATATATATATATATATATATATACGGGAGAGTAAGATATATACTTTTATCTTTCAAACAAATTGTGGGTAATTAAATGACAAAAGGATAAGAATTCTATGTGACGCTTTTCGTCTTTCAACACGATTTGTTTAGGTTAAATAATCTCTGTATTGATAGGATCATACATATGTAGGATGAAGGAACGAAATACAAACCAAACAATTATAATTATTTTAATTATTCACCGAGAGAAACACTGAAGATGCAGGAAGACTTAGCGTTATATTTAAATTTTATATTTTGGCCTCCAGTTTGTCTAGATGTACAATCTAGCCGACATCTTTCAGTTTCCCGTTGCTTATGGCTTTGTCTTTATCGTCGTGGTTTCTCAATATCTCACAGTACAATAGTAGTAGCAGTATTAGAAAAGTGTGATATACTGCCTAAATCTAGGCGTAAATTTTCAGTGAATGACACATTGGTCCACATCCGATACATTTTCACCTTCATAAACTGTTTGTCTTTTAATTAAAACTCCATTGAACACGCGCAGAAGTGAAACTGAAAGCATTCTGGACCTTTCCGTTATTGCAGTTGATGTTTGTATTTGCGGGATCGATTTAGATGTGTATTTTTCAGCGCGCCCACGTCCCCACCGAAGGTGATACAAAGTCGAAGTTTAAAGTGGGTTTAACGGCAATACCGTGGAAAATTTGCCCAAGCCCCCTTCGACAATTCCCTTTTTGAGGACGCCTCAGGTGCCGGGCAATAAACCCAGCCTGCTTGGTGGGAAGGCCTCCTGGAGATTGGGTTTAATTTTTTTTTAAACTTCCCCGACAGAATTCCAACAATTTAAGATGTCCATACAACGATTAAACCAACTCCTGAATATCTGTAGCTTTGATCTGTCACTAAATTTCATTGCTACACATTTCTGAATATCGAACTTTTTTCTTCTTCTTTGTGCCGCGTCCTTCCAGGACGTTGGCAATAATGGCTCTCCACGATTTCCTATCCGTTATAGCTCTTAATATGTTTTATATTTTTGCTATTCTCCTAAGCCTTGTTCCGTTATCCATTTACTCAAGCTCTTTAGGTAGGTTATATGTTGTTTTCCTCTGTCCCTCTTCTCTTAACTTTGTCCTGTGAGTGTCAATCTTTCCAAACTCACTTTCCTCATTATGTGCCCTAGAAATATCAACTGTCTCTTCTTCATATCCTTCAGTGTCCTTTTTGTTTCCATTTTCTCTAAAACTTCATCGTTGCTCACATGTTCTGTCTATTTCAACAATCTTTTATTAAAGTTTTTTTTTTAAGTAGGCTTAGTCTCGTGGCTTACAACTGCGTATATTGTGGACAGCACGACAACAATTTCTTCCCGTCTTTTCATTAGGAGTTTTTCTTTTACAAGACATCATTCCTTTCTTTTCTTTTAGTTTTATCATCGAATGCCATCATTCGTATATAAAAAAAAAGCATTATTTTTTTCGTGATAAAAATTGTTGAAATATTTAATTTTGTTTTTGTAGCAACTGGTGATCCTCATTTCATTGTGGATATCAATGGGACAAACATCTGTTTCGACATTTTAGGCGAGAAAGGAGACATTCTTGATCTCGTTATAGACCCCGTCAAGCGTAAGTATTCTCACACGAACTTCAGGTTTTTTTTTTAAGATTTAAGTCAAAAATGAAAATTTCGTAAATTAGTCATGTGTAATTTGTTGCTTTTCTTATTCACACACAGAAAGAGACACACAAACATATGCATTACTCTTCAAGTACGAATTGAGTTCTCCTGGCTACTGTCGTATTTCGTATAGAAAACATTCAAATTTCCTTTTCTCTTTGCCGTGCGTCGATAGCCTATGGGGTAGTATCTCCGGCTGATGTCAAATCGGTCGGGTTTTGATTCCGGTTTGAATCAATCGGACATCTAGCCACACTGAAGAGCTGTGAAACACCAAAACAGTCAGTCTGCGGATATATATATATATATATATATATATATATATATATATATATATGGGCACACTACAAACGTATTGGAACGGTCAAGGCAATCCGTTGTTCACTGAAGACATTTGGGTTTAAGATCAAAAGATGAATATAAGACAAAACTTAAGAATTTCAGCTTTTATTTCCTGGTATTTAAATTTAGATGTGTTAAACAACTTAGGAATTTTAGGAACACTTTTGTATTTATATTGTGAACAGGACCCCTTTCCTAAAATGATTAAAAATATTAATATTTTTCGTTCGATTCTAACAAAAGTTCTGGCTTAATTAAATTAATCCCCACACCCAACAGTAAATTTATCTCTATTTTTTTTTTTTTTTTTTTTTTTTACGAGCGTACCAGTCAATTTAATTATTACCGGAAAAAAACGCGAAATAGAAATGGTATAAATATTTTTTCAGCTGATTAATTTCAATTTTCCTCAGATACCGTTTTCTGATTAATATTATTTTTCTGGCCTTGGCAGCAACAGTAGTCGGCTTACCTGTCATGAAATGCTTCTTATTTAAACTTATGAACTTTACAGGATGGTTGCGTAACATAATCAGCTTTTATCCTGTCGAATAAATACTGCATTTGACGGTAGATAAGACGTGCTTAAAAACAATCACCCTGTATTTATATACGCAAAATTATGGACACCCGGAGGATTTATCCCAACATCACCTCTCACTAGCCGAACTCATAATTTCCAAATTATCCTAATAAACATACCTCAGCCCACTCCTATCATTAACCAGCTAGAAACTACATGAGAAAGACGCATAATTGAAAGGAAAGACCGGTAATGGTAAAACACTAACCAGAGAAATATAACATTAAAGCCATAGAGAAGCTTCTACCATAAGAAGCAAACAAAGAATAACTGACGAAGTGGTGATGTGTTTACATTGAGATTTCTTGTAATGTTATGTTGATTTTTATATACAGTGAAGTTTTTGCTATAGCTAAAATTCTTTTGTAATCTTTTGTAATGTACTGATAACTCGCTTTAAACATCGTTTTCTTATATAAGCTAAAAACTAAAGTAAAATATTACGCTGTCATTTTATCAAGCAGTTATAAGCAATCTCATCTTACAAACTATTACTTCTGCAATATGTCTAATCTTTATTAGATGACCCACACTATGTTAAATTTTGTATATATTAATATTTAGAGTTCAAGTAAAATGGCAGAATTTTGATTGATGATTTTCAAAGTTGACATACTTGAATGATTAATACAACAAAATCTTCTTGTTTTTTTGCTATTTTTGAACTTGTGTTCAACTAAGGTAAGTAAATATCAACATTGCAGTAAAGCATCATCAAATAAAATAGATTTGATGGAATTAAAAATTTAATAAATAGGATAATTTTAAGATTTACATGAAAATTAATTACCTTATTTGACAGTAAATTTAGAATAAAAAACAAGGAAATTGAACACAATATAGGTTGTACTCCATAATAATATTATTTACTCAAACATCACCATAATTATTATTATTATTATTATTATTATTATTATTATTATTATTACAGTTAATAGAAGAAAACTGTTTAAGAAAATATAAAGAAAAGAAAAAACGCAGTGTTTGACAATGTTAAACAATATTTCAACAGAATGTCTGTCTTCTTCAAGTTATATTTAAACAATTTTTTCAAGTATAAAAAATATATAAATCTACAAAAAATTATAGGTCTTACAAGATATGGTAATATCTTTTAAGACTTATAATTAATATGATGGTGATATTATTATCTTAATATTATGGTAATACAAGCTCGCCATTATATTAAGCACATTTCAGTTGCATGCCTTCACGCGAGTCGCGTTTCATTCGTTTTGACACCTTCATTATCGGGACAACCATTTTTCATTACAAGACAAGCAACGTTTGTACAAAGATTTATAATTTTTTGTAGATTTATATATTTTTTATACTTGAAAAAATTGTTTAAATATAACTTGAAGAAGACATTCTGTTAGAATATTGTTTAACATTGTCAAACTGTGTTTTTCTTTTGTTTATCTTTTCTTAAATCGCCATCTTCTCTTAACTGTTGGTTGAAAAATATTGGAAGAGTTACGTCAATCATTTTGTTTTTTATTATTATTATTATTATTATTATTATTATTATTATTATTAATGATGCTGTAAAAATAATTATTGTAAAAAATTATGTGTGATATTCATTAGTACCAAGTGATCTATTATACCTAAATGAGCTTCAACACACTCCTATCTTTAATGAGCAGGAAACTACAGAAAAGAGACATAACCGATAGGGAATATTAGTAATGGTAAAACACTAACCGGGTAAGCATAACATTAAATCTTCAGAGAAACATTTCCATCATATGAAGCAGCCAAAAATAAATGATCGCTGAATGGGTAGGTGCGTTTTGTGTTCCACTGAGCAGTTAGCTTGTTTTTTATATGCATTAATTTTTTCTGCTATAACTAAAGTGCTTTTGTAATGTTTTGTAATGAACTGATAACAGGTTGTAAAAAATGGGTTCATTAAATATATTAAAAACATTTTCCTGAAAAATGGAGCTGCCGCCCAAATATATTGTATGATGACAAATTCGGTAATGACTTCCCAATTGTTCCCCGTGATAACAAATTATAGACGGTCAAAATGTAACGATTCTTTCATATTTGGTTTAAATGACAGATATCCACGCCCGTGCAGAAATAGTGGAAGGCTTGAGATATTATCGAGAAAGTAAACATCTGAAAACTTACATGGGTCGAATTCTGATCAACTCTCCAGGCGCCATATTTGATATTACTCCGCACAAGATCATCTATAATGGTCAGGAATTGTCTTGGAAGAACGAGACACTGCTGCGTACATTACCAGCCCGCGTTCTCATCAACGGAAGGGGGCGTGACTTGATTATCAAATTGGGATTGGGTCGTCATTTCTTTATACAACGCTCATTGGCCAATGGAAAAGGCAAGATCGATTACCTGGATTTCTTTGTCATCAGTGGCAAAGGGTTCTCCCTGGAAACGACCGGTATTTTAGGTAAGTTAATATTTCAGATTTCACAGCAATTTTAGTATACTGGCTTTTAAAAATTAAAGTAAATACCTACATCTTCAATTTGATTTTTTTTTAATTTAAAATAGTTGTTTAAAAACTTTCATTATAATTACCTCTTTAAATATTTTATAAATTTCCTCGAGTCAAAGAAAAAATAAACGTTATCGACGAATATATGAAAAAAATTTAAATAAATGAATAAAATTTATTTGGATCTTTTCTTGGAAATGGCATATGATCCTAAACAAAAAAAAAGTGATATTTACAAATATCGTATGAAACTCACTGTAGACCTAAAATAGACTTTGCACTTATTGTCCTGAAGAGAAGCCTGGTGCTTCATCCGGGCTTAGTGGCTGCTACTGACATGTAAATGCGTTGTCCATCCAGCTACTTGGATGTGCACGATTCGGAAAACTGTTTGACAGGTAGATATATAAACATACATTCGAGAGGAAGGAGAGAAGAGTCTATTAAATTCTGTCGAGAATTTAGAATCCACGTTCGGAGGGAAGGGACCTGAGACCACTCACCCACTGGCTGACATTAATTGACGAGATAATGCCATTTATGAGAGACTAAGAGTCGTGTTCTCATTAAAATGTACAGCGATGACATTGCTCAAAGAAAAAAAATCTTGTTGGCCGAATGTGCCCCGTGGGCAGCTACCCTTCAAATAATGTACGTATCTTGTATAATTTCGTATATTCAAAATGATAATGCGCGCACACACACACACACACACACACACACACACACACACACACATATATATATATATAGTTGGAAAAATAAGGAGATCAGCCGATCACGCTATCTTGGTTTCAACCTTTCTGTATCTTCAGGCGATCGGAGTTAAATAATTTCCTGTCGCTTTATTATTTATAAATAAATAAATAAGCACATAGCGCGAAGCGTAATAGAAGGGGAAGAGAAAAGCAAGGGTATTGAAATTGTGTCGAAGGGGGTTTGTATGAAATGTACATATTTTCCTCCTGGTTCAAACGAACTCAAAACGAATTTTTGTGTAAGCATCGTGTCGTTATTTCTGATCTTTCATTCAGAAGGTTTTTCTGGTCTGGAAATGTTTATATATATATATATATATATATATATATATATATATATATATATATACAAGGTAAAAAGAAACCTCTTAACTGTCAATGTGCCTCATATTAACTTCGAGCGAGTTGCCCTGGATATAAATAACTGGAGACCTTTTGTGCCAGAGTGATATCAACAATTTCGAAATTAGTCGTATTGACCGGCTAAGAGACGAAAGACAACGGCAAAAAGCGTCAGCGAATATTCCTGTGTCTATGCCCCGAGATCCTCGCTGTTGCACAATATGTGGACTTGTATGCAGGTCACTAGAGGGACTGAAGTGTCACATACGACATAAACATAAAAATTGAATGAGGTTGGCGAAATCGGCGGAATAGTTCATCATATATATATATATATATATATGTGTGTGTGTGTGTGTGTGTGTGTGTGTGTGTGTGTGTGTATGTATGGGTGGGTGATGTGACGGTTATCATGGTGAAAAAAGAATTCGCTTTGATTGGTTTGTTTTGTTTTACGGCACATCAACTTCAATGGGTTATTTAATGCTGACAATATTTTTATTGCTGGTAATTATTTTTTCAAAAATATATAGCTGGTAATATTTAAAAAAAAAATATATTACTGGTAATAATTTTTCAAAAATTTATTGCTGTCAATTTTTTATAAAATATCTCTGATATTAAAACCTATTTTTACACTTTCATAATGTTTTGACCTCAGTTTGGGGGTCAACTATTTACCCATAGCTATCAGGTGCTACCACACCAGCAATTAAGAGGTGGTTCCACGCTCCTCAAAACCTCCTGACCAGAGGCCTTGGGGTCGGACGTGGCTTATCGTCTTACCCAGGACGCGGATGTAGTTAAGGAATTCGGCAAGATGAATTCAAACGCCGATTGAGCATGGCTTGAATTCATTTTGTCTCACTAAAATATGAGTCCAGTCGAGAAGAAGAATAACTCTGAGTGCACTCCACCCCCGCCAATATCTTACGAATGGTTAGGTAAGGCCCATCACGCTCCATGTCTGACGGAAACTTCCGCAAATTTTGAATCCTGTACTGAATTCTGAAAGATGTCAATCAAAGGGCAAATTTTAAAACACCGATTTAATTGTCCTTTTATCACAACGAAATAAAATATAAATTAATAAAATGATTAAAATATTTCTATTATTTCTATTTAGATCCATTTGTACTAATGCGGTTTTCATTCAGGGCTCCATCTTTGGTCCTACCCTGTTTTTAATTTCTACTAATGACCTTCCCGATGACATCAGCTCTCAACTTAGTATCTATGTTGATGACACAACCTTTTACTCCTGCCTCAATAGTAAGCCTGGTTAAGATAAAGTCAAAATGGCAGCCGATGTCCAAAGCGACCTCAAGTCCGTCGTTAACTGGAGCAAAAGTTAGTTTGTTAAATTTAACGCCTCCGAATTTAACTTCTCTCTATTAATTACCTGAGAAACCCCTCTGATTTCTGTCAGTATGGCTGATGCTAACCTCCCGGAAAGTGACTCGTTGAGACTTTTCGGGCTAACCTTCTCAGCTGGCATGAAGTGGAAAAACTATATTGAATCAATTGCTAGGCCAGCTGCTAAGAAATTTGGTTCACTGTGTCATGCGAGACAATTTTTCTCTCTAGAAACTATCTTACATATCTATTCGTCCATGCTTAGAATATTGCTGTCACATATGGTTCTGTGCCTGTGCTATTTATACAATCCAAAGAAGAATCAGCAATATTATTGGTCCTGAGCTGGCAGCTCGGCTTCAGTCACTTTCCCACTGCCGTAAGGTTTCCTCTTTGTTATATTTAATTTATTTACACTTATATTTAAATGAGTTTGTTCTTCGTCGTTGTTTGTATTCGTTTTTAAATATTCCTAGAATAAAACCAAAATATTAAACAATCTGAGTGTTATAGCATACCTACAGACGGTAATGGATATGTCCCCATTCAGATAAATACAGTAGTAAATACTGTATGTTGGTCTGAAGTTGGAGATTCATTATGGAATTCACTTGATTCGCTTCTAGCAGTTGACTACTTCTACTTGCCGCTGGCGAATCTTGTTGTTCTTGCCCTAAGTATTATCGTTCATTAGCAACTTTTATGGGATTATTCTATTCAGTAACCTTCCATAGGTTACAACACTTGGACGAATGAAGATTTCATTGATGAATGTATAGATAAAAAGGTCTTCATTATCGTAAATAAACTACAATCGACGTGTATTACTTTTAAATGATACATCATTCGAAAAATATCAATCGATTATAAATATATCAAAGTTAATATAATCCATATATAAGTTATCTTCCTTAAATTTTCTACTTTTTGATTTTTCGGCGAACTGAAACATATTACGAAGAGAAAATTCGATTAAGCACTTTCGACTAAGCCAGTTTTTCAGGCAACTCAAAATCGCTTTTATAATTGCCTTCCCGTTTTATCTTCTTGTTGAACCGATTAGTTACCTACCAATTGCCATACATTATTTATTCATTTTTATCATTTCACTCCAAGTAAGGCGATATAGTCACTAAGATACAAGGGGTTACTGAATGTGAACGAATCTGAGAAAAAAAAAACTTTATTAAGGAGAAAGGAAAATAAAAGAACAGAGATTAAGATGACAATTGACATTATAATTAAATTTTTGAAGATCAAAGTTGATTGGAAAGCAAGAAGCCGAAAGTGAGTTCCACAGTTGAGAAGTGCGAGGGAAGAAACATAGAATAGATTTTACGGTTGCATCTAACCATTTCAACTGAGAAATGATGAAAATTAGCTGCCAATCTAGTACTGTGGTTAAATTCCTAAAATCGTGATACCAAAGAAGAAAGCTTATCAGAACAATTAGCATGAAAGTATTTATAGAAAAGGAACAGGGAAGCTGTATTACGGCGGTGGGAATGTGACTGAAATCGAAATGCTAGATCAAGACCGATAATATTGCAGATTGTTCTCTGGATTTTTTCAAGAAACTCTAAATACATAGCAGAAGCACCAGATCAGAGGTAACAGCAATATCCAATGCTTTAACGAATGTTAGACCTATTAGAGTGTTAAGATTGATTATGTTGAAACAAATTCTCGGGTACGACACAGAAACAGCTTTCCTAGCAGTAGATCTAGCAATTGATTCAATATAATCTTTCTATTTCATGTCAGAGAAAAACTTTGGCTCGTGAAGGCGCAGTGCGTCACTCTCCTAGAGGTTAGTATCAACCATGCTGATTGAAAGCATAAAAGATAACTAAAAGAGAGCAGTTTCGCTTTGGAGACATTAAAAAACATTTTCATGATCCAATTAACAACAGATTGAAGGTCATTATTAAAATCAGCTACCAATTTGGCCATATCAGACTTACTATTGTGACAGAAGTAAATAGTTGTCATCAGCATAAATACCGAGTTGAGAATTGATGGCAATTCATATATAAATATTCTTACATACCGCCATGTTCACATATCAACACTCACAGGAGTATTTACAAAAAAATGTTTATAAGTTTCAAATTTCTTCGCCCAAATAAATACATTGATTTTTTTGATTTAAAAAAAAAAATCAACTATTGCTTTTACTAATTTTCTATTTTTTTTTTAAACAGGTCAATTCATCCACGCCGAAGGCCATATGAAAAAGACTCACCGCAATCAGAAATTAATGGCGCACAATAAAATGTTTCTCACCATTACACACCGTAGATACACGAAGAAGATTATTTTGGTCAATTTAAGTTTCCGAAGAAATATTTTTTACTCGGATGTTCCTTGTTGGGTTATTAATGAAGGAATTTCCGAATTGGCGAAAAGTGAATTTTTCTCTCAGAAACCTGTTTCCAAATAAGTATTTTACCAAACTAATTTTTATCGTGCGGTTTAAGTTTGATTCAAATAACAAAAAAAAAAAAGGAAAAAAAAAGATGATATCATTTTTCAGTCCGATGCTTATAAATTAATTTGAAGTTTCGTTAACTGTGTTTTGTTACTCATTTTGTTACTATTTCCAAATAGAAATTCGAAAACCGTGAATCTCCACGTTTTGAATGCAAACAATTATTTTGCAATTGATCTTTGCATCTTCTAAAAAAAAACAAAAAAAAAAAAAACAAACAAACAAAGCATTCTATAAGCGCATCTGATATTAGAATGGCATTTATTCTTACTTTAAAGAAAACATCTGTTGTAAAACAATAGATTCAGTAAAGAACTGTTCAGGGCTGACAAATATAATTCTCCAACTTTTTTGTAATATTCGTTGCGCATATGCGAAAAGCATTTACATTCATATTTTCACTAATAAGCAATGCTTAATATTTTCTGTAATATCCGATTTCTGCAAAAGGATATTTTTCAACCAAGAGTAACAATAATGTAAAACAATGTCTAATCAAATAAACTGTTGTCACGATTCAAGTCAACCAATGGAAAACGAATAGCAAACAAGATTTCATACCAAAAATGTCTTGTTTAAACAATTTTCCCTTCTGTAGATTTGCCATTGTATTCTGTAGTGCAACAATCAAACAAAATGATCCTTGATGTATTTGACCAAGTTACCAGATTGTGGTCTGTAGGTTTTTAAACTCTGCAACATTAACTGGTCCTTCGGTATAAGAAAAATCCCCAAAATGAGAACGAGTCAAGCAGTTTGAACTAAAAAAAAAAAGCAGTCCAAACCCGTTTCCCCTGTTTTAGTGTCAATACTCACTGTGTAATTTCTAATCATTTAATCATTTTGTGCCATCGCTTTCATTAAAGTAAAAACATTTTTAAAATCGACACACAATACAATAATATTTTTCTCTTTCTGTTGTTATTTGTTCAAACGAAGCATCTTTAAGGATACACTACGAGATTTGAAACACCTTAATAATAAGAATAATAGATTATTATTATTTATTATTATTATTATTATTATTATTATTAAACATTGAACCAATTTATGTCAGAGCGTTTCGAGAGGAAATCGAAGTCCCCGAACATTTTCGGTGTAATTCTCAACAACAACAAAAAAACAATTCTCATTAATAGGTTCAAATCATTGACGAAAAATTTTCTATGACACATCATCCCCTCCTCAAAACATATTCGGTGATAAGAAAAAGTTAATATCGAGAATATAAAACCTAAATCAGCCAAAAACAGCTGATACCCAATATTAACACATAACAGATTTGTAAATGCGACTGACGTTTTTTTTTTATTTTATCCATTTTTTAGAATAAATTTTTTGAAAAAAAAAACAACCTTGTCTTTATTCGATATTTTTCCAAATGAATTTTATCCCACAGCAACACCAAAGGAAGCATTAAATAACAAAATATTTTTTACTATAAGGAAAATTATTACAAAATGAATCTTTCTTTTTAGATATGTGAATGATTTTCACTCAACCTAAATTGTCCAGGTCGTAGATTGATCTAAGTTGTAGAGTGTAAGAACATTTGGATATTGCGATATGAAACAAGTGAAAAGGGCAGAAAACATGCAAAAATGAATATTTCTAAATATGATGAACATTTCCAACACTATGAGTTAAAATCTTTGTTTAGCAGGATGACTCGTCTTTGTTAAAACCATTAGAAATTGAATGCCGATCACAGGGAAATTTTAGACGACGGAAAAGTCAGCAAGATAGCGAGAAAGGTGCTAGAGATTTGAAGAAAATTTATCTTACTCAAACTTTGGTGATAATCATAGGATGACTGATGGAAGCATAAAAATATATGAAATATATAATCATTATAAAAACTAGATAGATAGATAGATAGATATACACATCTGGGGATGCGATCCAGCGTGCGGCACCTTTGGAAAGTGCCTGAAAGCTAAACCACGATACCCAAACCATGTGAGTGAAATTGGGCAGAACTATTTACGAGTCGTTGATGATTTAGCACGAAGTCACAAGTCATTGTGACTGAGAGTTTGAGGGTACTTGCTTTGTTCACACCAGATAATGCACTCTACCCCAGAAACTGTAACTAAGGTCCGCTCAGCTCAGGATAAATCACAGGTGGGCTCTGTGGGTGTTGAACAAAGACAAATGTGCCTGAGCAGGCGTCTGCAAGAGGGATCGGCTAGCCACCCTAGTAGACAGGCATTCTTGCATACTAGCGGCCATATATATAAAGAAATGACAAGCGGAAAAGTTATTTTTACAACGTTTTTGTCCCTTTAGGATCTCCATCAAAAGCAAAGGCAGAAAACTTATTGAGAAAAACCGAATTTATACACACAGAAAAAAACAATTGTTGAGAAAAAATAACGTAATTCGTTCGCATTTAGATTTTCTGTGTTTCCTTCCTTTTTTTATGGAAGAGCGTACACTGCTAGTGTACCGGAAGTCATAAATTGCCAAGAAGAGTTGTATGGTGTGCATTTCGGCAGATGGAAAAAATTGTAGCTGACGGAAGGTAAACAAGTCGATACCCAATCAATATCAGCTGGGTCACCGTGGAGAGGGCGTATGATGTTGAAAGAGCCGAAACCCCTAATGAACCCAGGCTAGAAACATCACCGATGATGTGTATTAAAGCATCCATATTTTACTAAAGAGAACGTTGTAAATATTCGAAAATCTCTGGAGGTTTTGAAAAAGGAATTGAATGTGACTTTTTCACACTTGTTAGGCGGTAGTTTGTGGAAGTCTTTTGGGAAGATGTCAGTTGATGCATTTAATATTTTGTATCTGCGTCTGAGGATACCATTATCTGTGATGTACTTTAGTTGGAATACTAAAAGAAAAAAATTGTTTAACCCTAATATTACCAATAATACTTCTACATACACACACACACAAAACATTTTGAAAACGGTAACTATCTTTGCTGAAAATAAAATATCAAGCTATATTGGTTATACTATTTTTTTTTTCGAGAAGATTTACCTACCAGTTCTCTGAGTAAAGTGAAATGCACAAACATCACGCAACTCCACAAGGCCCGCTTTTAATTTTGGTTGACATTACAGTAAAATATCACTTCAAATTCATGAAAAATGGTTACAAACTTTGGAGATCCTTTATATTAAAAAGCGTCTGATTAGCAAAGTCCAAATTAATGTTTTAAAACACATAATCTTCGACGATTTTTTTCGATCAATCATATCTGCCCACGAAATGTATCTTAACGTAAATAATGAAATGGATTAAGTCTGGCAATTATTTAATGTTTTCTCTTTATACATTATTTTTATAGATATTTTTTGCTTATACGTTATTTTTACAGACACAATTTATTTAAGTTTAATACTGTTTTTCTAATTAAACAATACTAATTACATTTACCGGCCTAAATTAAGCAGAGGCTTCTCTCTAGCTAAATGGTATAGCTTGTCAGATCAAATGACGATTTCCGTATAGGAATACAGATTCGATTCCAGTCGGATACGCATATTTTAGACGAAATTTCTCGAATAATAATAATAATAATAGTATTAATATCTAACGAGAAAAGATAAAATATGGTTTTTACTATATGGAACTGTGCCTCACCAAGATAGGCGACCACATTTTCCCACCTGATTGAACTCTTTCCCTTTAAAGTCATGTTTAAACTCTCTTACTGATGATAATAGATTTTTGTTGTCATCATAACATCGATAAGTACCAACTCAAAGTGGACCACACGAACGCAAATCCCATCAAAAAAATTTGGATGAACGGAGGTCTATTTTGACGACGTTTTTGTGAAATATTCATTTTTCTTCACCAGTCAAAAAATGACAAAGTGCGTCCGTACGATAAGAGAAGTGAAGGCATCCTTCTAAATTGTTGCAGATGACAGTAACCCATGAAAGGCTGGAATTCAGTTTTCGAATTTTATATTATTGCACAAGGGCATCAAGTGGACATTCGTGTCCTTTGAATCCCCGGAATGATTTTCTGATCAATTACAGAACTGTATTAATACTTAAGAGGAAAATTAAAACAAAATTTTCACATTTATAATTTTAAAATGATAGGGGTGATAGTCTCTCAAAATAAAAGATTAAAAATGGGTGATTTTCCTTTTGACGTCATCTAGCTTTATTTGGAGGGACTTTTAGCGACAAAAATTGATTGAGACAACTATGAACCAAATAGGAAAAAGGTTTATCCATGAGACATGATAAATGGACGATGAACAATTTTTTTTTTATTTGTAAGGTTGTATATGGTACCAAAAGCGGGTAATGGTAAATTTAACGGATGAAGGGAACTGGATACGTTTTAAATATCTTCCCGAGAATAATTTTCGTATATTTTACAGATTGAAATTGTTTTAATATTTGGGAATTTTGTTCAGGGAATTGTGGTTTAGCGTTAAGAACTTAGGGGTCTCAGATAAAAAAATGTAATAAAATATGACAAAAAGTTGTGTTAATCTGATTGAATTTTGTGTTGTAGAATCCCAAAATCCACTTGATATCAGTCATTTTTTAAAGAGTGTCAAGTTAAACCTGTCTGACATTTATAACATTCGTTTCAACATTCCAATAACTTTCTTTCTCAGTAAATAAAAAAGCCACGATCCAGAAGTGATAGTCTCAAAATAAATGATTAAACATGGGTGAGTTTTGGAAAATAAATCATAACTCGACAAAAGGGTTAGGTTGAAAACAACTATTTAAACGAGTTTATCAAGAGACATGATCAGTGGACGAGAACAATTTTTTTTTTTACAGTAAGGTTCATGGTGGCCACTCAAGGTAGAGGGTTAAGTTAAGGGGCAGTATATATGTATAGGAGGAGGAAATAACGGTTAACTCTAGATCGGGGAAACATCCTCTTGGGAGTCTGTTCCACAGGGCAGTGGTTTGCGGGAAGAACTTACTTCTCGCCGATGGAATACGGAGGGAATGTGTGTGGTTTGCTACTATGTAAAATGGCGTGTTTAAATGAAAATTAAACCAGCGGGACCAAAAATATAGTTAGTCTGTCCACTTTCCATGGATTTAACGGTATCGAATATATCGCCTGGATAATATAGGTTATATATATGGAAAAAAATCTTCTCCAACAAGGGTTCGGAAACGTTTTTGAATTCTATCAAGACTGGAAAGTGAGGACTGGGCAGAACCCTATTATACTTTGTTTTAAATAAAATTTCAGTTCGAAACGAAGTTTACCTGGTCGAGCAACCGCCTGATGAAGGCCGGGGAGATTTGACCGAAAGGTTGTGAAAATAACAACAACAGAGAAGAGGATATTAGTCAAGTGTAAATAATGTAAATAAAATTAGACTAGTTTTGTAATCCTAATATGTCCGCTTTTAGGCTAGGTTGAATATACCCTGGATAATATATATATATATATATATATATATATATATATATATATATATATATATATATATATATATATATATATATATAAGTGGACATTGTCAGGGATAGAGTGCATGTAGATATAAAAGTGAACATTGACGTCAAAACCCAGCGACAGTCTGTTGCGTACTCAGACACAATCTTCAGGTCAAGTGTGTTGTACTTTGCTCGACTCTTTATATATGTTGGTCGATGGTGCATTATGGGTAGGTCTATTGTATTATTCTAATGGTTATTGGGTGGGTGGTAACGGTTCAATCAGTCAAGTGTCACACGTGATACACGCCACGTCAGTCATGTATCTTTTGATACATGACTGACGCAATAGGTTGCCATTTCTTTCTGGTTGCCAATCAAGGCTAAAGAACCCAATCTGTCTTGCTATTTAACCCATAGCTGGGAAAAGAAATGTATTCATACCTACCCAAGGGTATTTCTGCGTAAGTGAATATAATGAACTCGACCGGAATTCGAACTCGGCTCTCCGAATTCTCATTCCGAGCCGATATCCATTACACCCACATTACATCACCTACACAGCAGATATGTTTCAAATTATTCTAGGGGCTATTCAATATAAATAATTGTGCATCCGAATACAGATTTGTGGTTATTTTAAGCTATTATTGATTACTTTAATATTTTTGTCGATTTTTATGTCCACTTTTATATCTACGTACACTCTAAGCAATTTAACCCATAAGTAAAGCATACCTTAAAACTACAATTTTTATCACATATATAAATATATTTCATGTATTTGGTTAAATGTCATTTTTTAATGGATACCCATTTTTGAGTAAATGCTCTGTTTTTATTTATTAAACAATATATTTATTTATTTACAACTACCGGCCTGAATATTCGAGAAATCTACTTAGAAAAATATGCGTCGTACGGCAGGATTTGAACCTGAGTCCCATCGGGGAAACCATCATTAGATCTGACGTGCCCTAGGCCAACTCGGCCACGTAGGACCTCCTGAGCAAACAAAGCCGGAATAGTGCTTTTGAACACATATATTCCCGATTCTCGAAATATACATATCGGCTCTGTTTTGTATCTTAGCGAAAAGAAAGACAATTTTTAGGAAATGGATTAAATACGACAGATTTTTAATTTGTTTAAACGTTATTTTTTTAAATGGATACTAATATTTGACTAGATGCTCTGTTTTTATTTGTTTATTAAATCCGATGTGTCTTAGATCAACTCGACTATTTTTCTAACGAGATTTCTCGATTATTCAGGCCGGTAGATGTAAATATATAAATATACTGTTTAATATATATATATATATATTTCCCTTTTTCTAAAGGCCTTATGCCATACTTGGCTCCAAGCAATACAATATTCTAATAACGTATTTGATATTTGTTTATTTTAGCATCCATAAGATTTTTCTCACCAAAGAAAGTAGGATACTCAATTCAGTCAAAAATGGCGTCTTGATTGTCAGTAAAATATTTTCGTCATTTGATTGAATTTTATTTGTTGCATACAAAATGCAAAATTGGATTTTATCATGATTTTCAAAACGATTTTAAATGCGCCGAAAGAAGAATGGAATAATTAATGAAAAAAACCTGAAATTAAAAAAAAGAAGCCTGTCGTATTAAAAATCGATTCAACTTCTTCAGAAACATATAAAATTGTGGACGTTAAATATTCAAAATGCTTAAACACAACAAATGTAATAGAATGAACACTGAAATAGCATTCGAAAATTATTAAAAAAAAATAAAAACAAGATTCGAAAATAAGATTCGAAAATAAGATTCGAAAATAAAATTCGAAAATAAAATTTGAAATTTATTTGAAACGAAAACAAAACAAATTTAAATTTTAAAATGTTTTTTTATTCGGCATTTGTTAATTGATTCAGGATTGTCTGCTCGTGGATGCTATGATGATTATTTCATATTTACAAAATATATTTGATGATAATATAAATATGCCGAAATGTACATTTTTTTTTTTAAGATATCTATCTACCTACCTATCTATATATGCACTAAAATCAAAGCGAGGAGAAAACTGGTTGTATCTTGAACAGGTGGTACGCCATTTTCTAAGAAAACTTTTACTCAAAAAGCCGTACAAGTGAAAATACTAAGTCATTCTTAACGTGAACATATTGCCAGTTGCCGAGGAATCAATTTTACTTCGAAGTTTTTCTTACCGCGTCGTCTGTTGATGGAAGAAAAGAAAAACGCTTCTTTAAATTGTTATCTCAGAATTCGGTGGAAATATTTAAGAAAGATCATTAGATCAATGATCTCTTAAATACATCATGTCTATAAAAATAAGAACACTAAATGTGAAGAGCATTGAATATTGATTGAGTCTTCTCGATAAACCCTCCCTAATAAGGGAGCCATATTTTAATTATTTATCTAAAACTGGGGACAGTACGCCAAAAGAAGCAAAGCAGATATTCTCTTTCTTTTTCTTTTCGGCAATGATTAAGTTTCTAACTTAACAGAAAATTTCAATTTGTCACGACACCGAACGAATACTGCAGGGCTTACCATCCAGCTTCAAAGACAACAGGATTCTGGTTTTGAAGTCAGCCTAAAGTAGACTGTAATTCTTCACCAGTCCGTACTCTGCGAGGTGCATCACCTGCCCCCGATCTCAATCGGTCAAACAGGTGGGGTTTATTATATATATATCTTTTTTAAATCAAAATAAAGATAGACAACAACTAGGTCAAGGCACACAAAGCTTTTTTTAGACTGTACTAACTTGTCTTTAGGAATGGTAAATGTCTGCAAAACTATCGTGCCGGCCACTCTCCAGAATGGTGCCGAATCCTGGGTCATTTACCACAGTCATCTATGCTTATATGCTCATTTAAATCAGTACCACTTCTGTAGCTTAGTGTGCATTTTTAACAACAAGGTTGTCAAAATTGCAAAAGCCATAAGGATGGAGTCTCCAGAAAATACACCTCCGTTTAGCAGGTCAATTGTCTATTGTCTACCAAATATTTCGTTGTATGGTGAACCGTCCATAAGTCAGCAAGACAGCGGAGTGCCATGAAAGTGATACGTTGCACAATGCATCCACCTCCTCTCTCATCAGTTATTGCCAGTGGGAAAGACGAATTGCTTTCAGGAAAAAAGAGCGGTAATTAACCTTTTCTTTTTATTATTTAGAAAAAAAAATGTAAAGCATCGAAAAGAAGAGATAAACTCGTAAAACCTGAATAAAGATAATTCTTTATCATTCTTCTAAAATTCCATTTTGCAGCCATTTTGCAAGACATGACTACCGAATATTGGTCTCATCAGTTACCGGCAATGTCTTAGATCTTGAAGTCAAAGCGGGTACTATTTTAAATTTTATTTTTGGACAGAAGATAGGAAATGTATCACTTGATACAAGAAGAGTGAATAAATTAACAGATAGATTTATATATACTTCATATATGCACACACACACACACATATACATATACGGAGGAGTGGTGCATGTTTGTGCGTGTGAGAGAGAGAGAGAGAGGAGATAGACGGTAAAGGGATAGGTATTATCACGTTGACTGTCGATTTCAAGCCTGAAAATGAAGTAAAGAAAGAAAAAAATATGTGCGTGCATTTGACTAAACACGCGCGTGCGCACACACGCGCCCGCACGCGCACACACACGCGCGCGCACACACATTTGTAGATATAATGCATGAAAATATGATGGATTCTATGTAATAGGAAAGTCGAAGTAAGTTTTTCAAGAACGTCATAAACTGGCAAAAACCCCGTTCATTTTCTCGATACAGTGAACAGAAAAATATCACAAAAGCTCCCGATCAATGAGCGATGGTCTCAATGCCGACATCATTAGTATAATGGTCGGCTGCTTCTTTGAATTTTCTCTTTTCTGTCAAACCCTTCTGGCTTTGGATTTGCTTACCGCTCACCCATGGCAATGCTTCCAAACGGCTTTTCGAAGTCGATTAAGAATAATGGTCACGTCTTTTGAGCTCGTAGGTGTTGTTTAAAGATGGGCACTTGGAACAGCCCTTGCGTAACGTAGTCTTGGTAAGTGCCTCTTACGAGGCCCCTACCTTCTTTCCACACTGTCCAACACTCTTTTCGTAATTGGAACGAGCGCCGGTTTCCTGTTAACACAGCTGAGAAAGTTCGATATCTGTTTTTGTAATGAATTCGGATATCAGACTTCATTTTGCCATTTGCAGTTCGTCTCACTTTGAAAATAACTCCACGACGATTCGTAAACTGACCTGAAAGAATAACGAATAAAATTTTGAAAAAATTACCCCAGAAAACAGTTACATTATCAGTGATAACAACAACTATCTCTTCTTTTCATTTTGATAATATTATTTTGGATTCACGATTAATATCCAAGGAAATGCAATAAGTTATATAACTAATATCCAAGGAAATTATTTATTTTTTTGACAAAGCGTTGAACAATTGCTCTAAAAATCGGAATGTGAATTTCAGTTTTGATAACATAAAATCAGGAAAGTTACTTAGAGTTTACTAAGAAATTTACTTTTGTGCTTTTCATTCCAGTCCCAATGGTATCCTATAAATATTGATTCTTTCAATATTTTACATTGACCAAAAAAGAACTTGAATGCAAATATTTCTCTAACAACAAAAAGCAAAGTAATGCTAATTCCACAGACGCTAAGGTCATCATAGAATATCCAAAATAATCAGGTGCTTGAGATTTGAGAAAGTTCCCTGCTGTGAGTGTGTACGTGCATCTATAATAACAACAACAACAACAACAACAATAATAATAATAATAATAATAATAATAATAATAAAGTTAGAAAATCACTCAAACCAAAGAAGGAGATGAAATTTAGTAATCGTAAAAAAATTAAAAAATTAAAAAAAAATAAAGAAAAAAATCCCCAAATAAAACTATCAGTTAGTGAATGTTGATTTTCAACAAACTACAGATATTTTAAATTGTTATGTCTCTTCGGGATATGTGTGATCATTTGATCGTTACAGACTTCTTTTACTTCAAGTATTTGTGAACGCCATATTTATTTTGTGAAATTTAACGGAACATTTTCCTGTTGCTTTCGCCGCGGCGTTTGAATTCAGTGTTGTCCTCGTAGACTAGCTGCCAACAAAAGTTAGTGAGTCCAATTTATCCTGTGATAGGAGAAACGATGGATTCATGCTTTTCCCAAGAACATTAGTACAAAAGTGAACGCAACAGACCAAGCTGGAATTTGAACTCGGTTTGCCGATTCCACTTTCCATACCCATAACCTTCACGCCCATCGCACGACAGAAAGTGAACATGAAGTTTACATTTGTATCCATCATTGTTGATGCATCTGGAAGACACCAGAAACCCTTTTACAAATTCGATAATGTAGGCAAGAAACAATCCAGACGATAAGTTAGTTACCTGCGACACGAGATACACGCTCGAGCGGTCACGTCTCTTTCGATTCGTGACTGACTAGGCAGAAGATTTTTTCGCAGTAGATCGCCGTTTCTTTCTGCGGTAGACTGGTTACCACCAAAGGCTATAGAACCCATTTTGTCCTGCTGTTCAACCTATAACTGGGAGGAAGAGCGATGAATTCATACCTTTCCCAGGGGTATTTTCGCGTAAGTGAAACTGACTGAAATTCGAACTTGGATCTACAGTTTCTCATTCCGATGTCTATTACACCACAATATGATTAAAAATACTGAAAATCGTGATGCGGTTGCTATTATTATTATTATTATTTAAGATACTTGTTGTCACTTGATCTCTAGTATAAACCACCAGAGACGACCGTTGTGAAAAATCAAATAATAATAATTTCAAATGAGTAAAATATTTAAATTTGGTATAAATAATACCTTTGAGTAGCCCTATGAGCAGAATTGAAAGAAGAAAAAAAAAAAAATACAATTTTAGTTGTGCTCATCCTGATAGAAGCACACGGAACAGCCCAGTAAAATTTTGCAAAGGTGTTGGTAAAATTAGAACCGCAAGAAATAAGAATAAAAAATACAAAAAATTTGCCGAGACAAAGAGATTTGGACGATATAAAGCTCAAATCCTGATGTAAAATTCAAAGCGTAAAGAGGGAAAACAGCCCTTTTTAAAAGTTTTTGCAAAAAAGTTGAAAAAATTAGAACAATTCAAAGGAGAAATTCGTTTTTAATCGGTAAATTTCAACCAATTTTTTAAATATAACAAAAAATAAAATGAAAAATGAAATGATGATTTTTATCGTTTCTTAATTTATGTGAATGATATATCATCATCGTTTTGACGACACAATTTGAAAAAAAATTATTATGGGATGTTGGTCGTAATGGATTTAAAATGTTTTCGATTCAATTTAGAGACTAGATTAGAATGACGATCGCAACTATCCCAACTGGCTAAAAAGAAAATAGGCAAGATTTTTACTTATTTACGTGGGTAGGAGTTATATTTATATAATTTATAATCACACAAAATTATTTGCTGAACGGACATCTGTAAGATCGTGTCGTGGCAGTCTTTCAAGCGAGATGGGGATATTGTTCTATCACTAAAACTTGAACTCCCTTACCTGACTTAATTGACGATTGTATTTAGAATTGTGTATGTAGAATTATGTAGGGATTAACGTCGTTTTGAAGAGAAAGAAAATGAATAAAGAAACATGAAATAATGATTAGATCAATTCATTTGAATGTGTGTGTAGCGCAAAGGCTATCGGCAGGGAAAGTCAAATTCAAATTTCAGTAATAACTATTGCGTTCGCTTTAGCACGATTTTGTTTTAGCTATTTCATCCAAATCAAGGCGATAATATCACTAGGGGCCAAGAGGCTACCGGGAGTAGAAGAGAATGAGAATACTTTATTGAGGATAAAGGACAATAAAAGGAAATGATTCTGAAAGATAGAAAATGGCGATTGGCGTTGCATTAAAATCTTTGAAGATTGTAGGTGGCAGAGAAGCAAGAAATCTGAAGGGTGTCATAGAGGTGAGATGTCCGATAAAAGAAAATCTTAGAATGGAACTAACAGTTGCATCTAGCTAGTTCAAAAGTAAATCTAGTCAATCTAGTAGCACGCTTAAATTCATGCAGTCGAAGTTAAAAGGATGAAAGCTCTTCAGGTCAATTGCCATGAAAATATTTGTAGAATAGACAGCTGGAAGCCACGTTTCGTTGGTGTGAAAGTGATTGAAATCGAGATGCATGATCAGAATCGATTACATTATAGACCCTACTTTGAATTTTGCCAATAATTGTGAACGCATTGACTCTTGGAAAAATATGAATCCATTCATTTTCTGCTAAGCTAGTTGGTAATGGTAGGGGAAAATCTTGCTTACTATGAGAACTATAGTAACAATACTGAGTGTGGCAAGTCTGTTGCCTCGTACTTCACAAGACTTAAGATAACACTATCTATCTATCTATCTATCTATCTATCTATCTATCTATCTATCTATCTATCTATCTTTTTTTTTAATTCAGTTGTTTCAACATGTCCCTCCTCCTCATACTTACACTTTCTCTAAATTCTGTTTTGATTTCCGGAGTTGTTTTTTTCTGTTTTCATTTTGAATTTGTAGGTCTGATGATTTGGATCGTATTTACGATTCCAATGGAATAAATTATGACCATGGAATATTAGTGTTTAAGCCTTTTTATTATATATATATATATATATATATTCTCAGTAACATCTTGTTTCTTAGTAGCTTTATTGCCTTACTTCGGGCGAAATCACTTTTAAAAATTGATTATAAAATTTCTGCGAGTGAAAGAACCATATATGTCTAAATCAATCTCTTTGTGTATCTATTTTTGACCTGAGGATAATCTATGTTTTATTGTTATTACTTATGAAAGGAGGGAGGAAGAAAGAGAGAAAGAGACAGACAGACAGACAAACAGAGAGTTTGAAAAAGGAAAGTTGGGGAGGAGAAAGAGAGAGCGAGGAGGGAGTGGAGGGCAGCTGAGTAGAAAATAGGTTATTCGAACGATCTTTATTTTTCATTTCACTTACCGATGAGGCCGTCTGTGGTATTGCTAAGTCCACTGCCATTCATCAAGTAAAAGTCAAGATATTTGGTTCCTTTGGTTTTCTTCGACTGTGATCTTCGAATCAACAATTTGATGACCTTTTTCTCGCTGGATTTCCATGTCATAACAATCGATCGGCGGTCAGTATAGTGGGCAGTGAATTGGTCTTTGAGTGGACGGCTTTCATCTTGCCACGAATGGCGCCTGGTTACCTGAACGTCTTCCGGCGAAATGGTCCATTTCTCTGTCGGAGCTGACACACTGATTACGCCCAGGTAAGTCTTCTGGCAGTCAACATCGCTGCAGATGATCTTTGCGTTCACAAAAATACCTTTAAGACAAACGAAAAACGAATTCAGTTTCAGCGTGGGAAGATTAAACAAGAATTTATGTTTGAGATTGCAGATTTTATTGAGCACAGTACAAGTCGCATTTATTTTATTTTATAAGTAGATTAATATGAAGAATTCACCTCTCTGACAAATCAACCAATATATATATATATATATATATATATATATATATATATATATATATATAGAGAGAGAGAGAGAGAGAGAGAGAGAGAGAGCGAAAGATAGAAAGAGAACATATGATCTGATGATCTTGAAACTGCCAGGAAACATACAGTTTTAAGTTCTGTGTCCACATTGTATATCCATACAAGCGCTCTATCCTCAATAATGAGCACGCTTTCTCCAAAGATATAACAAATTTTATGCTATATATATATATATATATATATATATATATGTGTGTGTGTGTGTGTGTGTGTGTGTGTGTGTGTGTGTGTGAAAAGTGTGTGTATATAAATATATATATATATGAAATATATTATATATATTATTATTTATATATTATATGCGCTGTCCTTATTAGAAAGCGCTGAATATCACAGATAGAGCTAACATATTTGGTTGGATTGATGTGAGTTTGTGATCTGGGTTTCACGCTTTTGCGATCGTCAGATAAACTTCCATAATAACACCAAATACACGCAATCTACACAAACCCAAAATTTAAAAAAATTATTCAGTTTGTCTGACGATCGCAAAAGCGTGAAACCAAGGGTCACAAACTCACATCAATCCAACGATATATATATATATATATATATATATATATATATATATATATATATATATATATATATATAAACTGTTATATACACAGCTGGAGTAGAATTCAGCGAAAAGCATGTTGATTTTGTGCTCAATATACTTTAGACTAAGCTATATACAATGTAGATATTAGAATTTTCTAAATCTTATTAAAAACTGTGCCAAAATATATTAAGGATAACTTGATTTTTTAAATATATAAACAATGGAAATTTAAATTTATATATACAATTTCATTTGAAATATCAATTTCCTCTCTTTGAATTATTTTATCTATAGATATATATATATTTCTTCAGACAGACGAATCTTCTTCATCCTTTACAAGTCGCTAATAAAATGGTAGAAAAATATTTGAAGTTGGAACACACACACACACACACACACACACACACACACACATATATATATATATATATATATATATATATATATATATATATATATAGAGAGAGAGAGAGAGTCTTCCACACATTCCTTCTAATCTCATGGTATTATAAAAGTTATTTCAAGACTTACCATTTCGCTTATCGTAAACAAGATTAATGACATCTCCAGGTTTTCCCATCATATTAAAGCAGACCGGCCTCTTCAGTCCCTTGAGTTCTATCATAAAATGCGGGTCGCCAACGCCTGTAACAAATATAAATCGATGAACGGCTTCAGCAAATCTAGAACCTTTGTGTAAGAACCGAGGTGGTGGTGGTGGTGGGGGGGTCATTCGTTCAGGAAGTTATATCTACTTGGGCGTCTAGCGTAGAGCGACCGTAAAGAAACTCATCTCATAATCCAGTTCGCTTCTCACTAGGTGCTGTAGGAAGTGGCAGACGAAATAAATAGCCTGGCCTGCATTATGACTGAGGTAGCTGTGTCTTTCTCATCTGTGGTAATGACCGGTGCTTAAGCTCAGGTAAAAACAAAGGGCTACTGTGCATTTTCAGGGTTAAAAATCATAGCTGAAAGATTGGCGCAGTACGATCTTCCTTTACCATTACCTTTATTTATATATGTTGTGAATTCCAGGATGAAATCCGTACCAATAAATAACAAACGCCAAGAATGAATATAGGAAAATAATGTATTAATGTAATAATACAAACTGGTAAAGCAGGTTAGTAGTTCCAGGAATACGGGTTAGTAGCAAAATATCTATACAGTTTTTGGTATTGAAGTATCGCTGTATGACTTCTGACTGTGTCTACGTGCTCGCTCACTGTGACTCTTGCTGGCTACGTTCGTTCTGTCTGTCTGTTACCTTCATCTCTCTCTTCCGGTTACCTACAACCTTTCACTCCTCTCTTCAGCTATCGGGTCTTCACGTAGCAGTAGTATATGTATATGCTGGGTGAGTCCATTTGTGTAAAAAGGGGAGGACCCCTCGACAATATATATACTAGCTGACTGACTGAACTTGTATATCCAAGATCTGCAAGCGAAATTGCTTGCAGAATTGTGGAAGTCAATTCGTAATCGAGTAAGACCACCTCTAAAACTAATAACTCCCAAACGAACATTTTACGGATGATTCGTTGATGTCTTAAATGACTCAAAACACTTGCAAGTGATCTGTTGAAATACAGGCAACATTTCTGACACCAATCTGATTATCTGGATACTTAGTTTTATGATGTCGAATGAGTCCACTGGCCGACCAACACCTATACGGCCACATTCATCACACGAGAGGGACTACTTTGTGCACCTCTTGGGAGGAGGGTTGACGTCTTCCATATTTCCTCGTTTCATCTCAATGTAAGCAACTTTGTTATTTTCAAATTCTTCAACACCAACAGCAATCAGATTTCTCCACGGCTGATGCAAGATGTCTCAAGGTGCTGGTATCTATGTTTACCTTTTTAAGTGTGTCCTCAACTGTGTCCTTGAATCACCTGTGCGGCTTGCATTCAGAACACAGCAGCTCTTCTGGCATGCAAGCCTCCTCTAAGCGGGCAATTTTTACATGAATACATACATACATACGTCTACGCCTTACAGAAGAACTGAATACCGGGAACTGGTGCACATAGTGTACTTCAGGAGCCACGAATATTACCCTTCAGGTTTTTGTGTTTTAAATTGTCCCTTTCCGAGATTGATTGTCAAGCAAGGCTAAAAGGTGTGCCCTACTATTTAACCCATAGCTTTGGGGAAAAGAGATAGATTTACACCTTTCAGGGCCACGAATATTACCTTTCAGGTTTTTGTGTTTTAAATTGTCCTTTTCCTAGATTGATTGTCAAGCAAGGCTAAAAGGGGTTCCCTACTATTTAACCCATAGCTTTGGGGGAAAGAGATAGATTTACACCTTTTCCGGGCGTATTCCAAATAAATGTAACAAACGACTTTTTCGATAGGTCTTTGTGTTTTAAATTGTCCATTTTCATTATTTTAAAGATTGATTTTAACCTTTGCAATTTGATGGAAAGTAAATAATCTCATTTGTATTTCGAATTGAACTTAACCTGTGATCCGTTTGGGGAAAGACGATAATTTACATCCTTTCCTGGGGCGTATTCCAAATAAACGATAAACAAACTCTCACTTTGGGTAAACGATTCGATATTTTTCATCCTGGGTAAGACGATAAACTACATCCTCATCCTGGGTAAGACGATAAGACATCCTCATCCTAATGACGATAATTTTTCATTATGACGATAAAATACATCCTCATCCTTTGACGATAAAATAATCCTCATCCTTTAAGACGATAAACTACATCCTCATCCTGGGTAAAATAAATACATCCTCATCCTTGTAAGACGATAAATACATCCTCATCCTTAAGACGATAAACTGTGATCCATCCTGGGTAAGACGATAAACTCATCCTGGGTAAGACGATAAACAGTCCAACAGGCCTCTGATCAGGAGGTTTTGAGGAGCGTGGAACCACCTCGTAATTGCTGGTGTTCCCAGGCCCACCCTGGCTCGGGGTGGTAGTATCTGTTAGGGTCCCAGCTATCGGTAAATAGTTAATACCCAAACTTGAGTAAAAATAGGTTTTAATACCAGAAAAACTTTGTAATAAAAAAATATTACCAGTAATAATTTTTGAAGGAAAATTTACAGTGAAACATATACTGTTAGAGTGTATAGATTTTGATCTAGTGCGAACAAGATATTACCAAGTGAGTAATTAAAAAAAAAACTTTTTACGAAAATAAAACTATCCAAGATTGTAAATTTCCTAAAAGAAGTTGAATTACTCAAAAATATGAGTAATTGAAAAATGGTTCAAATATATATGTATACATACACACCTTTTTTTACCAAATTATCGCTATGAATCTATTTTTTAAAATTTGTTGGCATTAAGTGACCCACTGAGGTTGATATGCCATAAAACAAAACAACGAACAAACCAAACACCCAGCTGTGATGATTGGTTCATGACGAATTTGTAGTTTTTGTAATATTATTCATTAATATTTTTACATGTTTTTTGTTGCTGGTCGAATTCTATATGTATCATTGCGCTGGGTCGGGTGTTTCACTCAGGAGTAAATATTATTAAACCTAGGGCATACCTCCCATAAAAAATGACGAACATTATTAGAATTTTTTATTATTAAGATATTCAAAATTCACAACTAAAATAGAAGCCAATGAACCGTTTAATTAATTCATCTCCTTCCAACAAATTTTCTATTTATTCATTTCTTCCGTGTCCATGCTGTATGTAATTAGATTTTCGTTATTTTATATCCATGTATAAATGATATTGTTTAACCAATGGAAATATCCCAATAGAGAATCAACCAAGTTTTACCCAACCCTTACTGACACGAAAGATATAAAAAAATAAACAATGGTAATTATCATATAGTATTGACAGGTTAATTATTTTCATTTTAATGTCGCATATCTATTATAACATCAGTATAGTTTAAAAAGGTGAATGCCTTTTTTAAAAATTGGCGCTAAAAGAGGGAGATCAGCTATTAAAGGAAACGCTAGTAAACGGGTCCTTCACATTGTTACAGGAAAATATCAAATTGTTTCAATACACGCAGTGGACTGGACGTGAAAAAAGAAATGACAATATTGGCAACGATTTGATAGAATTTGTATAGAAGGCCAAAGAGTGATAGGTAATGGAAGTAGAAATGTGTGTGGGGGCTTGCCTGTTTACTTTGAAAATCAGCATTCGAAATCCTGGCTTTTATCTGGATTTGAACTGACGCCATTCTAACCTGATGGAAAGTAAATAGTGCATCGTATGCATCCGTCTTAGCTACAAAGTTGGCTCCTGGAAGTTAACAGTTTGTCTTCTACATCTGTCTATATTTTGGATATGAATTATTGGGACTATTTAAATTGTTCGGTCTGTTGTGAATATGGCAATACAGATGTGGATAACAGTTCGAACAATGTAAGTAGTGTAAATCGTTTGTCCTCTAATGAAATAAAATTTTTCATGGACCTTTTAGGAAATCTTGGCAACGAGTCTCACAAACACAGAACTTATTCATTACTCAGCGCTTAAGCCCATATGGTTAGCATCATGAAAAGAAAACAGATGTTTATAGAAATGACTGGACAACGAGAGAATTATTTTCTAACCGATTGTTAAAGTTGCCAATTAAATGCAAATCAATGTGTACAGCCAACTTATTGAACCGGAAAATTCTTATTAGCTGCCCAGATTATACGAATTCCTCTGATCCTTACATCCTGCTATAAGTCTTACTTACTCCTCTGATTCTTACACGCTCCCTTGATTCCTACTTATTCTCTTGATTCTTAGTTGCTCCCCTGATTTTCATTTTCTCACCTTATTTTTATCTGATCCCTTGATTCTTACTTGCTCCCCTGATTCTTACTTGCTCTTATCTGATCCCTTGATTCTTACTTGCTCCCCTAATTCTTACTTGCTCTTATCTGATCCCTTGATTCCTACGTGTTATCTTGAATCTTACATGCTCTCCTTATTCATACTTGCTCTTCTTATTTTTATCTGCTCCCATGATTCTTTCTATTCTCTTGAATCTTATTTGCTTCCCTGATTCTTAACTGCTCCCTTGATTCCTACTTCTCTTGATTTTTAGTTGCTCTCTTGATTCGTACTTGACCACCTGATTTTTACTTCTTCCCCTGATTCTTATTTGCTCCCCTTATTCTTAGCTACTCATTTGATTCTTAGTTGCATCCCTTGCTCTAAGTTACTCCATTATTCTTACCTGCTCCCGTGATTTCTTGCATCCAAATTTTATTTATGTCAGCACCAGAAGATGAACCACCTTTAAAAATGAAAAAAAAAAGAAATATAAGAATTGTCTGGAATTTAAATTTAAATGAAAAAAGGAAGAGAGATCGATTCAATTAAACAACGATTTTGTATTTGAAAATTAATGACAGATGAAAACTCAAGTCTGATGTTACAAAACTACACCCACTTCTCCCGGCAAAGAAATCTGTGACGCTCTTGTCTTAAAAAATGCAACTTATATTCAAGAACAGTTTTGAGACTCATGCGTTTGTTTGAACAAATTTTAATAAAATAAAACCACCAACACTGCGCTCAACGCCGTATTATTTTATTTACGCCTTTAAGAATGATAGAAATTGAACGAACATTTGATATATTTCTTGAACTGTTCATTTTGCCTTTGTTGTTTTCATATAAGATTTCGAACCGATATATCTTCAGGTAAATATTGTATCCTGTCTTGATATGTGCTTTTTGGTTTCTTCTTTCTTGCTATTCTTTCACTCTCAACATATGCATTTAACCAAATCCCAGGATTGAGTTGCAAGTTCTCAGATTTATCGTGTCAATAAGAGAAACGGACGATATTAGACTCAATCATCAGACTAAGCGAGTTGTAGGATTTTGTCTTTTGTGATAAACTACTATGAGATCAAAGTTAGGAAAGCGAAGTGATATTTAAATGTCTTTTCATTCAATTCTGTTGAGAGATCTCTAAAGAAAACATACAAAAACGCACACTGGCCAAAATTAAGATGATAACAATTGGAACTAAAAAAACTTCCGGTCAGAATTTGCTAAAACAAATGTAATAAGAAAAAACAAAATAATACTCACTTTGGTTGAGTCCGATTGCAGATGGCGGTTGGAATGTTATAAAAGACCAAGGAGTCAAAACGAGACCCTGAAAATTAAGGAAACACTTTATTATTTATAAATAGAAAAAGTGCTTAGGAAAATAGATCTGAAAAAGATAAAAAAAACAAAAAGTGTATTTTATTGACTTCCTGTTGAATTGAGAAAATAAGTAAAATAATAAATATTACCCTTTTATTACCGCTTTATTTATTTAAAAGCGTAAAAATAAAATTATTAATATCCTCAAGAAAGAATTTCTTCAGATACCATTTATCACCCTTTGGTTGAAAAGTCCGTTCTGTTTTTCTAATCAGATTCCATTAAGAGCGATAAGCTTTATATTTTAAAAAGATGCTTTTGATTGTAACAGTTATCACATCAGTATGCACTTGAAAAAAATGATGTATAATTTGAAGATCGGAGAAAAGAAACATCATCATCATCATATTATTATTATTATTATTATTATTATTATTATTAACGGCAAAAAAGCGACTTAAATACAGAAATAAATTTTACAGTTTATGGAGAAGGTTCTGTAAATAATCGAACATATCTAAAACGGTTTGCAAAGTTTTTCCATGCTGCATATTTTTGCTAAACACGCTCCACAACAGAATAAACTAATTAAGGTTGACAACTACCAAATGAAGATATTAAATGAAAATAATTAATATTATACAAGCTGGGAGATAATAATACTCAAAATATCCAAATCAAACACTGAAATTCATTTGCACGAAGTTAGTTTTGTTAATTGCGTTGGATGTGTGTCTTCCACTTAAGTTTAGGGAGAAAAATACTGAAACGTATTTTAATGTTGTATTTTTTAAACAAAGTGTGACAAGCGAAGGTAATATTTTTATCTAATCTACCAATTACAATGCAGGTATTTAAAAAGCTTCATTAACTAAAAACAACATAATTTACGAATTCTTTTTCCCAATGGGTAACTGCGTTCCCATCATACACAAGCACCTAATTCGTAGGTTCGAAAAATCACAACTATCTTTTCTTGTTAACTAACCTGTCATCTGTCAGACACAAATGAAATTCCTAAACATATCAATGAACATTGCCAACTAAGACGCGATATTCTCACTAGCATAAGTCTAACGTGTCTAATATACAACATGGACTGAAAAAATGGTTTCTGATGAAACCTTTATCGTAAAAGAAATACGGAATAAGATCTGTTTCAGTTATGGGTCTGAGTTTCTAAATATATTTGGGAACTGATTGAGTCAATTGCTGTAGACCGATGCATGACGTCATCCTCACGGAGAAACGGTAAACACTGAGTCTAAAAACAGTAAAAAAAAAAAAACATTTTTCTATGATACCGAAAAAGACCAACAGTATGGCCGTAGACGCGGGATTACAAATGTTTGAATAATATTTTATTTTCTGGATCCACACATACTTTTTCAGTATGTAATTAGGAAAGTTACTAATAAAATTCAGGTCTATGCTACTGTTAGTTAGTGTGTGTTGTGTCAATGAGGACAAAACTTCCTTAACAATGACTTTGAAAAAAAAAAAAGAAAAAAACAACTCGCAAACCATTGTAGCAGATTAGGATCCCATTAAATTAGAATTGAGTAAGAAATTTGTGAAAGAAGAAAGGGACATTTTGATGTTTGAGATTTTCTCACATTCCAATATGTAATCAAATGATTAAAAAACAACGGCCTGTAATTAATCACACTGATCTGTCAATACTGTCAATAACACATATTTTATTTTCAACATCATCACTTGATAAGACACAGAGTGTGTTGAAACAAAATGGCTATTTTTGTAGTGATTTTATAACATACTTATGTTATAATTTTTTATAAAAAATAATTATATATATATATATATATATATATATATAGTTTTAAGATATGTTAAATTTATGGCTAAAAGTGTTCAAATACAGGGATAGAGCACATGTGAATATAAAAGTCCCTGAAGATATCACGAAACAGACTGTCGTCTCTAGGTTTTGACTTGAGTTTGACGCCTCTACTCCCCTCCCAAATACAGCATATCGCACAGTGATTCCCCCCTCTCTCTTTCTATCTCTCTCTCTTTCTATATATATATATATATTTACCAACAATGATAGAACAACCCTCAATAATCAGTGGATAATGTTTTTGGTCAGCCAAGATAACAATCCCTTAAATACATTATTCATAGTTTAAATTATTCGAAATCGAAAAGGTCCTTCAACAATAAGTAATGTCCCGACATTAAACCACTTCTATCTCAATACTGCCAATACAGGTGAGATAAAAGTCAAACCTTTATAAAAGTATCACCCAGAGTGGACCCATGTCGCCCCCCTACGCCACAGAAGAAATATTTCCGTTTTCATAGCATTAATAGATTTTGTAACCGGAGGAAGATCACCAAGTGTGTTTTAATCGATATTTGAAGCCAGACTTTCTTCATAAGGAAATGAGATTGGAATATCTACAGCGATAAAAGCAGACGACAGCAAACGCTGATATATTCGAGACAGACAGACAGACAGACAGACAAGCAGAAGATATAAAATAGCAACTCACTGGATATGCGCGGATTGCTTTTCTGTCATCCATGTTAATCGCTGTTCTCAGGGCTAAAAATTCTAAATAACTTTTTAGAAATTCCTCTTTCTGATTATCATTATAAAGACCGAGGTCACTGTTAAGGAGCGGCGCTGTGTAGTTGTTTATGCCATTGTATCCTCTGCCAGTGACAACGACCATCTGGTAGTTGTTGCTAGGGAAACAGTCGGGAGTAATGTAGAAAATATTCTCGGAGCCTCGGTAATAGTCACGTGACATGTCGAAGCGATGAGCGTCTTTATCGCAGTTTTTAAGTGTCAAGTTGTTCAATAAATGTGTATTGATTTCGCCGAAGAAATTAACCATTAATTCGACTGCATATGACAGCTGGCGTTCATAGATTTTTTTAAATTTGCCACCAGTGGCTGCTGCAGTGGCTCGTAACAATATGACATCTGATGTTGAACCAAGGGCTAAAGTAAATATTGGTATATTGCGACCCTTGTTGATATGCTTGACTTGGTTGATAATTGTATTTGTCCTCACATCTGTCGTCGATTGGAATCCGTCGGTGAGGAAGTAGACAGCCTGGAATCGACCGGGTCTCGTATCATTCAAGTGATCCAAACTTTTATTTAATGCCAGATTGATGTTGCTTACTGGAAATAGAAAATAATTCATCTTACTTATTATAAAACGCAGATTGTGTGTGTGTGTGTGTGTGTGTGTGTGTGTGTGTGTGTGTGTGTGTGTGTGTGTGTGTGTGTGTGTGTACGTTTATATATTGGATCGGATTTCCTACATTTTTCAACCGATTTCAACAAAACTTCACAGGACTACGTAAAATTACCTTGCGGTGGTTCTGACAGCGCCAAAATTTGGAAAAACACAATTGTTTTTGCATGAAATCAATTTGAAAACACGATAAAACACGATTCTGTCGCCAGAATGAAAGGGGGGCAACTCATATCGAGTTATACTTATTATAAAACCCAGGTTGTTTGTGTGTGTGTGTTCGTTTATATATGGGATCGGATTTCCTACATTTTTCAACCGATTTCAACAAAACTTCACTTTTTTTTGGCAGCTAGTGTTTCTTATTGTCTTGCACACTTTTTTCTTTATTTTTATATTCAGATTGCTTTAAAAATTCCATTTACAAGACAATTGTTTATAATAAAATTCTATTCAATCGGTAGACTCAACGATTGAAAACAATGTTTTTGTTTGAGTTTGGGTTTGACCAATTCGTAAAAAAAAAATAAAAAAAAAAAAAAAATAATTAAGACATGCGTGTCCGTCAACCTTAAACAATAATCTTTGTCAATTTTATTTTTCAGTCTTTATGGTGGTCGATACTTGATCTATCTCTTACTGTTACATCCCCGGGCAACGCCGGGCTCTACTGCTAGTCATTACTAATTAGATCAATATGACCAAAGTTTTGAAAAGCATTTCGATTGAAATTGTTAAGTAGTCAAATGTTTTTGATGATGCCGAGGTAAACTATCTGTTGTAGGTTAGCATGCCTGCGTATATGCATCTAAAGTTTCGTTTTTCATGAAAACTGATTTCATCTATGAGACATTTTAAAATTGTATAATCAGAGTTTAAATGACAACATTTCTTTCTGTTATTTTATTCAAAGAGGCCAAATGTTTAATTTTAAAAGTACACTTTAAATATATGGGAAGTGTTTTAGTAGAGGACAGAAAATGGGACACAGAATTCCGAAGGTGCACTGATATAGCGGAAAATGCCTTCAAAAACTAAGCAAAGTATTAAGAAACAAAAAAAAATTTCGTCAGACCCCCCCGAAAAAAAGTACTGAATTGTTACATAATATAAGTCCTCCTGCAGGGCAGTGAATGCAGGTCAATCTCCTCACAGATAAGAAGAGACATGAAGCAACAGAAATATGATTCTACAGAAGGATGCTGAGAATGCCATGGAATAAACATGTGAGCAACGACGAAGTTGTAGGGAAAATCGAGACAAAATAAACACATACTTAACATCAGAAAGAGGCAGTTGAAACTTCTAATGCACATCTTGATGACAGAACAGGGCATAGAAACGATAACAAAAAGACCGGAAATTGTGGAGAGCTATGATCGCCAACGTCCTGAGGGGATACTACACATAGAAGAATATGTTTTCTTCGACGTTATTATAATATTTTGAACTGAAGAAAAATTATTGACTCAAATTTTGAAATGAAGCATTTACATTATTCGAATTAGTAATTTAATTGCGGAAGTGAATGGAGGATTCGGCTGGTAAATTCTCCAGCCTTCCTCAGTTGCGTATAGAATGTGTCAACGAGAGCCTGTTCATAACAAAGAAAATGAAGAAGCATAGAATAAGAATAATAAATATTCTCTTCATTGTTTCTTCAATTGTACTGTGAATTCCGCTGTCTTGGCAATATTTGAATCGAACGAAATAATTCAAAGTGATCGAGGGCGTTAATTCATTCCGAGCAACAACAGGTGAACTTGCATATCCATCAAACCTTAGAATAAACACAAGTTTTAATATATTAAATATATTTTGACTGTCCATTCAACTAATGTTGGTTAATGAATAAAACTTTATGAATATCGTCGCGATATTAATTCTAGTCTCTTATAAAGAGTATCGCCAACCCAGAAATGGGAATTATTATTTGATTAATTACATCACATTCAACAGATGTTTTAGATCCGTTAATAAAAACCGAATTTAAATCTATTGATTGAGAAAATCGTAATTAACGAATCTAAGCTGTTTGGGTGGATATGGACGATGTTCAATCCCAAATAAAAAAGGGATTTTGAAAGCCGATTTTCAAGGCAACTAACTTCTCTAATAAGACAGCCATAACTCAATTTTCCTTTTCTTAACAGTCAGTTAATTCAAGTATTTGTAAAATCGGCAGTATCTACTCGGTATGAGTATATTTCTAATGCATAAATCTGAAAGGAAAATAAAACAATTGTCAGACAGTCTAATATTCAATCATTTAAATAATGTGAATGACTTTTTTTTTAGCTTGCTTATGATTTTATTTTCGTCTATTTTCCCGTTTTAATAAAACTACATACCATGAAAATACCAAGGGAGACAACTAGGGTAGTTAAAATTGTAAGGGAGATAACTCCTGATGCGCATTTTATTTTATAATCGAAGTATGCGATTGGTTTTGACTAATTTCCTGTTATATTTTTACACGATAACGATATATAGACACCTAAGAAAGGTTAAACACGTTGTAAAAAAAAAAAAAAAAACAGTAAAGAAAAACAAGAAAAAAAAAAATAACAACGTTGCCCCCCCCCAATATACGAGACGTTATAAAAAATAAAACAAAATAAAAAGTTAACAAAGATAGAGAAATTAATGTAAAGTTAACATATTCACTTCTGTAATCATTCCTGTTCTGTAGTAAGATTAATAAGAAGGAACTGGTTTGCTTTATCTGATTTTCAGAAAAACTTGAAATAATCAGTTGTGATAATTTCCACGTCTATGTCAACGTCTATAACCTGTGTATGTTCGTGTTGTGTCAGTTTTCAACATTTATATTTGGTATTGCATCAGTAACATGTCTTATTATCTGGCCATAAAGAATGTAAATACTGATCTCTTCCTCATTTTATAGGCGGCCATAGCTCTCCACAATTTCCTATCCTTTGTAGATGAGAGTAAGCTTTGTCTTTTCATTATCTATTCAACTCCTTGATATGATTTCCACAGGATCGTTAGTTAGGTTACTTGCAGTTTCTCTGTATTTCTCTTGCCTTCAATGTGTCCTGTGAGTGTCAAATTTTCCAAGCCCTCTTTCTTCAGTATGTGTCTTAGAAAATACAACTGTCATTTTCTGACTATAAGTATAGGTGTCTTTTTTGTTTCCATTATCCTTAAAACTTCCTCGTTACTCACATATTCCGCCTATGGTATTCGCAACAGGACTGTAAAACTACAATTTTTTTGCCTCAGATCTCTTCTTCATCTCTGAATAGATTGTCTAGCTCTCACTGCTATATGGAAGGACTAGTATTACATAACAGTTCAGTACTCTTTTCTTTGTTTCTAATGACATTTTCCTTTTTTTTTTTTTTTTTTTTACTAATGTTGACCCAATATAAGGCCCAAGGGCCACTCAGGGTAGAGAATTACTGTGTGTAGTTGTATTAGCATAAGAAAGGGCAAGATAACAGGAAAGGCAGATAATTCTAGACTTGAAGCGGTCAATAATTTAGTTAGCGAATAAAATTTCAGAGTTCAGGCAGCGACGTTGAATTAGACATTAGAACAGGAAGCCCAATCCTAAACAGGAAACAAGAACCGGAAGCCCAATCCTAAACAGGAAATAAGGTGTAAATCTCTACTCCTGTTCAAAAAACTTGGAAGCGGTGTGAATCGGGCGATAGATAGAACTATCTACTGTTTAGAATTTAAGCCTTGGGAAAAGTGTGAAATCACACCTTTTCCTCTCAGCTATGGGTTAAAGACTAAGACTTGTATAAGAAAATCATTATTATCGTCAAAAGGATTCTTATAATCTCAAAATATGTTTCTTAAAACAACTTTAAAATGATTGATAAGCCGTAAATCAAACTAATCAATTATTCGTTCTGGATTAAACTACATTTAGAATTCCTACGGTATCTATTTTAGTTCATGAGAAAACATTTTCATAATGCAGACTAATTCGCTAATTTAATCAGTTCGCATCTAATTCTCGCGCTTTGTCAGAGAAAAATGAATGTGAAAAACATAATGAGTATTTGCTATCGAACAAGGCTTGGCGAGAATAAAAAATCAGGATGAAAGTCACGTGACGTATTACTTACTTCCGGTGGCAGGGAAAGATTTGATGAATTGCATAGCGCTTTGTATATTTTCATTGGTAACATTCTGTAGCTCTTTCTTCCATTCATATACACTTCTGTTGTACATAAGAATGTTGAATCGGTCTGCCGTCTTCATTTTTTGAAATATGATGGGGAAGGCTTTATGGATAATCGCCTCCCAATCTAACGCCATAGAACTGCTCATATCAATGGTAAACACCAAATCTTTGGGAAGAGACGTGTTTATGACGTGATTGAAGAAATACAAACCTCGGTCTTTGTGCCACTATGGGTAAGAGAAAAGGGTTAGAGAAAGAAAATGGTTAGAGAAGGAAAAGGCTTGGAGAAAGAAAAGAAAACTCCAATATAGGAACATATGATAGCGTGAAAAACGCTTGTTTTAGAAATATAATTAAATGCTGAATGAGAAAATTAAGAAGGTTTGCAAAATAACAAAAAAATAAGCAAAAACAATTAAGAAGTTTGATAATTAAGCAAAAAACAGCGCAGTAATTCTTAAGAGTAAATTACATTATTTACACTATTTACATTGTTCAAGCTGTTGTCATCATATTCACTACCTTTCGGCCGTTCTATGCTCCGGTCTTCAGGTGATTGGAATTTCGAAATTCCAAATATCTGAAGGAGATCGGAGCGTACAACGACCAAAACGTCGTGAATATGACGACAAAGATGAGGACAACAGTCCGAACAATGTAAATAGTGTAAATAATTACAATACCTCATCTCAGAAATATAGACAACAAGTTGCATTTTGAAAAAAAAATTTTTGCAAAATATGTAAAAAATATTTTTCAATATGAAAAAAAGCTTAAAAAAAAAGCTTAAAAAAAAAGATTAAATTAAAAAAGATTTTATTCAATTCTCCATTAAACACTAGAAAATAAAAATAAAAAAACAAAACAAAGAAAAAAACGGAGAAATCCTACTTGACTGATTTGCTAATTAAATCATGGGCGAATCCATTTCTGTAGAGGAAACAAAAGCAGTGGAATAATGAGAAAAGTTGATAGTCTCTGCAGTGTATGATTAGGAATCTAAGAATTTATGGAAATGCCTTTATTGTGATAATTTACCTCTTGCTAATTTCTAATTATTATTAAATGATGCAAAATGTCTCAAAATATTTGTAGATTAAACGGAAGTAAATTCAGACAGGAACAAATTAGCTTTAGTTTGCTTTGTAAAAAGTTAAAATTCTATAAAGTACATGTTATAATCAGTTATTAGCACAGACACTGGAAATAGAGTTCAAGACCGGTTTATGGTATCTGTCTTTTTCTCAAGTAACGTAACACAATCAAAGGGACATAACTTTTTACTGACTAGAGAAGCGGTTATTAGCAGCGGGTCATAATCTTCGCAATGCGTAGTTTCTTTCTTTTTTTTTTTTTTTCTTTCATTCGTTCGTTCGTATTCTTGAAAATCTTATTCCAAACCTCCAGAAGCATCGAAGAAGAAATACATGCGTGTAGTTTTCTTTCCTACCATATCTATATTAGGTATAAATTTAAGGCAACGTAAATGCCACAGATTTCTCGAATAGGGTATTTAGACAAATGTCGGATGACTTAAACAAGTGACTCGCAGTTAAATGCTGTTTCATCATTTACTGATCTAAGTCTTTTAAAATTTTCTCTGACATCGCAATAGCTATAGCCACTTGCAACCTACTCATCTTCGTTGCCACATTCACGACGTTTAAGCCGTTGTACATCTCGGCCTTCTTCAGGTGATTGGAATTTCGAACTGAACCCTTTATTTTGTCCACCAGGGTCGATTGTTCTAGTTCCACATACCATGCCTCCTCCGGGTGTCTCAATCTACACCGAAGGACGAAATAAAGGGTTTAGTTCGAAATTCCAATCATATGAAGAAAGCCGGAGTGTACAGCGACTGAAACGTCGTGAATATATCAACGAAGATGAGGACAACAGTTCGAACAATGTAAATAGTGTAAATAGCCATATGTTTGTTTATTTTTACTAACATCAAACTTAGAAAAGAAAAAAAGACTTTTGAAAATGAGGGCCAATCGGAAGTATAATGAATAAAATTAATTTGTTGAGATAAAGAAAATTTTTTGTAAAAATTTCAATTTTGGATTAAACCGGCATCTTTAAGACTGTAAAGAATCCTCTGTCTTTCTCTTCTTTCTCATTCTGCTTACTTTATCCCTTCTGGATATGGGCGATCATGGCCCTCTACATCTTCCAAGATGTTACTTTCAGTATTACATTTTCATTTGCCGGAAATAATGAAGAATAATGAAGAATAAATTTACGTGAGTGGAGCGGCGATGTCGACCGGAGAGTCCTAAGGCTCGAACGCCTCATTCTCCTCTGCTTTAGCAGCATTCCATTTTGATTGGCGGAAGAGGTGAGGGCAGAGGTATGTTATAAAAATCCCTTCACCTCATACTCGAGAGGCTTTTTGGCCGACAGCGAAACAAGTTGTTATTATTGTTCCTGTCTATGGTTAGTGCGGTATGGGTCTCAAAAGAAGGACGTTTTGAAACCCGGTCATTCACCGTCTATCTTCACGCTGGTTTTTTTCAGTCGAATTCATTTTCGATACCTTTATGGCTAATCTTTCTTTTTTTTTCTGATATTTTGTCGTCCATTCGTCAAGAAAAACTAATGAAAACTTTAGTGAGGTTTATTCTTCACACTCCCCTGTTTATCGCATTCTGTCTTTGCCACTTCCCGAGTTTACCGTGAATTGAATATTGTTGCCACATCTAGTCCAGCGCTTCTTCTACTCCTTTAGAGATTCGGGAAAATCTGCAATATTATTGGTACCGATCTGGCATATTGGTTTCAAACACTTTCCTACCGCTGTATCATAGCCTCGCTGTACATTTTCTACAAACATTTTCATGACAATTGTTCTGATGAGCTCTCCTCATTGGTATCTTGACCTCATAAATGTAAGCGTAATACTCGATTGGCAGTTAGGTCTCATCATTTTACTATTTAAATTGCTAGATATGACCGTAAGTTCTATTCTAATAGTTTCTTCTCTCTCACTTCTCACCTATGGGAATCTCTTCTGGATTCTGGCTTTCCTGCTAACTACAATTAACAAAAAATTTAATGCGACATCATTCGTGATCTGTCTCCTTCAATCCTGTTCTTTTTATTATCCTTTCTTCTCACTAATGTTTTCTGTTTCTTTCATTCTTAGAATATTGCTGTCACATATGGTCCGGTGCACCTGCTATTTATCTAGAGCTCTTTGATAAAATCCAAAGAAGAATCAGCAATACAGTTGGTCCTGTTCTGGCATCTCGGCTTCAGTCACTTTCCCACTTCCGTAAAGTTGCCTCCCTGTACAGTTTCTACAAATACTTTCATGATAATTGCTTGATTTGATTTGGTTTGTTTCACGACATACACAACCACAATGGGTTATCGACAAGATTTTTATAGCTGGTAATATTTTTTCCAAAAATTTATTGCTGGTAATATTTTTTCTTCAAAAGTGTATTGATTGAAAGATTTTTTTCTTAAAAAATATATTGCTTTTAATATTTTATTCTTCAAAAATGTATTGCTGGTAATAATGTATTGCTGGCAATATTTTTTCGAAAATGTATTGCTCGTAATAATCTTTCCTTAAATTTATTGCTATCAATACATTTTCATTGTGTATTCACCCCAGTTTGGGAGTTAACTATTTGTCCATAGTTGGGACCCCAACAGCTGCTACCACCCCGGGTCTGGGTATGCCTGGGAACACCAGCAATTAAGAGGTGGTTCCACGCTCCTCAAAACCTCCTGATCAGAGGCCTTTGCTGTTGGATGCAATTTATCGTCTTACCCAGAACACGGATGTAGTTTATCGTCTTATCCAGAACTGGTAATTGTTTGGACCAACTCTTCGCTATGGTACATAGACTTCTTGAATTTAAGTGCAGTGCTAGACAGGCGACGTGCTCTCAACAATTTACAGTTGAGTTGACTGGATGTAACCATAAGTTCTATGCTAACTGTTTCTTTTCTCACACTTCTCGCTTTTGGAACTCCCTTCCGGCTCCATGCTTCTCAGCCAACTTTAATCTTCAAACGTTCAAATGTAATGTCAGTAACTATCTATTGTCCTCCCGATTACTCCTCTTTTGTTCTCGCTCCTTAGTAATATTTCTGCTTTCTAATTCTTCCACACCCAGTAACCCTGTGTGTCTTAGTGGCTTTACTGCCTTACTTGGGGCGAACTTGATTTTAAAAAAATGCAACCTCCCCATCTTCTGTCTCTTTGAATCTTGTTCGATTTATTGTCCTTTGTCCTTGGTAACATTTTCTTACTTTTCTTCACCCCACTGTTTTTCGTCCTCATTAATCCCATGTATCTTAGCAGCTTTATCGTCTTGCTTGGTGTGAAATGATAAAAAAATGAAATGTGTTCTGTGAGTGTTAAATTCTTCAAGGCTTTTTCACTCGTGATGTGCCCATAAAGTTCAGCTTTCTCTTTCTGATTGTAAACAGCAGTTCCTTTGTAGTTCACATTCTTAAAACTTCTTCATTTGTCATATGCTCTGTACATGGTATACACTTTTACTAGTTCCGGACACCCTGAGATAATATGGTCGACAGTTTTATCATATTTTCCGGAGAGCATGTATTTATCATATTTTCCGCAGATCCTGTATTTCGGGTTAGTTTCATCTTTGCTTATGTGGCAGTGATAGGATCTGGTTGCAAGACTTTGGTACGGGGCTGCAATATTTAAGCATTCTGTTTCAGTTTTCAACCCTGTGATCCTCAACCACTGATGTGTTTTCTATTGGTCCACGTATGCTTCTTCTGGTCTTTTTAGGTATTTGCCATGCAACGTCTTGTCCTTACAGTTTTTTGTAATTTCATTTGGCCAAATTGTTTTGCTTTCTGTTTTACTCATTTGGCGTATATTGTATTCTTTTCGTTTTTTTATTGGTAGGGTTTCAGGTATATGAAGTTGTTTCATGAAGAATGCAGCTTCTTTGTTTATTACAATAGATTTGATGTTTTACTATTTGTAGGAGAGGGTCATTGGTTTTTGTGAGGTATGCTTCCAATCCGATTGTTGTAGTTTTTAGAGTTAGTTCAAGTTGGATTAGACCTCGCCCTCCTAAAGCTCTTGGTACGTACAGCCCATAAATATCTGATTTCAGCTGCTGCATCTTCATTTGATTAAGCATTTTTCTGGTCTTGATGTCTAATCTTTTCATGTCATTCAATTTCCATTTAATAATGCTGAAGGTATCTGTTACTACGGGTATAGCTAAGGTTTAATAGCTTTCATTTTATTGGACCCATTAAGTTCCCTTTCTCGTATCGAACGCACCTTGTCATTTGTTTCCATCAATCCAATTCTTATACATTAACAAATCCACATGTACAATCCTAATATACATAAACTTGTTTATAATCTGTCTAAAGCAATGGGCAAATCTCGAGATGAGACTAAAATAAACAACAGTTCCATCCAAGTTCCAAAATTATGGAACGATAACGCAAAGCTGCTGGTTATTCATGTCTCTGATGTTGATATTTGATATCTTCAAAGATAGAATTCCAAATTTCCTTTAAAAGAAAGCTAATATCTATCTATCTATCTATCTATCTATCTATCTCAGTCTGTTCCTATCTATCTATCTATCTATCTATCTATCTATCTATCTATCTATCTATCTATCTATCTATCTATCTATCTATCTATCTATCTATCTATCTATCTATCAGGCTAAATACAGCTATATCTGTATACGTAGCTACAGATAAAATTCAGATATATGCCAAGCAACTGAAAGCATTTCAAAAATAAATATTTTGACACACCTATATATAATGTTTATTTTGTCTGCGGCTGAAATTGCCTTTTTTTTTTTTTTTTTTTTTTTTTTTTTTTTTGTCATATTTTTAGCTTCTCTAATTTCTGTGAGTCTTTCTGGGTTTTTCTTCTTTCAATTTTCCTTCGCGTGGTTTTTTGCTTCATCCTTTTCACCTTTTTTTTTCTGATTTTATTTTTGCTTATCCAGACTCCAACATATTTTTTTCATTATTTCTTTCTTTCATGCCACCCCAACTCTTTCATCTTTATATTTTCTTTATGTGCTTATCGCTTGTCCACACACATGCGAACATGTATTTTTCCATCTCCTTCAACTTGCAATTTTCCAACGTTTTATATATTATATATATATTATTTTATATATTATAATAATCGTTTTCGTTTGGGTGATTCTTAACATAGCAAAAACGACACATCGTAGCACAACTTTTGTCAGAACAATAAAGTTAAAATACTCTAACTTGAAGAAAATAAATTTCAGTTCAATCGGGTCATTACGTTTCGAGTAATTGATAGAAAGTTCGTCAAGAGAGATAGGTCCAGATTTAACAACTGCTGATTACAGAATCATATTTTTTAATTTTATTAATAAGAAACCAAGAGGAATAAGCAGAGAAAATCTCTTGACCTGTCTGCACGCTTTTCAGTCAGCCATAGTGGCATAGCAACGACGATACTATAATAATGATGATAATGAGGATGGTGATAAAGCTTAGATGTAATCTATAATTATAAATTCTGTAAATGAAACGGGACGTGACATGAACGGAGTCTACCGAAGCTGCCATTTAAACCAGTAATGATAATAGATTTTTATTGTTTTTATGCTATTCACGGCAGATGCCTGTTGATTATCAATAGAGATTGAATCACAGCTTATTCTTCTATGTGCTGTGTCCCTTCAGGACGTTGGTGATCATGGCTCTTCACAATTTCCTGTTCCTTGTAGCTCTTAATAAATTTTGTCATTTTGTTATCTCTCCTAAATCGTGTTCCGTCATCCATTTACTCAAACTCGCCTGTGGTATTTTCGTCTGTTCCTCTTGCCTTCAATCTGTCCTGTGAGTATCAAATTTTCCAAACCGTTTTTCTTCATTATGTTCCCTAAAAATCTCAATGTTATATTCCTGATGCTAAGTATAAGTGTCCTTTTTATTTCCATTTTCTCTAAAACTTTATCGTTGATCACATGTTCGGTGGTTTCCTCAAATCGACAACAATTATCAATATCTTTGCAGACCCCAATATTGTTATGATTCCGATAGTTTCAATTCTTCTTCGATTTAGACAAATTAGTTCAGCCTCATCTAGATTTGGACACAGTTTTAAATACCCCATCATCCTAATATTCATGACTCATAACTTTCTCTTTCCCGCGGATGATGTCCTAGTATTTTGAATTTACATTTCGTAATTTTTTGCTTTTCTATTATTTCGGTTTCACCCTGTCGTTGATTAAATCCTCTTTCCTAATCTGCTTACGGCAATCAGATCCGGTCTTCTTATTCGGGTGGGTTGTTCAGCCTCGATCCTAAAACACCCTTCACGTAGCTTCTAAAATTTCCATCACTAAACTTGCACTTGCATAGAGGAGGTTATTAGGTTCTTTTCGTTTGATGTGCTGTCGTAGCTTCTTGATGTTTTCTGTTTCGGATTTCACTTTTCCTCCACTCCTTGCTTCTTTTCTTTCTTGCATCGATATTGAGAGCGTATTTGCTTTTTATCTTTCTCTCTTATATTGTCTGTCGTAGTTGTTTAATCTTTCGTTATGAGTGTTCATTGTTTTCATTAATTAATCAATTATGATTATTTTAATCAAATTCTCTTTTTCTTTCTTTCTTTTTTTATTTTTGGCATCTCGTTCTGTGGGTACTTCTAAATGCCACACATTCTTTTCAATTTAAATACTTCTTTTCTTATCAAATCAGTTTGCAATACACGGCAACAGTTAACTGAATTAAAAAGTAAGGAAAGTAACTCGATCCTAAAAAAATACACAACATATTTATGACAACTATAAATCGTCTATTTACTTTTAAGTCCAATGAATATGAAAGAAATGACGCATGCGTATTGCTCCCCTAGATATTAACTTGAAAAAATAATCCCAATTCAAAAAGTGAAAGTAACAGATTTTATTTTTAAATGAATGGCATTATAGTTTTGGGTACAATCTTTTTCTCTTAGTTAAACGAAACTGTGATTCGTCACGAAGCAAAGGAAATTCATAAGCAAATATATTCAAAAATAAAATTCTTTATCGGCTGTCTACGCAAAATACCCCAGGAAACGTCATGTGTTTATTTAATCCATATCTAAGTGAGGCTTCACTGTTTACAAAATCAGATATACTACAGGAGACATTAAGAAAGCTTTATTGTAAGATAAGATGTTCGTCAGTATTAAATCCATTGCCAGCAGAATGTGTCGGGGTTATCTATCAAGTCGTTAACAGCATGTAGATTAGGTCAAATTCTTTTCCATCCGACATGCCTGTGTATAAAGACAACTATTTATGCACAAAAGTCTTCATTTCTCTAACGAGCCATTTAGCCAGTTCATTTAGCCATTCGACAATGAAGTAATCTTGTTTCGAAGCATTGACTGGTGAATATAGTCCGAAAGTGGATCATTAGTTCTGATTATGATACACCTAATTATATTTCAATAGGGCTTGCTCTTTATTTATTTCTTACAGTAGTGTTCACCATGTACTAGTCTAAAGAGAACCCTCTAGGTAGTAGTTTAGAGAGTAAGTGGCAAGACGACCACTTTAGGGGGTTATGTGGGGTGGGAAGATAATAGTTAACCCTAGACTTGAACAGGTTAAGACTGTAGCGATTAGGGAAGTATCTTCTTGGGAGTCATTTCCACAAATCAACAGTTCGTGGGAAGAGGCTTTTCGAGTCGAACTTACATCTCACTTAACTTAGTATAGCACAAAATCACGATTGTTGGGAACAGAAATTCGCTATAGTAAAAAACAATAAACATGAGAACGAATCCCTACTACGCAATCTACAACCACATCATGATCAAAAAGATTAAATTAAAATCCCATAATTAATTCTAATAATTGTTAATTCTAATGCAAAAAAAAAACCCAAAAATACACGAAAAAATTATCAGTCAGTTATGTGCCATGCGGGATACACGCTAGAGTGATCATGTATCTTTTGATAAGAGGCAGATTTTTTTCCCGCAGTAGGTTGCCATTTCTTTCTGCGCTGGACCAGTTGCCATCCGGTCTGTCCTGCTAGTTATCCATAGCTGGGGGGGGGAGAAGAAGAGGATCCATACCTTTCCTGAGGGTATTAGCACATATGTGAATGTAATGAATTCGACTGGAATTCCTCAAGCCGAGTCGCTAACCATTACTCCAAATACGAAACAAATAAAAACTATTATATATAAATAAAAATCTAGAGACCATAATCATAAAACAAATTTATCTATTAGCTACAAACCTATAATGAATGAGTAATGTAAGGGTGATGACTGTAAATAACCGCCAGCATTTGCACTAAACAAAAGAAACTGGGAAGGGCCGGTTTTTACTTCCTTAACTTCAATTAGTGACCTACATACACAAACCACTATATCTACAGCCAGCTAAAGGATTAGTGGCGTTTTGTCTAAAAGTTACGTTGAAGTGTGATACTGACAGTCAACATACAGTGTTGATTCTTATGTCCACTTTCTCTCTCTCTCTCTCTCTCTGCCTTTCTTCATATATATATATATATATATATATATATATATATATAAAAAAATAATCACACATAGAATCAATCAAGTATTAATGCGATTATTGGCGACATCCATCGCTAGAAACATAATACTTCTGATTGATTCTATGTGATATTCTCTTTATAAATTTGCCTAATGTTTAATGTATATATATATATATATATATATATATATATATATATATATATATATATATATATATATATATATATATAAGTGAACACTCACGAGCGACAGACTTACATGTTTGCGTCTAGCATGAAACAGTCTGTCGCATCTGAGTGTTGACTTCAATGTTCTTTTATATTTACATACGCTCTATCCTCGATATTGAGCACTTTATTCCATAAACATAGCACACCTTAAAACTATATTTTTCATATACATATATATATATATATATATATATATATATATATATATATATATATATATATATATATATATATATAAAATAAAAACAGACCACTTTAGGTTCCATGTAATAAATTATTTCACCACAGACCTTTAAAAGGGCTGTGGTGAAATAATTTATTACATGGAATCTTAAAGTGGTCTGTTTTTATTCAAATTTATTTTGCTCTGAATTTACATTGAGCTCTCTCGATATCATCCTCCTTGGGTCTACCCATACGGATTACCTAGTTTTTGCATAAACTATATATATATATATATATATATATATATATATATATATATATATATATATATATATATATATAAATTTATTTAAAATATAATATATATAAAATAGTGTTTGATGTAATATAACAGACTTATTATTTATATAGGGCTGAGCAGATACTGAGTATTACATAATTTAATTTTTTATGAAAATATCTGGTTAAATCAATGCTAGTGCAGTCCATAATAATAATAAAAAACATTAATCCCCGTTTATTTTAAATATAAAATATAAATCACGTCTATTTTAAATACATTTTTTTAATCCAGTAATCCCCGTATAATATATGGACTGCGTTAGCATTGCGTTAACTAGATATCTTTCTTAAAATATAAATTATGCGATGCCCAGTCTCTACACAGCATCTGAAGATTGCGTTGTGCATGAAACTTCGAGACGTGCTACCGGTAAAGAATGAAATGTGTATTTATATATTTATATATATATATATATATATAAAGTAAAAACTGAAATACTTACAAGAATATCGCCATAGTTGTCTTCTGGTCGCTTGAGATCGTACTGAACTTGAAAGACACGAGAAAATACATTTCGTAATTTTCCCAGCTTCTCTGTGTAGTCCACCAAAATATTATTGCGACTCTTCCACAATGTTTGAGGCAATTCCTCTAAGTCTGAACAAAAATGAGAACGTTAATATGTGTTGAGAATTAAGTGTAAACAGACACATCAAAACTGCCTATTCCCATAATGTTTTTATTCCACAACTTTTATATATATATATATATATATATATATATATATATATATATATATATATATATATATATATATATATATATATTTTGATGATGTTAGCTTTTTTTTCTTGATGTATATTATATTGGTCTGTATTCTATACATTGAGCTCTCTACGGATCTATCTTTTTAATATTCTATATTAAAAAAGAACCACTTGGATCATCCTTTCCACTTACGTGTTTGATATATATATATATATATATATATATATATATATATATATATATATATATATATATATGTATAAATGTGCGTGTGTGTGTGTGAACATACACACACATAGAGGTGTACACACACATACATACACACGTTTACACCCCCCCCCAACACACACATAAAGAAGAGAATCAACAGCATGAAGAGACTATCAGAATTTCTAACCATATCCAATCAAAGTATTGTTCGAAATATTGGTTTGATATTATCTTATTATAGGATAAATTTATGCATCATATATTTTAAATAAAAAGAGGTGATGAATTTAACTGTTTTCTTTTAATTTTTAACATTTTTATAGTCATGTATGTTGGATTAGGAAAAGAGTAATTCTTTCAGGAATGGAGATATTGGGAAAAAATCAAGGGTGCAGATACTTAAATAATTTAAATATTAATCACATAAAATTTCAACAACATCATCATTTGCTCATATTCCTTTATTAGACATACAATTAAGTCACTTAGCACCCTCCATAATTTACCTAGACTTTTCAGTTAACCTGATGAATATTTATGAGCGCCTCTTAAATTTAAAAATTTGGAAAAGATAACAGCATTTTTACTTTTGTTTATAAATACCTGTTGCAAAATAAAATCCTTAAATTTGCCTTGATAAAGTCCATCAGAGGGCGAAATGTATTGGCTAAGATAAGTTTTCCTTTTGTCTTTATTCATATTCTTCCTTTACAGATATATTTCGTTATATCTTAAATTTCTACACACATAAACTTGATTATGTATAACAAACCAAGGAATTAAAAATGTTTGTTTAGTTAACTTTTCCTGTTTCCAAAGACAGGAACGCATATATGGATCAGATAATTATATTGTTCATTTGTTTGTACTGAAGCGCTTTCAACAATTCCTTGTTACCAAAAACAGAAAAAAACCTCGAGCGTCATTAATTTTATTTCTTACGAATATTAAGAAAACCATTGGCTGTTACAATTTTCTATCTCAGCGCTTTGCTGCTTGCAACGTTATACAAAAATTCTATTGGTTCGTGTTGGTGACGTCACGTAGATACATTCTGCAACATATATTTCGTATGAGTCGTTGTAGCTAGGAATTATTCAAATTTAATTAGTTAGATAACTTTCACTTCGTTAACGGTAACATAATCAAATTTCAAATCGTTTTCCAGTTAAAATGCTACATTTATTAGAAAATATATTCAGTTTTTTTTTTTTTTTTTAAATACTGAAGGCGTTATAAAAATGACTTCAAATGGCAGGTTCATACCATTTTCCTGTTACCCAGGATTTGTTGCCAGGTATGAATGAAAATCAGCACTTGCGCCACAATGTCAACTTCAGTTATTTTCAAATTCTCTGTGTGCATGTGTGTTTTAATTCATTGCCTGACTTTAAGATATTTTTTAAAAGCCTGGTTTTAAAATATTTTTTAATAAAAACATTCACAAATAATTCTATTTACTACCGTATAATTTCTGAAAAGATAAAAAAAATCCTCATAATTATCTGAACTTTTAGGGTTTAAAAAATTAACGTATTTTTTGTCTCCAAACTTAGGATTTTACTGCACAGCCTAGTGTAGGGATTGTTCAGACTCATATTTCACTCAGTCAAGTTGTGTGTATGCATATGTGCGCTTGCGTTCATGTATATTTGTGTGCACATGAAAGTTACTCATACACAACACATAAATACGCATATGCATCACATACGCGCATATAAGTGTATGACGAACAAAGAATCAGCTCTTTTTTTATAATATAGATTTAGAGACCGGTTTCAGATTAAAAGATTATCTATTTTTTATAATAGATTATCTAAAGTCTTTTTTACAGTTAATGTTATACATTATATGTATAAGAGAGTTGTCGGGACCGGAGAAGAAGTCTCTTATATCCGGGTTTCTCTTATATCCGGGTTTGGTCTATTTTATAAACATTAACACTGGCTCTAATTTGGGACCAGAGAAAATCTCTCTTATATCCGGGTTTCTCTTATATCCGGGTCTCCTATATCAGGGTTACACTGTATAACATCATTGTATTACAACTATCAGCCATATATTGTAGAGCTGTCAGGGTCTTTTAAGCTATATTAATTAATATGGGCAAGTTAGTCTATGGAAGAGACTAATAGTAATATAACCAACGCCTGATTTGATTTTTTATATGACAAAACACAATCTCTAATGTGCATAAGAATTCATAAATAATGTTTGCTTTGTTTTAGTAACAATAGCATTTTAGTTCTTTTAAATATCAGATGATTAGTTTTATATATTTTTTCTATCGTTTCACCCCAAGTAAGGCAATAAAGCCACTAAGGGGTTACTGAGTGTTAGAGAATATGAGAAAAATATACTATTAAGTAAAGAGGACAATAAAAGAACAAGAATTAAAAAAAAAACCAAAAAAAAAACCAGAAGATAACGATTGGCATTACATTTAAATTTTTGAAGATCAAGCCGGAAGAGAGTTCCACAAACCAGAAGTGCTATAGAAGAAACTAACTTACGGTTACATCTTAGTATTTCAACTGTAAAAATGATGAAATCTTGCCACCAATCTCGTACTGCGCTTAAATTCATCAAGTCAAGTCTAGTTTATCGTGATCAATAGATTTGATCCTGCTTTTGGCAGTTTTGATAGTCGTTCCGCCCTGTTGGTAGTTCTAGTTTATTTGGTTACAATAAGATAAATTTATTATGTGGTTTACTTATATGAACTTATTTGAATATGTACATATATTTTATTCTTAATTTAAGCCAAACGCAGGAGAGTTTAAAAATAGAATGACTCACTCTGTTCGTTAGCAATGTCCGGCATGTTTTTCTCCTTGATTAGCGAGGCAGTGAATCGATGAATGTGTTGCGGCTCCCATAGAGAAATGAGTACATGAAGCTGTTTGACGACTAGGTGCTGTCGAAGAAAGATCGGAATTCGATGTGTGTAGAGACCATCTTTCCGAAGCAGCAGTGTCTTGTAGGTGAAATTGAAAAATGCCTCACTTTTACCTGCTAAGGTGGTGTTCATTGCAAACACGTTGATGTCGAAAAAGCTGAAAGAAAACGATAGATAAAGAACAAGTAAGATATTTTTTCGTGGTGTGAAAAATATAATTTTTTGCTTGCTAAGAAATACATATGTGTGATGATATAAAGAACAAGTAGAAAAGTCTTTATAAATTTTATCAAAATTTTCCGTGTGTTTGTTTCATCGAAACAACGTCGCAGAATTGTTTCGATGAAACAAACACAGAAATTCCATTAGGGAAACACGTGACACCCCGAAAAATTGAGTAGTACACACGTGCATAATTGCTGTCGAATTGTTAAACAAATAGGATCATCTCTTAGAAATCATCTCTTAGGATCTGTGTGTGTATGTATGTCGTGAGAAGGACATACATACACACACAGATACATACATGCAGACATGCAAGCACGCATACATAGTAGCACCATAAAATGAACACATTTACTCAACCAATGAAAACAATGCAACATAGAATTTAAGAATCAAAACAATTTCTCAGTACTTCAAAATAATTTCTGACAGAGCTAAATAAATAGCGAAACATGCCATATTTATAAAGTTTTTTTTTCTATTTAATTCTCATTTAATCACTTTGTCAGATTTAATCTACATCTGCAATATTCATAGCCCTCCACCCATATGAGATCCGATGGGTAAATTGTCGCCATTTTATATTTTGTGTTTCGCGCATGTGCGTTTTTTGTTTTTGATTTTTTTACTGCACAGTATAGTAGGGTCAGTTGAGCACTGTATGTGAGAAATTTAGAAACGGCATGCTGTATTGCTTGACATTCACGCAGGAAGATCCAGTACGAACATTTCAGAGTGTTTGCATGTCAGTCTGAGGACAGTGCAGAGGATTCGGAAAGAGTTGGATGAGTCTAATGGTGATTACGTAGGTACGGATGCTCGGAAAATTTACTCTCACCGTTCTGATGAGAAAAGAACTGAATTTGTTGGTGGGGACCTCAGACTCAACACCAAGGCCTACATCAAGTGCCCTTGAGGAGATAGTGCTGCATTAGGTCAAGACAGTGGTTGCTGGAGGAATCTCTCTGGTAACAGGACTCTGCACCGTGCCATACAAGTAGAGGTACCCAGTCATAGCTGTCAGACAATTTCTGCAACTACATCACCCCTTACATCTGGCCACCTAACTCTCCAGACTGCAAGCCCCTTGATTATTATGTGTGGGGTGCAGTTAAGCAAGAGATCTACAAAACTTCTTGCAACACCAAAGATGAAGTGATGCAAGGATTATAACAACATTCACCAACTTAAACAAGGAGACTGTCCAGATGAGTTGCAGGTGATTCCGAAGTCATCTGGAGGCTGTGGTTGAAGCCAATGGCAATTTTATTAAATAAATTTACTCTTTAGTATTTCAAGATATTTTTGTGTAATTTTGGTAAGTATATCTGTTAAAATGAGAGGTTAGTGTCATTTTCTTTCCTGCGTAATTTAGGGGACAATTTATCCATTGCAACTTGCATATATATATATATATATATATATATATATATATATATATATATATATATATATATATATATATAAAACTAACTTAGTACGTATAAAAACAAATCTCAGTTAAATATTTTAAAAGTCTAAATTATGCTTTTTTTTAATATGTTGGTTTCAATCTGGGTGGAACATTTTTGTATTTGCGTGCGTGTGTGAAAATTCATCAAGATTTGTATAATTCAAATGTATATTTTTATGCCCTATTATCAATAGAACAGGAACAAAACTTAATTATAAAACATGTCTGACACTTTTGATACGTTTTCCCTCTTGTTGTTAGTTCTAGTTCATTTGGTTGCAATAAGATAGATTTATTATATGATTTTTATGAGGTTTACTTATATGAACGTATTATTCGCTCATTTTTCTTAAGAAAAGATATTTATTTTGAATACATAAATAAAACTATTAATATTCAAAATTGCTACAACAAAACATTACTAAAAGTCAGAGTGTCGCTCTGGATAATAGTTGATATCAAACGACGTGCCAAAAACCAAACGGCGAACTCAACATGGCTGCCTTGAAAATGATTAATGCATTGATTTCCTTTTTGTTAAGTGCTAATTATTGCATAATTTTGAATCTTGTATTTCTGCTATTAATTGAAAATAGAAGGAGTATGTTTGATTCTTGATTTGGGATGCGATAGAGGATTTACCTATTTCATTGAGTAATTAAATCAATAACAGATCATAATTATTTTATATTTTGACCCCAAAGAACAGAAGAAATGGTGCATTTTTTTCTACATTTCCCATAATTGTTACTTTATAAGTTTAATCCTATATTGATTCAGTTTTTCAACAAACTTAGAAAACTCTTTACACAATTCGCTCGGATGATTTCTCACCATTCTTCTAGTGAATAATTCAAGTGAATCATTCATTCGATTATTTATCAATATCACAGCGTTTACGGATAACGAGTTTTGAATCTTCGATGTTGTTTGACCATGAAGAATTTGTTAGGATTTATTTTTACGAAACTAGACAAGTGAAACAATTCAATTGTCTTCAGTTGATAAAATGTGTTAGCGTCACTTAAATTAAAAAAGATGTTCAAATAAACCTCTAAGTTATGATATCAAATCATTCATTGATATTCAATACCATTATCATTCAAAACATTACTCAAAGAAAGATAATTTTTATACTGGCTGTTAACAAAGTTGTTGTCCAGCTTTCTACCAAAATTTGCAACTTCGTCGATACCCGTTCGCATCCTCTATCCCTATTCTCCCCGCTCCCCCTGGTTATCGGTATCGGAAAGGTTGTGAATGAAAGAGGCCATTGAGACAGGCGATATATGGAAAACCATTGAATATACATTAAATTCACTCCATGTTTCCGTCTTTGGATTCAAAGTCCGTCCATGTCAGTAACATTCCTGATCATTCCAATCCAGTGGGATTCTCCATTGTTGTTGAAAAATGTCCTGTTTTTATTGTATAACATAATATCTATACTCAATATTTAATCAGATTTCTATAGATTTAGGTAGCTGGGTCTTAAATTCGTAGTTGTTCTTCTCCTTCATTGGTTACCAACCACGACTAGAGATACCAGTTTTCCCTGTTATTTTACCCATAGATGGGGGAGAAGTGTAATTGTGCGAAAGTGTGTGTAACGAACTAGAGATGCTAACCATTACACTACCTACATATTCAAAATAAAATACCTGAAAGAAAAATCTGACGTCTTTTTTGTGGGAGAGGGAGGGCTTTTATACCGTTACAAATTCGAACCTTCTTTTAACTTACGTCTGCTTTTTAATCGACTTCTGGAAATTCTTCTTCGTCTGTTTTTTCCATTCTCTGTAATCTTTCGATTTCTTTTCTGTGCGTCCTTTTAAACTGGTGCCATTAACGTTTCTGAAATGCAGAGAAGGGCGTCGGTTAAAAAATAAATATGCGTTAGGTTGAACGCGGATGGTAAATAATTAGACTGAAAACTTGCTGCAAAAAAACATTTTATGCCTTCCTCCAGTCTAAGGGAAAGACAACTCCGAATTCAGAGCCACAAACGCAATCACCCACTTCCTCATTTGTTGGTAAAACAGAAAAAAAATAGGGAATGGATTTTATTTTGGAATCTGATTCAGTAAAAAAAAAAAAGATAAAACATGGCCGTGGTGCAAACTGAAGGATCTATCGGATGTGTATGTCAAAAAATTGTTCGTGATATGGGCTACAAATCAATGGGAATGTACTGACTCGAGCTTGAAATCTCTCGGAACTAAGCATATCTGCTTCAATTTCGTACCTTGTCATCTTTGAAAACAAGAAAAAGTCGCAAAAAATGGAACAGGAAACTTCACGAATGAATCGTTAAACAGTCAATATTAACGTCTGCTTTTCAACAGGTCAAATCGCATTAACATAGATAGATAGATAGATAGATAGATAGATAGATATGAACAAAAGTATATATATATATATATATATATATATATATATATATATAAAAAAAAAAAAGAACAGTAAGATATATAATCAAGTGTTCTTATAGTATTTTTATTTTTACAAAATAGTGCTCAATGTAAATTTACAGAGCATTAATATTATAAATTAATTGATTTAAAGCGTTGAGGATGAAATGGAACTAATGTCTTTAATTTAATTACAAAATTAAATTCGGGGCTTTTAGCTTCCATTTTTGAAACATAGAACTGTGTAGCGAAAAAAAAAAACATATTTTAAATCAATTTATATTTTTAATATATATATATATATATATATATATATATATATATATATAGAGAGAGAGAGAGAGAAATAGAGATGAATAGATTGATATAAATATATGCAGGGTGCGATGGGTAAATTGTCACCATTTATATTTTTAATTTCGCGCATGTGCCTTGATTGTTTTTTGATTTTGTCGACGCCACATTATAGTAGGGTTAGCTTTGAGAAAAAGAGCACCATAAAGCAATTTACTCCGCTAGGCATTGGAAATGGACATGCTGTACTGCTTGACATTCGCGCCCGAAGCTCCAATACGAACATTTCAGAGTGTTTGGGTGTCACTGAGAACAGTGCAGATGATTCGGAAAGAGTTGGATGATTTTAATGGTGATTACAAAGGTATTAGGAGTGATCACTAGTGATGGCGACGATATGCCTCCATTCATCTTTCTACAGGGCCTTAGATTCAACACGGAGGCCCTACGTCAATTGCCTTGAGGAGGTAGTGCTGCCCTGGGTGAAGAGGGTGGTTGTCTTTCCAATGGGCATTAATAGAAAGTGAATTCAATCAGCCCCAGCCGCAAGTTGAACTCGGATCATCGATTCCACTTTACGCGCTGTTAACCGTTAAGTCACCCGCATCTACCTATTAGTATAATAAGCATCCAAAAGATCGTCAATATTTACGTATTTGGTTGACATTTCTGCCTAAGATCAGTGTAATATTTGTGCCCTTTGTAAAAAGTGTTACACACACAGACAGACAGACAGACAGACAGACAGACACACACACACACACACACTCGCGTGCTCACGTAGGCATAAAGAATTCCGAAAGGTTAGATACATTTCGGTATAAATCGACTGGAATTAAAACATTGTATAAACTGTAAACACAAATCAACAGAGGGAGTATACATTACTTGGTTGTATTGTAAGCAAAGAATGCTTTGAGATTGGTGTGGGGTGGAGAGCACCTAACCGATTGTTCTCTCAGCAACTACAGGAGTAATAGGCAAAGAGGGAAAAGAGTCGGGGGTAACAAAAATAACACTGTCCCGGAAACCACAGCAACTGAAAGAACTAAAATGCCCACGGGACCGATTTCATATGACACGGTATCTTGCCTTGTTTTGCTCCTGCTTTTATTTACAAAGATCCGGATCTTGATCAATTGCAGAGAGGCCGGTATCTAGACATGCCAAACTGTCCCGCTGCTAACGGAAAAAAAACGGATGTAACTTGTGTTGGCAAACATGTCCGCGTACGACCCTAAGCCTCTTCTGCGTCTGTACTGACGCGCGTTCGCCGCATGGTTCTTGAAGGAACAACCAAAACAATGCTAATGTTGAACGAATTCGTGTGCGACGTCACAACAAAAATGAATGGCCACCATAAAATATTGGAAAAAAATGAAGTGTTACAATTCACTGTAAACCTTTTGCCATGTGGTAATAAGCAGATGTAATTCTCATTCGGGTGCAGTGCGTTTACAAAGAGACGTACGAATCTGCGAGGCGTTCATCTTTAATGATAAAAGAAAAAGAACATTTCGTGCAATGAAGCTTTCATTCAAGAGGGTTGTGGATCTTGAATTTCTGAAATCGGAACAAAAAGTTGAGATATCGGAAAGTGTTATTTCGTTGGGTCCCAGCTGGGTGAAGAACAAAGGTTTCAGAAAATGGGAATTCTTTTCAGCTTGTGGAAGTCTATAAGCGAACTGTCAGGTATATTCCAGATAAAGTGATCACAAATGATGACTCTTAGGGTGGAAAAGTAGCAGAGTCATTTGGTAACGTGTTCTCAGTTATTTATTGCTATAGTAATATACATATTGGGTAAATAAATATGACTTTCCCAATTAGTACTCAGCAACCATGCTAAGATACCACAGATGAGGAAGGCCATCCCGAAACTATATATATATATACAACATCATTTAGGGTCTCCTATAGTCCTCACCAAAGTTATACATACTTCAAGAAAGGAAAACTTGTTTTTCGTAGTTTTATCAATTTGCGATGACACTGTTTACTATAGGAGACCCTAAATGATGTTTTGTATCGCAGAAAAATAACAGCATTGGCGGCCTTTGACAATAAATTGAAAATCCAAGTGCAGCAATCACACTGGACCCTTTGGCCAAGGTTGATCAAGCTGTAAGTCGCCGTGCTAATAAATGTCTGGAAGCTAAAGGCTACCATTTTGAGCATCGCTTGTGATTGTAGAGTTCAATGCTAAATTGGATGAATCTTATGATGTCTGAATACATTTAGTATTACAATATCTATAGAAATTTTTCCTTTTGTGAAGGGTATACATTTTGGGACGTACTCTGCGTATATATATATATATATATATATATATATATATATATATATATATATATATATATGTGTGTGTGTGTATGTGTGTGTGTGTGTGTGTGTGTGTGTGCAGAGTACGTCCATTTTCATTTCAACTTTTGGAAGTAAAGTCTGATGATCCAGAGCGCTTTAAAGGGTTGTGGTGAAATAACTTCTTACATGCAACCTTAAAGTGATCTGTTTTCATTCAAACATATTTGCTCTGAATTTACATTGAGCTCTCTGGATATCATCCTCCTTGGGTCTACCTATACGGATTACCTAGTTTTGCATAAATTAACTAACTATATATATATATATATATATATATATATATATATATATATATATATATATATATTAAATCAAATAACCAGGTTAGCAGTGACTAGCCACTACTCTTAGTTTCATGTGCTTTCACACAATCATCAGATAGCAAGTGACATTTAATAAGATGAATACACTATATACCAAACCCGCACGGTTGGGGGAAGGGTAAATCATCCAGCCAAGATCTAAAATGGCAAAACAAAAAAAAAAAAAATATTTCCCACCTGGAAAGGCTTGCCAGTATAACAAAAAAGTGCTCCCAGAGCTGCTCATTTAAACCCTGGATATATATATATATATATATATATATATATATATATATATATATATATATATATATTTGTGTGTGTGTGTGTGTGTGTATTTAGGCAGCATTTTTTCATTCATACATGTTTCATTAAATAATATAAACAATAGTTGTCTATTTATTTTATGTAAATTCTTTTCATAACGTCTGATAAACTTAATAATATTATCATTAAATAAAGAAAGAAAATCACAGTATTGATACATATTTTTAATGCAATATAAGCTTTCGGCTTACATAAGCCATTATCAAAGATGACAATTACAGTACAATATATTATGCAATATAAGGACAAGTATGTGATGATGGTCTATTTCTGCTTACATGGAGGATTTCCAAGCAACGATAAACACGTGCATATAAGACACTGGAAGCGAAAATCACACCACAGCGCCTTATATGCACCTGTTTATCGTTGTTAGTTTGAGAGAGAGAGAGAGAGAGAGAGAGAGAGAGAGAGAGAGAGAGAGATCTGAAGGGCGATACAGATTTGGACGTGACTAAAGTTTGCATGTGTTTGTTGATAGTAGATTTTCTGCCAATATTTTCAAATCTTCTGACGTAATAAAACCTATGCCAGTGCAACGTCTGTATTTGACATTTAGATGGTGACGTGTGCTGCGATAAGTTACAGTGTGTTGGAAATATCCACTATAATCAGTTGACTATGGCTAGAATGCTTTCTAACTTTACTCTCCCGATAAGAAAATTCAAACTTCTTCGGCACATGACTTTTCTCCGATACCAAAAAGCAAATTATTTTATACTCGTTCCCAACAAGCTATGCCATTTCGTCTTTATTTTGTTCATGGTATGTTGCAGCTGATTGCGACTTAGAATTTGGTAATTAAGAAAATAAATTCAGATTATAGTTTCTACAATGATTGTGTGTGTTTGCGTTTGTAAGAGAAGCTGGGCGGAGGAACACATGAGGCTCTCTTTTGAAAGATTGAAGAAAATCGTGATAGAATTAACGAGTCTATGTAACAGGCGAATGGTGTGTCATGTAAGAAAGCAAAATGAATCGTCGTAAACATGTTTCTTTATTAATCATCATAATTAAATCTACTTACAGATACACGTCATACACCAGCGCATCATTTGGCAATAAAACTTCAAAATAAAAGATTTTTGATTCCTTTTCAGTGTTGTTAACAGACATGCGGATGGTGGTTGTCGCTAAACGGAAACGGATATTAGATTCGATTTCCATTCTTGTTATCTTCGGGTGAGCCTGCAAATGAACAACCAGAAAAATACTGTTAAATAATTGCATGTCTCATTCAAATATTTTGGCAACTAAACAAAATGTCACTTGTTCAGTGTATTTTAAATAATTCAAAGTGCGTAACGAACGTCCATCTTCTCATTTGTGTTATCGTGTCACAGTTTTACAAGCGGGTGTCGAAGCATCGTTAGAAATGAGACTATAACAACTTGATATTTGTATCCCCCATTTTTCGAAAAATTAGAATTTTACACACGCACACACACACATATAATAATAACATACTTTTTAAAAAAACATCTTTCGACAAATATCCCATTCATTTTCGTCTTGGAATTTTATCCGAAATTACTGAAATTGATAAAAAATCAACATCTATGCCTGAGGATGGTATATGGTTACCAATATGTACCGAACATCTAATTCATTTTACCATTAATAAAAAGAAGGATCGCGTCGTTCAAAGAGTGGTCAGTGAGTTAATGCCTTATTTAATCTGTTAGCGAAATGAATTCGTCATTAATTACATTAACTTTATATATATATATATATATATATATATATATATATATATATGAAGACATAATTTTAAGGTGTGCTATATTTACGGGATAAAGTGCTCAATATCAGAGATAGAGCGTATGTAAATATAGATATAAAAGTGAATATTAAAGTCAACACTCAGAGGCGACAAGCTGTTTCATGCGAGATGCAATCGTTGACATTATATATATAGATGAAAAAATAAATAAGGACATCAAACGTAACATTTTAAGTGACCTCGGGTAGCTTTTTTGGTGTGAGGAGTACCACAACTTTGGTGTATGTGTTCGGCTATATTTACATACGAAAATAATCAGCTAAAAGGAGTTCTTACAACCATTATATTTTAATATTGCTTCGGGTACTTTTCTATTTCAAAGAGGCTCTTTGACTGCATGTCTTTGTTATCACTGGTTGTTCGAGTATTAAGTTTATCGGTGACTGTGATGAACGACTGGACTTTTCTCCTCGGTTCTTTCCATCTGTCACTGATGTGGAAGGTAGGACTCCTTCTTCTCTATGCTGTTTCTGTCACCAACCTGGACACCGGAATCTCTTGGTCTACTCTGCTCTTGCTGCCTGCAAACGATGGTTTATATGGAAAACCGAGTGTCACCTTTAACCTCGCAGGTGTTCTTATGAGGCAAAATATCTATTGTTATGAGTCTGAATATTCGTTTCCTTTCCCAGATCCGGCTATCTGTTAACACTTACCAAGTTCTGGGGATAAAAAGCAAAGAGGATGAAAATCAATATATACCAATTCCCTGTTTTTATTTATTTCTAACGTGCTGATTTTATAAATGTTGAATATATTATATACTTTTGCATGTTGAGATAATTATATTTTTAAGTTTCCCAGACAATTTCTGGTTTGACACATTCCATCCCGATAAATTGTCCAGCCAATCTTGTCTTTGACCCATTTCATTTCGATAAATGCTTGAACCTCGGGGTTAACAAAAAGTTCTTTGCTACTGATGCAAATTAAGTTTCGGTTTCAAGCCATTTTGACGCCCCCCCCCCTCAATAATAATCATTTTATGGCGCTAATTACTATTTTCGAAACGTTCTTAATTTTAAACTTTCATCGATCCAGGGTTTGGTTAGCATTTTTCTTCAACTTTTACTAAACGGTGACTTCCGACAATGGAGAGGTTACCTTTCCATTGTCGGAAGTCACCGTTTGAAATTTTCATGCACCAATAAAACTCCAAAAAATGTCGTCACCTTGTTACAGTTGGTGAACACCATTGATCAGTGTTGAAGATCTGAAGACTGTGATGTAAAAATGATCCGAAGACCTATACAAGAACTATCGGTAATCTTCAATGTACCGATGACTCCAAATATTTGAAGAGCGTTTGTTTCAAAAGAGGAATTGTTTGATCCATGATGGCCTTCTTCAATTTTTTTAAAGTTTTTCACCCCAAGCAAGACAGGAGTGCTACTAGCATGCAAAGGGTTACAGAGAGTAGGAGCAAGAGTAAAGAGGCGTGATAGATGAAAGGACGAAGAGAAAGACGGAGAATAGATCAAGGCATCTGGGGATGTCGACTAGCATTGCATTTGAATAGTTGGAGATTATAGCTATCAGGAAAGCAACTAAGAGGAAGGGAGTTCTACAGATGGGAAGTGCGAGACATGAAGCTATTGGAGTAGAAGAGACGGCTACATTTAACCGTTTCGACAGTGAAAGGGTGGAACTGAGATGCCAACCTAGTAGCACGTTTAAATTCATGCAGTTTAGGAACTAGCGAAAGTAACTCGTCGAAGCATTTACTGTGAAAGTATTTGCAGAAAAGACAGAGAGAAGCGATGGCACGTCTGTAAGAGAGCGACTGTAGGCGAGATACCAGATCATGGCCCATCACATTGCATATCCATCTCTGGAGTTTGTCGAGAACCTTAAGACGAACAGCTGGGGCACCAGACCATATATGGCAGCAGTATCCCATGCAAGAGTGAATGGTTGATTTATAGATTTGAAGGATGGACTCGGGCGAGAAAAACTTTCTAGCGCGACACAGAGAACCAACTAAATTGACTAAACAATACACACATATAAATCAGCTTTAAATGCTGAATTCGAAACAAAGAACACTCAGTTTGGTGCTATATTACTGTATGATAGCTCCACATTTCATATATCAACTTTAAAGTATACAATATCATTTCTTTACTAAATGAACCATAAGCGAGTTAAAAATAGTTTTCCCTCTTGAAAGATGTGTAACTAAAAACCGAGACAAGATGAAAATATGAAATCCAAAATATATATTTTGATTTTGTTAAGGTTTATATACGTGATTAAAATTTTTAAAATTCGGAACATTCGCAATTGTAAGAATTATTTTTTATCTGCATTGTTTTCTTTTTTTCTTCAGAAAAAATACGACTGATTTGTCGTTCGGTCTTCAGCGCCAGGTATTTGTGCCTGATGTAGAGTTTGATGTTTAAAGGTGTAGAGGCCGCATTGAAATATAGAATGACGTGATAAAAAGCAAAGGGGTTTTCATGCGTGAATGAAAACAAAAAAAAAAAAAAAAAAAGGGAAAATTTTAAGGGGTATGCTGTGAATGAAAAGAAATGCCAATAACAATGGTAAAAATTTGGTACTTCCCCTATTTCGATGGAAGACAGTATGGCATGATGAAAAAAGGTCCCAAACTTAATAAAAAACAAAGTTTTATCGTCAAAATGTTTATGTCATTATTAAGAGGAAAGTGTAAAGTATTTTTTATTATTTTATTAAATTTTTTAATCATTTCTAGCATGTTTGAAATTTTGGTTAAAAATCCTGTTTTCTTACGTCAGCAGTCGAGGTATTATTTATGATTAGTGTTTTAGCGTCATTTTAGGTGAAAAATACATTAATTTGGAAATTCTTGCAAAAATCAAATAATTGTCGGATTTTAATGAAACTTTCAGGACTTGTTCCCAAATAAATTAAATTACTTAAAAGTTTTTTTAAATAAAATCTTGGTAAAAAAATATTTTCTTTACATACGTTACCCCCGCTTACTTAATTTCATGAAATTTCGAGAAATTAACATATGTATGTACTTTTTTTATTAGTTAAAAGCAAGACACCTTGGAGAATGTAAATCATCATTTTTTTTTTTTCAAACTACTACACATTTCCGGAAAATATGCTCCCAATCGTAAAATAAAAAATGCAACTATGACATTATTTAATTAGGAAAGCTTTTAATTGCTTTTATAATTAAGATTCTATATTGTCTTAAAAAATTTCGATGATTAATGAATTTTTACAAGAATAATTTTCAGTTTTTTTTTAATTATAATTTATAATATTTAAATCGTTTAAAATTCTGCATTACTGTATGTATTTTGCGTGATATTGTTATTATGTGAAAACTATATTTACAAGTCAAAAATTGAAAAGCTTAATAAAGTCGTTTTGCATCAAGATTTTTATATTAATTTTTAATTATTATATGTACATTATCTAACGTGCCCCTTTTTGAAAGTATGGTCAACCATAAACGACATTATCAGAAAATAAGAGCGATGACTATGGTCAATTTAAAGTCAACATTCCTTAAATTAGATTACGGAGAATATTTTCCAACATTTTTAAGATTACTGAGTACTTAAAAATTATATAAAAAAAGGCGCTCACCTGTCATAAAGTCTCCGTGGAACAACAAATAAATCTATCAACACCTTCTAGCACTTGTTAAGTGATTGATGACCGAAGAAAAGCGCGTAAATAAAAGCAATCTATTTCTCTGTTATTTTCAACTTAATATTTCTTTCAAATCAGATTAATTATACTTTAATCAGCTAATATTCCTCAAATAAAGTTTCAGAAAAGTATATTTTATTTTTGGAAGATTTTTAAAGCAGAGAATTACTTTTTGTTTACATATGCGCCAAAATGTGTAAAAAATGGCCGAATCTCAATGATTTTCTGAAAGCCACCACAAAGTTGAGATTCCAATCAATATAATTTCTATTTGAAATAAACCAGATTATTATTTTTGGTGGAATAGTAAATTTAATCATTTAACTTTCAATTAAAGCTAACAAGAAAGCTTTCAGAATGTTTTACATTTAAAAAAAATATTTTAAACCCAAAGTATCGAAAGGTACCGGAAATTGGTGGAGGTACCTAGAATAAATAATCCAAAGCCCCTTGAAAATTTGGCATTTTTTTGTTCAGGCTTTCCCCCTTGGCTGAACTGGGACAAAGAAACAGAAACACTGGTATATTCAATTATGTTTGGGTCCGTTCTCACTGGTTAGACACATGTGTTTGACCAATGAGAACTGATTCAGACATCGGATGGTAATTTGTATTTGAAATTGTGTATGTGTGTCCGTCTAGTGGGAGTTTTATATTCATCTTTGTGCATTCAACACACGCAGCGGGTTGTCACAAGGTTCTAATTTTGACCGACCTTTTTAAGAATGTATTCTTTGTATTACGTAGATAT